AGAAAGAAAGAGAATAGCTTTTTCAAAAAGGTTACAATGGAGTTGAGTATGCAAGCGTGATTGTTGATTAGAAATTGTTCCTGCACGTGTAATTGTGTCAGTTTAAATAGTCTGTATTGAAAGTTTAAGTTCACGCATCAATAGCTGTTTCTCGAATAAGACGTCTTTGTGCATGTAAAAATTTCGATTCGCCATGTCTTCAATAACAGAGTCGAGGAAATCTTCGCAGTCCATTTCCCGTTCCCGCTCAAGAAGTTCACCTGTCTTCTGCAGTTCGACCTCTCATATTAGCAACAGTGACAAAGACAGCAAGACCAAAAGTTATTTTGCCAAGTTACGGATGTATTGTGATAAAAAATTTACTTCGTTGAAACAAGAGATGTTTTTTGAAATAGAAGAGAGCGCTTCAAAAAAGAGAAAGCTCGAACATGAAGTCGAATTTAAATTCATGTCTAACAAGACGCAACTTCAGTTTAACTCCTCGCTGGTTGAAGATTTAGGTTTTGTGGTGAAGATGTTAGAGAATGGGAAGACAAGAAGGTCAAAAAAGAAGATCTTATCCATTAGAGATTCGCTCAAGAAGCGAAACAAATGAAGTCGTATTGCTGATCGCTCACCAGGAGGGTGGGGCTTTGTAAGCGAATATTTGTCTGATGAGCTCGCAAGTGATAGCGAAGACGAAAACTCAGGGCAGCAGAGAATCATGCCCTAGCAAAGAGCAAGACAGCAAGTAGATTTCGTAAGCGAAGCCAAACGTCAACAACATTAAATACCTGGAACCAGCCTTTTCGTGGACAGTCCTTCAACAGCGATAGATTCCTTGGAAAACTCTTCTTTGAGAGTGATGATACGACGACAAACAGCAGATTTCAGAAGACAGCCAAGCCTACAGACATCTGTCTCGGATGCGGGAGTCGAAGGCAATGGCGAAGAAACTGCCTAAATGGAAATCCAGGCGCTTTTAGAAGGGCAAAAAATCAGCTTAGACCAAGATAAGTATGACTTTCATTTCACCTTGATCAGTTTTCTTAATATGATAAAAATACATGGATTAATTAGGAAACAATTTCAGTTAAGGGAAGATTGAAAGAGAGAATGTCATTCTGGGAGACGATACATATAGGTAGAACAATTTTAGGAATCATTTCACAAGATTAAAAAATTCCTTTCGTTGAGACATCGATCCACGAATTTTCCAAAACAACAAAACCGCCTTGCTTCATGCAGATTTTGTAGAAAAAAGCATCAATGATCTTGTAGAAACTGGTGCCATTAAAGAATATGACTGAATACCCCACGTAGTTAGCCCGTTATCTGTTTCTACAAATGCGAGTTGTAAAAAATAACTTATTCTCGACTTGAATTATGTCAACTCTCATCTGTACAAAGATTCAATACGATTTGACGACTTTAAAAACTTTCTGGTTTCTGATAGTTTTTGTTTTAAATTCGATTTGAAAAGTGAATATCATCATATTTTTAACGCTCATCAAACGTTCTGGGATTTTCTTTGATTAAAGATAGAAAAAGTAAATATTTTTGCCATTTGGCCTTTCAACGGCCCCCTACATTTTCACAAAAATTTTGAGACCTTGTTTCTTTTTGGCATTCTCGTGGAATTACGTTAATTCTTTATTTAGATGATGGTATAGGTATCGAATCCTCGTATGAAAAAGCCGCAGGGGACCAGTTAAGATGCTAACATAGCTAGGTATAGCAGTTGATTTCAACAAAATTTATTTTTCATTCCGAATGAAAGGATAATGTCAATTCTTTCTCTTGCAAAGAATTTGCTAGAATGCCCATACACATCTGCCAGAGTTTTGGCAAGGTTTGTGTGAAAAGTCATGTTGTGGGTAACATAGTTCGTCTTTTAAGGCAAGATGTTTGTATAAAATGGTTGACGGAAGGCCATCTTGGGATGCAAAATTGAATCTATTTTACTTCTCTGAGGCTAGAGGTTAAATCTTATCATAGCCTATTCGATGGGAAATAAGCTGCGGGGGCAAAACTTTGTTTATTTTAGGAGAAGGACAATAATCTATTGCTTAAAACAATAGAAAGTCATTGGGACTGCAGGGGCAATTGCCCCCTAATTAGTATGGTAAAAAAGGCCCTGAATCTTATTTTAGTATAGAAACTTACGAGTTTTGAATAAGAGATCGCTGAAACCGGTTGAACATCCCCCAAGTTTTTTGTTTACAGATGCAAGTTCTACTTGTTTAGGAGCAATTATATCAGGATCTCTAAATTGCTATAAAAGCTTTTCTTGGCAAGAAAGGGCAAAAAGCTCTACCTGGCGCGAAATGGGAGCAATCAATGATGCGCTGGCCTCATTCGTCAAACAAATTATGAATAAAAGTGTACTATGTCATACAGATAATTACGCAGCGTCGAGAATTGTTTCTATTGGAGGAAACAACTTAGAATACAAGATATGGCTCTTGCTTTATTTGATTTTTGTAGCATAAATAGCATCAATTTAAAAGTTATCTGGATACCTAGAGAAATAAATGTTGCAGCAGACAAGCTCTCTAAATATGTTGATGTTCACGACTGGCGACTTTCTCCGAATTTCTTTGCGCTCATCACTGAAAAATGGGGCCCATTTACTATAGATAGATTTGCAGACATGAGAATACAAAACTCAAAAGATTTTATTCGAAATATGCCTATCCAAATAAAGAAGCATGTGATGCCTTTTCACAGAATTGGGAACGCGAAAATAATTTTTTGTACCACCAATTAGCGAGTTACCCAAAGTAATAGAACACTTCAATGCTAGTTGTGTAAGAGGTGTTCTTGTTATGCCATATTGGACATCGTCGGTTTTTTGGGAATTTATAGTCATTCAAGAAGGGGTTTTTGAAAAATTTGTCTCTGACCATATATATATTCGTAAAAAATGGTCATGATTGTTTAAGTGAAGTCATTTGGTCTCTCTCATTTTTGACCCCAAAATATTTTAGAGTTTCTTTAGTTGCATTAAAAATTCGTTAGTTTTTTTGTTCTGATTTAAAAAGAAAAGAGGGCTGCAGATATATGTAAGTGAAGTACGCTGCGGGGGAGAATAGTGGGCTGAAGGTATTCATAAGTAGTTGATTGCCATCTATTTGGAGAGGGCTGCATTTGCACACAGTGACGTGAAGTTTGCTGAACTTTGATTGTTGTGTTGATTAAAACCTAATTTTCTTCCACTTCTGTGTTTACTTTTGAATCAATAAAGAATTCAATTAAATGTGGTGTGGATGACCAACATCTTTTAATCTTAGCAGAGAAAATACCAGAAACTCTTATACAATCAAGATCACCCAATACTGTCAAGAACTATTTTTCATCGTTTAATAAATGGCATTTGTGGACAGAAAAATTTTCTAAAAAAAGTCTTTGCCTTCAAAAGGTTTCTACGTAGCTCTATTTTTGGTAAATTTGATTCAAAATGGAGACAGTTATTGAAAGCATTTTCTATGCTATAAAATATTTCCATAGCCTTGGTAGTTGGAAGGACTCCTGCGAATCTCAACTTTGTGTGAACATGTTTGAAGCTGCTAAGCACATCTGTTCAAAATCAGCAAGCAAGAAGCAACCCCTTTTAGTGGATGATTTGCAAAAAATATTCGATTTAATGGAAATAAGATGTATATTGCGAAGACAAGACCGATCCTTTGTCCAGTGTCCATATGTCAATGCGAGCACAAGTAAAGTCAATTCTTCTGAAAACCGGCAATAAAAATGTCTCAGAGTTTTCATTGCATAGTCTGCGATCTGGTGGTGCCTGTGTGACAGCGAATAATGGGGTTAGAGACCGACTATTTAAGAGGCATGGCCGATGAAAATCTGCAATAATTAAGGACGGATATGTTAAGGACAAAGTTCATTCTCTTTTGTCTTTCGGTAAAAGTTGACCTTAACCAGATTATGGTAGATACCTCAGTAAAAGTTAATATCAGGGAGGTAATGGTTGAAGGTGAACCGATTGAAACAGACCGAATCAATTGTGACGATGAAAGCAAAGATAGCCTTGTTAATCCTGCTGAAAACAGACAAAGCGATATCCTTGCAGCTTAAGGCAAAGCACCAAAAAAAACATGGATCCTAAGTTTCTGCCAGATGATGAAAAAAATCCCAGAAAACGTGAACTAGGATGGATTTGTGAAAAATGCGAAATGTTGAAAGCTTTTGTGGATGGGAAAATGAATTTAGGTCTTTGATGCTCGGCCCCCTTGTTACGGTTGCAAAATGCCAAACTGATTATTACTACTGTACGAAAGACTCTTATGAGTATATGTAATTAGCTACTAAATAAAAGTTGTCATTTTCGGCTGAATGCAATGAATTAGAAAAAAACTATTCTTAGATTGTGGAGACAAATTATTTTATTTTTTGAGGAAAAATCTTACCGATACAAATTGACCATTTTTTAAGCCTATAGCCTTAAATTTTTGTAGAAAGAAGACTCAACTAAAAAGTGCTGTTTCTTTGTAAATATATCGTTCATTCAAAAATTAAAGCTTAATCTAGACTTTTCTAGTAATGTATGGGCAATTTTCGTTTTTCTTAGAAAAAAACATTTTCCAAAAAACTTGACCATTCTCGTGAGCCTATAACCTTGCTTTTTGCGGAAAAAGGATCCATCTAAAATAGCGCTGTTTCTTTAATAATCTGACTTTTACTCGTGAATTAAAGCCAATTCTTGACTATTCTAGTAACGTAGAGACAAAATAACGCTGTTTCTCTAATAACATGATATATCGCTTTTTTATTTAGGGGTTGTGGGACATTGATGACTGGTTGGTCAAAACAAAGAACCGATGAAACTCTTTCTGGAGTATTCATACCCTGCGCAGTGTTATAGTATCATGCTATTTCTCAAGAATCTATATATGTGGAAAATAATGCCTCCTTCGAAGCAGTTGGTAACGACGAGCAATATATGTGAAAAGAGAGTTCCTTTTTCCGATGCCAATAAAAGAGCTGGGTTTGGCGGTGAAAAAACATCGTTGCGTTGCAAAGCGTTCATATATACACAAAAAACACGATACACGATTAAACTTGCTTTACAGAACAGATTGATAAGAATACTTTTTTTATGGATTCGTGAAGGCCAATGACCTTTAAAGAAAAAGAAAAAGGCAAAATCTCGTCTTGCTATTACAACAGCGTGTGAAGGTCCACGATGCATGCCAGCCTTATATTACAACAGCTATTACAACAGCGTGTGAAGGTCCACGATGCATGCCAGGAGATAGCCTTATATTTAATTTGCAATTTGATTAACCTTTCTCCAATATTCAAATGCATGAAAGCTGGAACTGTCATCATCGTGGTTTTATTGGGTTTAGGAGTGTTCTCTTCTCAAATCCCCCAGTTCCCAAATAACAAACTTGGCGACTTTATTGTTTGGCCTCTTTGGCTAACTATGTCGAGCATCTACGTGCCTTTCACTTTAATGCAATGTACGAAACAGGGTATAAGCTGATACAGTCCCAGTATTCATTGTTTGTAGTTTAAGTATATCACGGCAACAACACTTTAATAATAAGAAGAATATAAAAAAATCTTCAACTCTCTCTGAAGTAAACATCGTATAGCGGCCTCAACAGACAACCTCCAGGGATAAAAAGTGGAATACTACAAATCGCATGCCTTTGGGGTTTTAATGAAGTACCGAAAAGGTCAAACTGCCATAAATTTATGAACACAAACAACTAAAACGCGTATGAATAGATTCTACAAAAAATCACCAAAATTTCTAATCGTTTTCATCGCCAGGCATGGCATGGTCGCCATAATCTTCTAAGTTTGATAAAAAGATACAAAATGTTATCCTTTTGGCTATACTCGCTGTGTTATCATGAACGAACAAAATCTAAGAACAGATAAATTTCCCCACAAGATGCTATTGTGTAGACAGAAGGATCTTGTTTTTATCCTTGTGCTACATCCATTGTAGTCCTTTTCCAATAGGCAAGCGGCACTATTGGACAAACTTTACAGTCTTATGCTCCCATATATACATATACAATTTGGGGGTTTTCCATCAATATTTTTACATATCATTCTTTGAAGAGTGCCAGATGAAAAGCTGTAGTATAAAATAAAGTATTCGAAAACATATCTGCCGTAGCTTGTATGATTGTATATTGATTAATTTAGGGTCAATCAAAATTGCAAATATAAATTTGCGATATTCCACCTTTTCCCTCCAATTGTTGGATCTTAACTTATGCTAATTAAGTAAATATTAAAAATAACCTCAAAATATGAGCTTGTAGCGTCCGAGTTATCTAAACTCGCGAAATCTTAACAGACAAACATTGCATCACCAATTTCTCACATTCGTCATCTCTTCTTGGCTGGAATAGAAAATAGAAAGACAATAAGAATTCCAAGCATGACTAGTGAAAAATTCAACAGCAAACCAACCAACTGGTCATAAAAGATAAGGTAACCAGTAAAACTTTCATCCTTTTCGGAATAATGGGAACGGTCACGTTTAGCAGCTTGCCAGCAGGGATATTAAATGATGACGTCATTAGGTAACTTGAGAATTTTTGAATTTAGCATTTCTAAATGACTACAGCATTTCTAAATTTGCATAATCATTTAACCACAAAAAAATACAATAAAATCTTCTCAATCTGTCCCTGTTAAATGTGTTTTAAACTGGTTGATATACTGCCAGTGGAAGGGCTGGTTTTTACTAATGGTTTACTTGAAAATGGCTTCGAAAAAGCAAACATTTCACAACATACTATTTAAAGCAAACAAATTCAAACGTATTCGCTGTCAAAATTTAAAGTACCAAGATTTGTTTAAACAATAGCCTATAGTATATTTTGTAGCATAGTTTAATTCATTGTTCGAATTACACATTAGAATACACATGATTAATGAACTTCAGAAAAGATCACCAACAGCTGAAAAGTAAAGACGTTTACCTGCATGATCATTTCCTACACCATTTGTATTATTAGCTACTTTCGGATCAAATGATACCACTTCATTGTAAATCAGTTCTGCAATAAAACAACGTCTTTAAGAGATCTTTTAATTATGTTGATATGAACAAGGATTTGGAAAAGGAGCATAGATGAAAGTTTAAGCTTCCAAACATGACAAGTATGGGAAAAGTTATTGTCACGCTGACCAAATAAACAAAGTAGGCCGCTTCATAGCAAAGTCTAGTCACTGCAGGAAAACATCGCAGTTAACTATACCAAAGGAGTTTGCTCGGTTTTTGTCTCATTTCAACAAATAATTGATAAACGTACTTAGAACCAGATATGGCCTCCTGCTGACTCAAATCTTCGCAAAACCTTTGAAATTGCTCAATTACAGAACAAATTGTGGCCGTTTCATTATAAAAACACGTTTCGTACAGTAAAATATTCAAACTGTTTCACTATAGTAAGACATTCCCATAATTTCACTTAAGTAAAACATCGCAGCTGCTTCAGAACACAAAAACATCGTAGATGTTTTACTAAAGAAAAACATTGTGATAAAACAAAACTAAACTGTTTTGTCAAAACTGTTTCCAAACAATCAAACTGTTTCGATACAGTAAAATCTCGAACTGTTTCACTTAAGTTTAACATCGAACTGTTTCGCTATAGAACAAAATCTAAATTGTTTAGAAAAGTAAAACACTGGAAGTATTTCACTACCGTAAAACATGAAACTGTTCAAATACAATGTCTAGCTATTACACTAAAATAAAATGCCTGTTTGTTTCAATACATAACATCGTAATTGTTCCACACTTTAAAACATCACAAATGTTACATTATAGCAATACATCGCTAAATGGAAAGAGGGTATGCTAGTCTCAACAATTAGCACAACTGGAATGACTAAACGGTTTAGACAAAGCAAATAGCAAATGACATTATTCTCACGCTAAGCTTTGTATGTTTAGTGTGCTACAAAATCCGATTTCGACTTACTTTTCCATTCGCTTATTGAGTGTTCAGCTTGGTCCACAGAATGATCGTACTGAGTTGGTGCAGGCTGTTGAAAGAAAGCAGAATTTAAATACTTCAAAGAACCAAACAAATTATAAATTGCAAATCAGCAATTTCGAAAGAAGTACTGGCGGTATTTAGCAGGACAAGTGTTGCCAAAGTAAATAAAACGCACTTCCAAAAACCAGCGAAAGAGAATCAAAAATGCATGTTGACGCAAAAATAACCAGCTTATGTTAAACAAAACAATATGTTTTAATCAAACGCGAACCTGTACAGATTGTGCGAAAGAACAAAGTAGACGACCACTCTAAAACTGCATGACCTTTTTCCAATGACACTAACTGAATATCTCAGGAAAAAAACACTCAAATAAAACAATAAAAAACTTTACTGAACAGTGATTAAATGATCGACTGATACAAAGGCAAATATAAGATAGAGAAGGGACATTAAACTTACTGCTTCAACTTCACTGGCATCATACCAAACATGGACGTAGGGATGTTTGAGAGCTTCAGTGACACTACAGCGCTTTAGGGGATCAACGACAAGCATTTTGGACAACAGTGACCGTGCATGATTTGCTATTAAAATACAAAAAAAGTTTGAAAAATTTATAAGCAGATAGGAGTGATTTTGAAAATTCTTAATCAGGTTCTTAAAAATAGCCGTTCACAGCAACAGGCCAGCCAATAATTATCGATCAGTGAAATTTTGAAAACAAAAAAGACATAAATGGGAAAATGCAATTGCTGATGAATTTTGAGAAAGTGATGAATCAACTGACATAAGAAAAAAGACGGCAAAACGTGCAATGTACGTATATAACAAATATTTAAAAATTAAATATAAAAAAACAAACTTTTACCTTTTGATTTGTTACCAGAGGGGAAAAGATCGTCTGGAAACAGCTCACTGATTGAATAGCCCTTGTGTTTTGGACGATTACTGCAGTATGTCCTTACCTTTAAAAACAGAAACCGCAAATCAGATTTAAACAAAGATGCAAAGAAAATAAAAAAGTAATTTTGATTGTGATACAGACGGATATGAAATATCTTTAGGTAGAAATTGTTAACCCGTTACATCAATTGTTAGTAGCCTCGTATTGAGTAGGAGATTACTTGGAAGTAGGCCTAAGTGCTAGAAGTGTGTGTCTTTCATTATTGCGTTATCTTTTCAGAAATAATGTTTTACAATCGTCTGTGTTCAAGAACTCGGAAACAAAAATTACTACATGATTGCTAAACTGTATGAGATAATGATGCAACCAACAGGTTGTAATTAACAACATGTAAACAAGGCTTTAGTAAACAGCATGTAACAATACTGGTAAAGAAAACAACAACAATAGGTAAAAAAATTAGTTAGTATAAAAAAGCAAAGTATTGTTCTCTGAATAAAGGATTATTTTTCAGTCTATATTTTACTATTTGCAAAGCCTAGCATGTTTTATAAAAGTTAAATATTTATTGCAGTAGTGTAGTACTGTAGTGCTGATGACAAAGAATGCCTGACACTACTCACTCATTCCTTCATTAAACATGAACATCAAAGAATTCAAAAACTGAATTTATTAAGCCCAAAAGGGAAAGAAAAAAAGTAGAGTCTTTATGAGGGTTACAATAGAGTAGCGTATGCAAGCTCCATAGTGATTTCAAGTTGTTCTTGCGTGTAAAGTTGTGTTAGTATAAAGCCTGTATTGAAATTCACACGTTGATAGCTTTCTTGCAAATAAAAATCTTCTCCTATTCCTCCCATAAGGATTTTGGAGTAGCTGTACTTTAGTGGTGTTTTTCATTCTAATTTAATGCCAAGCTTATGATTTAACTAAAATTGATAACATTAGAAATCTTGTGTTAAGTTTGACAATACTTTTAGTCCTCCTTGTACCTTATCCGTTTTGTCTTAATCGATTTATTTACCTGTTTGTAATGCACATGTTTATTTGCAGTTAAACTTACTAGTACTACGGTATAAAAGATTCTTATAAGTAAATGTAATTAGCCACTAAATAAATTTTGTTACTTTTGGTCGGATAAAATGAATTAGAAAATAACCATAAATATACTAACTGATGGTTGAAGACGATCGAGGAAGGTGGAGCTTGGTGTGCCTAGCAACTCTGTTACTTTATTCCACTGATCAATATCTATACTTCTCATTAAGGAGGTTTAAAAAAGATTGCAAGAAGTGACCAATATTAATCATTTAACAGAATATAAGACTACTTCAATAACATCAAATCAAGGCAGTCAAAATTCTGGTTAATCAGCCTTTTTTATGTTTAAGAGCAATAATTCACAATGATTTAGCACTTTCAATCCTGTTCAAGAAAGAAGTCTTTATTGCTTAGAAATTGGTTAGATAAACCAGTTTGGCATAGGTTTGCCATAAAAAGGATACGATCAGATCCAGGGAACATCACCGATCCACGGATCATCTCCCCAAATATACAGCCTATAGACCAGACATCAACGTTTTCTGAATACCCCATGCCAAGAATAATCTCAGGTGCCCTGTAATACCTAGTAACCACATAGGGTGTCATGGTGAATGCTGAGCCAGCTGTTCTTGCAAGGCCAAAGTCTAAAATCTAGAATAAATAAAAATTACAACATTAATACCAAATGCCCTATAAAAATTGAGCTTTGACACTTTGACAAATTTTGAGACAAAATAATTCTTCTATGAGAAAATTCTTTATGCAATCTTTCTCTTTTTCAACAAGAAAATGAATGCCATGTTCTTTAAAGAAATGCTACCCTAATGTGGTTCCCTGTACAATGCCGAGTGAAATGAAAAAAAAACTTTCTACCTACAATTGTAGATTCTGAAGCAATTCTATAGAAAGATGTATTTCTTAACGTTCTGATGGTGCACCTACCTTCAAACTACAGTCAGACTTCACAACAATGTTGCTTGGTTTTAAATCCTAGAAAACCAACAATAGTAAAACACAATTAACTCTACTTTAAAAAAAACTTTTTTTAAGAGTCAAAAAGACCCTCTCAAATATCCTTGAAGAACAAGTTCCCTTTAAAACTCACATGTATCATAAAATCTACCAGCTATAGTTCCAGTTATTGACAATTTATGCCCAAAACTACATCGATTGATAGCCTGCAATCAATGGAGTATGAAATTTGCAATTTGATTTTTTTAGCACTTACCCTATGAATAATTCCAGCTGAGTGAAGATGCTGCAAGAAGAAGTACATGAATATCAAGACTTGACAGGACACCTTTTTATTTAAAAAAAGCAAGCTTCAACTACTGTCAGACACTTCATTGTTCTTTGGGGGCAAAAGAGACATACAAGTCTGTTACATAGAAATTTTCTGCAGCCATGCCCTCAACAAATCTTCTGAAATTGCTAAAAATCAACCAACTCTGCCCCTAGAAGAGCATTTTTCAAGCAATTGTCTGTCTGGAAAAAGCAACATTGTTTCTGGGAAGTTAAAAGGTTTTTGAAAAATATTTTCGTTTAAATTCTTATGAGTATCTAATTTTAAAATGACAACAGAAAGCAGCACTTAGACTGTTTTCATTTTGATCATTTTATAAAGTGCATTTTCAATTTATCAGATTTATGTCATAGTAGGGTACATATAGGCAAAAATAAATAAAGTTTGAGTGGATTATGTGTGTGTGAATGGGGCCTTATCCTAGCCTAGAAACACTAAGACACTTTCTATTTATCAAGCAAATTAAGAAAAAGATCATCATTGAAAAAGAATCTTTCAGGAGAATTATTGGGGGCAGCAGCCCAGAACTGGACAGTCCCAAAATAGTTATCAAACCAGTTCTAAAATAGTTTGATTCCCTTGTAGCCAATGTAAAAGCAAAAATAATTAAGTTGTGAATTGTCAAAGCTTAATGGTGCCATTAGCAAAAAACTGAGATAACATTAGCAAACACTGGAGTGTATTCAAATTTTGTCTACTTAAAGCAAATAATAAATTGATATTTTCGTGGTGCAGATTTTACAAATGGCTTTGGAAAAAGCAAACAAATTGAAAGCTTTTGTTCAAAATTTTGGCTATACAGAATCTTTTTCAGCTTTAGGCCCTGGGGTATCTTCTCCCTGACCAACCAAAGTAGGCCTACTTACAAATATAATTTACTTACAGTTTATTACACACTCCTTGAATATAAAGAAATGAACAAAAACATCTCCTGCCATTTATAGACATAGATGACTTAGGGTAAAGTCATAGAAACTTGCCATACAACTTCAAATTAGTAAATAGAAATAAGGTTGGATAGCTTATACAAGAAAACCAAACAAGTCATGCCCAAAACAGGTAACATAATAAAAATAATAATGAGATATTTTGAGCAAACAACCTTGATCCCACAAAGCATTTGGTACAAGAGATAGGAAAGGCGCTCATGATCAAGATCCATCTGAACTACTTGGCACAGATTGGCATCCATCAGTTCCATCACAAGATAGCTGAAAAGATTGTCATAATGTTATGAAACATCTATACTTACTTCATGCTAAATGTGAAACACGTCTTTAGCATCACTGATATGTCAGTAAATTCTCATCAAACAGCTTTTGAAACATCTCAATCATCAAGTTGTCTTTTTTTACTAAAGCTGGCTTATTGTTTCAAAGCAGCAACAAAGACAAATGTAAAGTTGGAAACCAAATATTTCAACACCCATTACTTGGAAATTTATATAAGTGTAAATGTCAAAAACATTTTATGTAAATGAAATACCAAGGATAACTTACAATGTGAAACCAAAGCAGTAGAAGTTACAATATGTTCTAGACTAAAATTTGTAAACAGGATTTGTAAAAGTTGCTTAAAAATACTTACAGATCTTGAAATTCCTCAAGACTTTTGTCTGGAGTAAATACATTCAATAAGCCAATAATCTGCAAAAACACGATGTTTCAAAATTTAAAAATGCACAAACTGATGCCTTATTCTCTTTAATCAGACAAGCATTATAAATGCTTTATGGCACTACACCTAAAATAACACACAGTTTATTTAAGTGGCAGCAAATATGGAACAAAGTATTTGATTTAGCTAAATCAAATGTCACATTACAGACCTTGAAGCAGACTCTACAAAATAGAAAGGAAAGGATATCATATTCTATTTCTCCTTTTCTCCATAGAGTCTACCTACAGAATAAGTTACCCCTGACCATATAAAACTCAACAATGTTTGCCTTTCAACAAAAAACAGTAGGAACAAACTTGCATATCCTGATTATAAGAATGATGTCCTTACCATTTTGAAAAGAAACTTCATGTTTCAAAAAATTGAATTTAACTGTTTTAAAAGCTGTTTCATTCTTTCATAAGCTTGGTTTAATTAGAAACTATGGCTTTCCTTTTATGTACACCTGTCCATCTTAACCAGATAAAAATATGTCAATATAACTCATAGCAAGCCTTTCTCACTTAATAGACATCTGCCTCAAGATGCATGGGATCATTGCAGTAAGTTAATGGAATGATGGTTGCAACAAATTTCATATCTAGGAAAATAAAGGCATGTGCTAAGGCATAGGAGAATGGTAACACACCATTCCCAGTGTGACTGTGTCAAATATATTCAATTGAAAGGACAGTCCCTTGGCTTTGAAAATAAAGAAATTTTTGGGTTGACTTTGAAAAATTGAAGGGAAGAAAGTCTCCAAATTGAGAAAACTGCAGATTTTTGAAATTTTAGGCCAGAAGGCAAAAGATAGGAAGGTATCTTCCTGCAAAAGTTTCTCCTTTCAAGTACTAAAATAGCAAACTAAATTTTTAAACTCAAAAAAGAATTGCCATGTTAGATATTTTTCAGATTTCTCTAGATATCAAGCGTAGATAAAAAGTGCAATAGACTTAATATGCAGCTGTCAAATTACTAGATTATTTCTTAGAATTAGAGAAATGATAAAATACAAGGATTGCTTATTCAGGTTCTAGTTTCTTACAAGACAACCCAAACTTACATTCTTGTGATTTGTTATTTTCAAAAGAACAAGTTCACGATATGCTCGTTTTGCATGTGTTACATTCTGAAAAGGCCTGCTCAGTTTCTTGATTGCAACCTTCTGCTTCAGCACTGTGTCTGTGGCAGAGCTAAATGATAAAAATGTTGTTATCACAGGCCTAGCCTGCAGCATATTTTAAAGCATATATTAAAAATATGAATGAGAAAGATGACCCTGAACTGTGATGACATAAGATCCCTGTAAAAAAAAGATTTTGACCAGAACTAAGTTGCAACCAACCTCTACAATCCAGATTGCAATCAAAATATTTTTGAAATTAGTAAACATATTTTGTTGTAAAAATATCAGTAACAAAAAAACTGGTATTGCATTGCATTGCTGCTTTGGACTAGTGCAATATCTATCAAAAAGTTAAAAGCGAAAAATATCAATTTGGAATACAAGAAATCAAACTTTTGTTGCTTACAATTTTTGACGAGAAGTGTAAAATCTCTGATAACAAAGGAGGTTTTGCCAACAAAATAAACATTTCAGGGAAGAATAATCTGCCCGGCCTTAACTTGCTTACATGGCAAGGCATTGACCTTTTTCGAATGACATAAAAAAGCTTACTCCCGTTACCTAATTTTTCTCATTTTAAGTCAAATGCATAAGAACTGAAGAGTGGACACTTAATACAGGCGGTGTTTGATACCGTGCTATGCGCTCTCGCGAACAAATAATTTGGAAGGCCAGCTATTCTTCTCTCGCTTCCATCACCCAAACCTCGATGATTATCCTTACTAAACGATTACATCAAACATAACAAAGCCAAAACCAAAAAAAAATCTGTCGCCGGAAAGGTTGGACGCACGGGAGCTTCGAATTTTTTTCACAAGAGGACGTTACAAAGTTGTTCTTACCAAACCATTCCTTGGGCTCCAGACCCAATTGGATGCAAATCTTGATATCGCTCTTGGATTACAAATGTTGTATCGCCTATTTGAACTCTGTGATACATCTCGGAATATCTCTGCACTTCCTCGTTAACCAACTTTTTACATATTAATCGTTTCCAAGGAGCGATCAACGGAATAAGGCAGCAGACAAAAAGCATCAATCTAGGACCGGCCTAATTGAACTATTTTGAGAGAAATGAAGACAATACCACCAATCATGGCTAGAAACACTGTTGTGAAGAGATTTACGACATCTAGTGTATTTAAAAATTTAGTTTGGCATTCCTGCATCAGATTCCCGACATTTTTTACAGCAGAACGGAAGTCAAGTTCCGATAATGTCTCTGGGCATGCTCGTTACATGGCAAAACATCCGCTGTGCAACTATGAAAATCGAGCAAATAGTGAATGAATTGGATTGGAAATAAATGTAATTGCTAAACATCATTAATCCAATTTTACCCTAACTAATAAATTTAAACACCTTATAACATAAAGCAAGCAGCAAATCAAAATGGTTTTTGGTTGAGATATTAATCCTTTCATGAATTCAAAATCTTCATTAACATTTAATGGGCGCATAACAATAGGACAAAACAAATTAACACTCTTTTCGTTCATAAGCGACACAACAAATCTACTATCCAAAGTTAGGCCAACTCATCTGAGAGAAAGTATACACTAGTTTATAATATCAAAGGTAATAAAAACCTTGTTTTTAACAGAAACCCGGCCATTAAAAGAAATTCTATGCTTATTTTGTTGGAGCACCATCATGAAAAATCTATGGCCTCAAAAGCCCTAACTATTTCTTGACTTCGATTACTTTGCATAGTTTAAATGAGAAATGAACAAAATCAACAGAGAACAGTCTCTATAGAAATTACAGTGAACGATTTCTTAAAAAGGAACGAATAGGTAAGCCTTGTTAGGCCTAAACGAATATACTTGATGAGGAAATGCCATTACCTGTTATGTACCTGCAGAAAACCCTTGCCTTCCAAAACCTGGCCACGACATTAACGTTTTGACAAAGCAGTTAGTGAAGCGTATAACTTCATGGTACACAATTTGCATATGACAAATTCTTGCTCTTTCAATATTTCTAGAAATACAGTAGAAGAGGAATTTTCATTTCTTGAAACCATTAGCTGGGTATTTGAAAGCAAGTCAAGCTAAATCAAACCAGAATCATTCTTCTTGGATCAACTAGCTTGTTCCTAATTTCAGAAGCAGTGCATGAGATTGGAAGCTAGACGGGGCTTTAGCTTCCCTAGAGTAGAAGCAATGGTAGAAATTAACGACCAATCGGCAACAAATATTTTGAAAAACAACAGACAACCATCATTATTTTTTTGAAAGCTTCTTCATCAATAAACATAAGATTCAGCCTTCTCTCGATATTTTTTTGCAAGCCCGCTAAGATCTATTTAGCTCCTTTCGCTATTAAACCATCTCCTCAATAAAGTAACCCCCTTTTTCGGTGCACAATTGTGAAACAAGCCTATTGCTAGCCCACGAATGTACCAGCTCTTTCCCAATCAAATTTTTGTAATTTGGTGCCTGTTCAGAACTTGAACATAAACCCAAAATAACAGCTTTGAACCTTTCATTGGTCGTTTCATGCCCGATTTTGTATATTTTGAGGTATTTCATGGTGTTTTCAGGTCATGTTAGAAATTCACAAATTCTAAAAATTGATTTTTTTGTGACGTCACACTTGAGAACTCTATGGTGGGCTAGCATCACATACCCAATTTTTTGTCCCACAGCTGATGGGCCTATTCATAGGGTTAGGTCCTTCGGAGGTTTTTCCTCGTCGAAAGCTGCTCTGTATAAAGGGGAAGCAACATCTCACATTGTCTACAAGCACAGTCTACAATGGTCTAGTCTACAAACACATCTAGAGGCTACAAGGTCATAAGCTTATTATCAAGGCGTTTTTGAATCTTGAAGATGAATACTAAAAAATACAATGAAGTGACTTCACGAACTTTCGTGTCGTATTCTCAGCAAGGACGTAACCTATGCTCCAGACCCCTAGCTTGAAGGGCTGGCTTACAGGAGGCCATGCTAAATAAAATATACAAAAATACTTATGCAAATACTGCTAAAACTAAACTAAATCTAATTACAAGAGAAAATATTCTAATTACAACAGTAAAAATATTATATACAAATGAATTTATAATTTTTCCCTAAAAGAATTAGGAAAAATGTAGTTTTGCTTCATTCTTTGCGAGCAGGTTATCATCTTGTGTTGTTCATGAAACCATAAAGGTTTGTTTTATCTTTACCATCTATTGACGAACCTCTCCAAAGTTCGGGGACCCTGGTAAGAGAAGCTATTCTGCCCGTTGGTCGTTTTCAAAAAGGGATTCTTAGGTCATACTACAAATTTCTAAGAGACTGTACTTTAGAGTCGTTCATCTTTTTAAATATATCGCTCATGAAGGACGGTGCATATCATTATGGGCGTTGTAAACAATTCTTGCAGATTATAAATCAATTAGTCCCCTTACTGTGACCTGAGAATAAAAAGGAGTAGCAAAGCATCGAACAGGCTGTTAGAGATAAACTTTTCTATAATCGATACACCAGAATTATCCCCAAACAGGGCATGGGCATCGAAAATAGGACTGAAAGAGAAATATTAGTAAGTATTATAAGCTTACATTGATATATTAGACTTTTCGAGGCCATTTTGTAGATCGTTGATGTATACTAAGAAGCGTAGTAGGTCAAGGTATGACCCATGTGGTACATTTATAATTTACTATCTTTATTCTAGAAACCTTTCAATGTTAATATGAGACAGGAAATCTACTAAGTAGACATTTTCGCAAAGGGTCAGGGTATCGACTGCATGCATTAGATTTACTGTTGTTATATAAGTTTAGAATAAATATCGTTGTTCTTTTGTTCTTAATATCATTATGCTGTCCGTAGTCGATGTTGGTTTTTAAGCACGCTTAGCTGCATCTTGTTGTCTTAAAGAAATTGATTGATGGATTTATTGTTTAGCTCAGTTGGAGTTGGGAGAGGCGTGCTCAAGTTGGAGAGTAGTTGGTGATCGAGTAGTTTGTAGTAAAGTTTTCAAGTTGTTTTCAAAAGTGTTAACATTGATTGGTGTGGTTCTGTAATAAAATAACGTGTAAATAATATACATATATAACGTCTTTTTCTTCGTGGATTTAGCTGCCTTACAAAAATAAAGACCAGCCTTAAAAAGCACAACATTACTGTCACTCCAGTACAGATTAAAACGTGGAGACATGACTTTGACATATACACTATAAACTTGCTTTATGAACACTGATCCGTCCTTGCTGTTAAAACTGAAGCAAAACAATACAAAATGTACACTTTGTCGTACATAAGAGGCCTCTTAACACGATTCTTCCTTACCAAACTTTGTTTCATAACAAACAATAAGCAAGAATTTCAGTTTACTCGAGCACTCGAATGTCTCAATTTAAACTTTTAGTTTTGATTTTTTATTCAATTTTTATTCAATTCTCGGTTAAAACTAAAATTTTGTTTTTTTCCTATGAAAGGGGGCTTGCATACGTATTAATTTGGGCTTGAAATTTTCAAAGAATTCTGTCATTGTATAAGAAGCCTAGATTGGAAGAAGGAGACACGTACTAGAATGATCCCATTTATCGAAAGTCTTACTTTGCACAGAACCATCTGACAACTCCTAAGGAGCCTGTGTCATTAAGAAATAAAAATAAAATCTTTATTGTTTATAAATACTTTACATCTTCAAAAACTAAAAATCAAGTGTGTGTCCTTATTATAATTAACTCTAATAAGCAAAAATTAACGAGTCTTCATCCCATCATATGAGAAGAAAAGATTTAATTTACAAAACAATATCTATTCAGATACTTATATTTCATGCCCAATATCGACTAATGGTTCATTTCGATACGGCTTTCAATATACTCGCCAATACCTTCTAAAAAACTGTCAACTTCGTTCTGCAATCCTTCCCTTTTCAGATGTAAACTTTCTCTGATAAGAGTAATCATTTTGAGATCAGCTTGAACAATCAAGTTCAGGACTGACCGTAGATCAGATCCTTGCGGTGCATCAACCATAACTCTCTCACTTAAAAATATGCAAAACTTAGCTGTGTTTCCTCTTGTTTTTGTGAATGCGTAATCAGTAAATCCCCTTTCGCTGATAAGAGTCTTCTCTAGAATTCCATAAACTTATAACAAAAAAGAGAAGCGTCATATTACTTAATGAAGAGAATTAATATAAGCATTTGGTGTATACGAATAGTTGTGCAGTTAGTTGATCCAAAAACAGATTTGAATACATTAGATATACGGCAAAATTTGATTGACCTGGGTCAGCGGCAACACAGGCAAAAAACCAGCACTGAAAAGGTGGGCGGGCAACAGGGGCGGAGAAAAAATTTTTCGGAGGGGTGCAGAAATGAAATTTGCCGTTTATAAGCCGAAACATCTCGCCATCATAGTTTTGTGCACAATCTGGGCTTTCTAGTAAATGCTGCCCGACTGCGGAATTGCATGTTTTAGTTGTCGTTTTTGTCCTGCGAGGAGGCTGTCCTCTTTAAGGGAGTGGATTGTTTCTAATGCTCTAAGGGACGTGCTGTTTAAAAGTCAGAGGTCTTTAAATAACACACCGGAAAGAGTTTATTATCAAACGAAACATTGGAAATACTGGCAAACGAACACATAAAACATTTGTCAAAGAAAAAACTGGATCTATCATCAAATACATCACTGGAAACAGAAAATCGTCAAATGACTTACAAGAAAAGATTGTCAAACGAAACACCATAAAACTAATCCACAAAAATCAAACAACGCACCATTAGAACGACATGCTATATAGAGCGTTATAAAAACTCTCTCTAACATAACAAAAGACACACTATCAAACGAAACAGCAGAATACAGCGTCCAACGTAAAACCAAAAGTAATGTTTTATGAAGCAGGACAGGAACAACTTGTCAAATGAAGCACCAGAAAGGCTTATCAAACCAAACACCAGATACACTGTCAAACGAAACACCTGAAAATCAACGTCCAACGTAAAACCAAAAGTAATGTTTTATGAAGCAGGACTGGAACGACTTGTCAAACGAAGCACTGGAAAGCTCATTCGAATAATTGAATACAGATTTGCAAAATGAGAAACATTATAGATTTGCATGAGAGAGAAACGAGCGACGTATAAAAGCATACTCTTTCTTTTTACCATGTACATAGTAAAACATAAACCATGTACAGAGACAACTTCAAATATCTTGGCTCTTGGATTCAGTCAAGTGAAAAAGATATGGAGGCACGCATCGGATTAGCCTGGAATGCTTTGAACAAGATGAATAAAATCTGGGATTCAAATTTAAATGATGATCTCAAGATAAAGTTCTTCCAGTCAACTGTTGAAAGTGTGTTGTTGATGGCGCCGAAACCTGGACGATGACCAAAAAAATGAGAGATCGTCTTGATGGTACTTACACGAAAATGCTGAGATCTGTTCTTGGGGTGTCATGGAAAGACCACAAGACTAACAAGCAATTGTATGGAAATCTCTCAAAAGTGTCAACTGTGTTACAAGAGAGGCGATTACGTTTTGTCGGACATTGTTGGAGAAGAAAAGACGAACTGATCTCCAAACTGCTTCTCTGGCAACCAACACACGGCAAGCAGAAACCAGAAAGACCCTGTATCACCTATATGGACCAACTGTTTAATGATACTGGACTGGATTGCACCAACATCAAACGCGTGATGGAAAACAGAGAAGAATGGAAGAAACTGGTTAAAGATGTTCGAGGAAACTCGAATTAAGTCAAGTAAGTCAAGACATAGTAAAAAGTTAATTTACAATAAATATGAGGAGATTCAAACAGCAGCTTTAAGAAAAATATTGTAAAATTTGTGACTCATGAAATCCGAACCTCCAGGTTAAAAATGATGCTGATTAAAATGAAGCTTTCTCACCTGCTTCCAAATTTTTTCGAGTAGAAGGTGGGTACAGGTACTTTTTGATGACGTTGAACCAATTCCAATGTAATTTGCCATTCACACAGTGGGAAGTAATTCGATCAAAAAGCTTTCTTACAATATCAGCTCTTGTTCTAGTGTCCATATCCAGCTTTAGCTCGTCTATGAATTCTTCAGACAGTCCAGTCTGATATAGATTGTTTCTGAAGTCTCCATGGTGAACATTAACTTTCTCAAGTCCACAACTTTTTAGCACAAGACCAAGAAATCGTATTGGGGATCTTTGTCTATATCCATGTTGCTCATCTAAACTGTCTGAAATCTGAAAATAAAAAGTATCAGTGCTCTGTAGAAAAAAATATAATATGAGCATCAAAAAGTGATTTATATATTTCAGGTGTTAGACTATTGGCAAGATAGAAAAAATATTTCTATTATAAAACTGATATATAAAATAAGATTATAGCCAATTGTAAACCTATCATATCTATTGATTAGAAAATAGTGCCACTCTAGAGGGATCGCATTTACTTTAATTGCTACCATGGACGAAATACAATACAGACGTGTATTCTGTTTATTCTGCTTCTATAATTTTATTGTTGAGTTTCATTATTGTTCATTGGGCTAAAAATCATAAGTCATTTTTAATTCTTCCTTAGGGAGCTGTCATCTAGTCTAACCGGTAATGGGGTAGAAGGAAACAAGAGTATGAAATTTTAAGAGGATAATTTGCGGGGGGGGGGGGGCTAAAAACGATTTTGAGAAATTTTTTGAAATGTTACTGAATTAATGTGAATTTAGCAACATCTCAATTTTTAGCAAAATCATTCGTGTTCTATAATCCCTCAAAATCAGAAGAATCTGATGGTGATGTTGAAAGATAAAATCATCTTCGGCTGTATTGGCTCCTTGTCTCTTTGCAAAAAAGTGTCCCAAGAAGGCACTTATACAATAAACTTTATAATTTATATAATAAACTGCTATATCATTCTACCCATTTATTTAGTAAAATAATAAACTTCAAAATGGGACAGGAGGAAAACAGAAGGAAAACAATTGAGAATTGTAAAAAGGGGGGTTTGAAATACATTTCCATATTTTAATGAAGTTTTGAAATTTTCTACAGTTTTTTTCAAGGGGTCTGCAATTTTTTTTTGCTTTAAATGATTTTCTTCTGCCCTGGTACCGGTCAGAATTAATGACAGCTCTCTTATTTTCACTGAAAAAAAACATTTGAAGCAAACTGAGATATGAATAAAATACAAACTTACAATCCGAAAATCACCAAGGTATGGTATGCTGCAAAGACTCTTTCTTTCTTCATCATACATTGTTACGGAACCACCCCGGCCTTGGTCGATTCCAGTTTCTTTGACGCCAAATTTACTTGGAGAAGGGTTGTTTTTATTAAACCTGAAACGATATATGAAAATCTAGGGTTTTACACACATCTCGACATAACGTGATCTTAAGGGTGCTTATCCACATGGGTCAGATCATTATTAAAATCGCTTGAATAAAGCTATGGTCGTGTACACTACCAGTTCAAGAGAACTGAAATGAATTGATACACAGAGATGTTATTGCAACATTGATCTGGACAAGAATATTGGCAGGAATATGGTCTTTTAGACTTGTCCATTTACATTTGCTTATAGTGGAAGCTATAGGAATGTATTTAATCAGAGGTTCGATGAAATATTTAGAAGAAAAACCAAAAATATGCCAATTAGGACAAAAAGAATCTTACAACTTTTAAGATTTCCTTGTCCTTGGAAATAGGAAACTTCAAAGCATAAATTGGGATTGAATTTTCAACATTTTTCAAGGTATACAGGTTTAGGCGTATAGAAAAAACTTTTTGTTTCCTAGTTAGTTAAACAGCTTTAACTTCCTGATTGTAAACTTGTGAACTGTCCCCATTTGAGAATTTCCAAAGTAGATAAACACAATCCAAACCATTTGTGACCGTCGCATTGTGTTACACAAAGACTTATAAGCAGATGTGTTTGATAATATGCCCCTGTCAAAATGCTAATGCTAACCCCTAAGATTACTGTTACTTGGAAAGAAGCGCGTGAATCTTGACTTAAAAGTAACTGAAGCATAATTTTCCATTGATGCATAGAACGCACAAAAATCGATGAGTTGATAAAATTTGAAATCAAAGTCAATTGATTTGAAGTTGATTAGCTTCAGGCTGCTTTCTTATCAAGGAGAAAGCCGACGACAGTAAAAAACGTTTTGCCATTAATCAACCGCACGCTGGATAGTAAGAGAACCGGCTTAGTGTTTCGTAAACAAAAATCAGCAATTTGTCTACAAAGAAGTATGGTAGCAAAGACATCCTCTTAAAAGAAACCCCAAACTGTGAAGAATTCTAAATGTTGATCAACAACAAAAAATTGCTAAATTTAATCATCATATAAATCATTTTTTGAAAAGACACAGAATAATCCGAAAATAAATGAACACAAAAGTGATAGCAGCCACACCTGAGGATGTTTTCACAGGTTCCTGTGTTTATATATTGGCCTTTTACTTCGACTTTAATTGGCTCTAGATCCATTAGTCTTTTCCATGAGGGTGCACTGTCAACAAGGGTATAGTGACCTTCATTGCTGCACTTCTCACGGTTCGGGTTAAATGGTGTACAACTAACGGCTATTATGCGCTGGTTTTGGTGGAATATACCTCGGTATAAATTGAACTCAACATCATAAAGAGAACTCCTATACAGTGTGTATGCTAAATTCTCAAGAGCTTTCAACGTGTACTCCACTGGTGTGGCAATAACCCAAAGCCTGTTGAAAAAATAAAAAAAGCAATGGAAATGGTAAGGTCGCAAAATTAAAATTAACATAAGAATAATCACAAAGCATTTCGTAGATAAAATGGTTTCGCATTCTGCTGGTTCCACCTTTGTTGCTATTGACTAGCCTGTCCAGGAGGCAAAATGAGACGTGCAAATAAACAAGAAACATTTTGCAATGTAGCAGATTCTTTGTAAAGAGGACATGTCTTCTTAATTACATTCTAAACTTCATAAAACATGTATCTACAGAAATTTCAAAATATCATTAAAGAACTAGGTTAAAGAAATTGGTTTCCTCTCATAGGCGAAGGTTGTTTAAATACCAATGTCAAAAACTACGTTATTTAGCGTTACAAAATTAAGGCAAAAAACAGATACTGAAATATAACGATGCTCCAGCTGCACCAAAAGGACATGGGACAAGACAGGATGTCAGCAAAGAGAGTGGGTATGGGAACACCTCTGCAACCAACAATAAGTTTAATACCCCTTTAATCCCAATATTGAAAAAGGGAAACATTCAATAACAATCAGAGATGCTTTAGAAAATAGAATAGGTAAATTGGCAAGAAATTTTCGTCCGACACTCCTTAGAGTGAAAAGACGGATAAATGTTCAAAGACGAGCAGAAGTTTTATATCCAGACGCGGATCGAAAGTACCGTGAATGGAAGAATCCAAGTGGAGACGCAGTGGAGAGTCGAAGAGAGAAAAGGATTTCTTTTTATCTACAAAAGATCTTTTGTTTTGATGTTGACAGATTCAAAAAAACCTACTCTAGTGTCTCTAATAGACGGTCCGCCCGTTTATTATTTTCAGGATGTCCCCACCCCCCCCCCCCCCCCCGTTGCTTATCAGCACCCCCCTTCAATTACTTTATCAAGTTCAGTTGGACAAATTTCACTTGTCAATAAGTTATATTTTGTAATTTTCATCATTTCTCTTGTATTGCTTGTTTATTTCACTGTATAACGTGCAAATGCTCTTAATTTATTTACATCTCCACCCACCCATCTACTATTAAGTAACCAGTGTCCCCACCCTTCTAATTCCACCACAATTTTAATAAAAACTTTACCAAAGTGTTCCCCATCTTTTAATTAGCACTCCACCTTCTTTTAAAACTTGGCCGACATGCATACCTCCTTCTATTAGCAACCCCCTTCTATTGAAAACTGGCCGACATGAACACCCCCCTTCTATTACCTCCCCCTTCTATTTGGGACACTAGAGTAAATAAAAAGACGACAGAAATTAGGGTACTGGCCAGAAGATACCTTTAAACAAAAAAAGTTGAAAAAATGTAAGGTTTCTTGATAAATCAATATTGCCAAGCAAACAAACCCAACGTTATTAGCCACTGCTTACCAGCTGAATGAAAAAACTTCAATCACCATCGTCTGTCTTGCATTGTCTATAGTAAATTTGAGCCCCTCTGCGATTTCCAATTTTGCGCTCGCACCGTCGTCCATTCTAAGAACTCTCACAGAGCGGCCAATCCGTCGAACACCATCACCAATAAGCGGCAATGTTACTATAACCGGCTGGGATATTTTCTCTGTTAAGTGGACATTCACTGCACAACTTACTACAAGATCAAAGGGCAACGAACGCGACAACAGCGAAGGTGAAGACAACGACGGGGAATGCAACGATGGCCCTGAAGGTGGCACATCTTCACTCATTAAGTCCCGAGGAGGCAATGCAACCTAAATTATGGAATAAAATTTTAACAAAGTACAAGTGAAATCATTGAGGGAACGAACTTCATGAGTTTCTTTGAGAGCCAATTCACTCTTGCAAAAGGCGTACAAGACTTCCACCAAAGACAAAGAACTTATAAGGATTTTCAGATTAAACAATAGAATTTCCATCAAATGCGTATAAGATTGCCTTGTGGTGATTTACCCTTTGAGTTTCATCTCTTAATAGCAGTTTAGTGAAGTTCAGGAAGGTGCGCAAAATTATTTTCTTAGCTTATACTTTAAAATAGCCAATTTTGAAGTACAAAGAACAAGAACAAAATTGGTCGACCGTAAAACGATTAACCATTTAAAACATTCCCGTTATTGATTTGCACTTTCATAACTTGTTGGGGAGACGAGTTAGGGTAAGTCCGTAAGGTGTAGGTAGCCCCCCGTGAAAGGAGTAGGTGCACATGCGTAGTTTGCATTTCACAACAGATATGCAAAGGAGGGAACTTTGAAAAAATAAACAACGTAGATCCAGCATTGTTCTAGCAGGTTTAATGCGCGTGCGTACCTACTCCTCGTAGCTAATTGGTTCGGACAAACCACTTACGCTTTTGTTCTAAACAATGGAGCTGCAATCTCGTCTCCCCAACAAAACTCCTGCTTAAAAAACTGTTAGGCTTAATGACAGACACATGACTTACTTTGAGATCTGAGGGCAACGAATGCGCGAACAGCGAAGGTGAAGGTAACAGCTCGGAATGCAACGGTGGCCCTGAAAGTAGCATATCTTCACTCATTAAGTCCCAAGGAGGCAATGCAACCTAAATTATGGAATAAAATTTTAACAAAGTACAAGTGAAATCATTGAGGGAACGAGCTTCATAAGTTTCTTTAAGAGCCAATTCACTCTTGCAAAAGGCGTACAAGACTTCCACCAAAGACAAAGAACTTATAAGGATTTTCAGATTAAACAATAGAATTTCCATCAAATGCGTATAAGATTGCCTTGTGGTGATTTACCCTTTGAGTTTCATCTCTTAATAGCAGTTTAGTGAAGTTCAGGAAGGTGCGCAAAATTATTTTCTTAGCTTATACTTTAAAATAGCCAATTTTAAAGTGCAAAGAACAAGAACAAAATTGCTCGACCGTAAAACGATTAACCATTTAAAACATTCCCGTTATTGATTTGCAATTTCATAACTCCTGCTTAAAAAACTGTTAGGCTTAATGACAGATGCATGACTTACTACGAGATCTGAGGGCCACGAATGCGACAACAGCGTAGGTGAAGGCAACGGCGGGGAATGCAACGATGGTACTGAATGTCCCCTCAATGATTGGGGAATATTAACAATAGCTTATCCTGCCTTAACGGATTACGCTGCTCCCTTTGGCGGGCCAAGCTGCGGTAGTGGACGAGATTTGAAACTGCGAGCAAAAAGCTATCGGAAATGGCAAGAAGATTTTATTACTGGAATAAAATGATGATAATGGAAGCTTTTCCTTTCGCTGTTGACTTATCTGTCGCAGAAACCAAAAAAGTAACAAAATTTTTCTAGCCACAGCTTTACTTCAAGTGGCACACAGCCATTTAATTCAAAAGCTATGTAGTCAAAGTTGTCTCTGATTGGTTTAAATTGTTTAATCATCGATCAAGCTCAACGGTGCGTGAATTTCACTCGCGTGAAAAATAAAGTTGAGCACAATAGGGGACACACTGCCTCTAAAAAACTGTTATACTTAATGACAGAGATGCAAAAATCGAAACCCTGAAAACGTCTTGATGACGCTAAAAATATCTATTGTGCTAAACCATTTCTTATTTCATTCAAATAATTTAAATTTCATTAAACTTATCATCATAAAGTCGAGGACCAAGAATGAGTTGCTTAATAAAAACATAACATTTTGATAACACTGACATGATATTTTTTCAAAAGCGCATAGAGGGTACCGCTGAAAAATCAGGAGCACGATAGGTTTTTGCTAAGCATTAAAAAAAGGAACGGGCTGCAGATACCTTCACTTGGCAATCAGCTGTCTTTGAAAAGGTTCCTGGTTTGAACTGTATAGAAATTCTTTCGTCTTGAGCTGGTTTCCAAATCGCCCCTTCTACCGGTACCGACAAAGTATACACTTTTGGACGAACCACGAGACAAAATAATGTAAATCTCTTAATCCAAGCGCATACAACTGAAAGCGAATCATTTCTCTCAAACCAGTCTAAAAAATTTAAATAATCAATTGCAAATAAGGAGATTTAAAACCATTGAGAGAAGACAAATGAAATTGAATCATCACTCTAAAAACTACAATAAAAACTCTTAAGTAAGGAGAAGGTCATTTCAAGGGGGCAATGAGAGCACAAGATCCTTGTCCACAAAAAATCCACAAGTGTTACGACGCCATGAATATACTTGAACCTTATCAGAAACGATAAAACTACTATATATAATAAACTTCATTTCAATGTTCGTGATTTTAGAAAAATATAGAATACTGATCTGTCAAAGGTTCAGAGTTATACACTCTTCTGTATATTTACAACATTCTTTTGTCCAATTGAAATTTGAAAGATCATTTCTCATATCTATATGCTTGACTATAAAGGCATTTTGCTGGGATAGTAATGCTACCTTGTTTTAACTCTACCTTGCGGAGTACTGTCTCAATTAACAAGGAAACAATGTAAAACTTACAAAATCGTTCATGTATAATTAAGCTCTCCTCGACGTCAATCCATGTTTTCGTCACAGGTTCATACTGTAGCATACAAAGTTCTGAAAAACGATCCAAATGTGAGTCCATAATGTCGCTGCGAATTTCAAGCATGGCTGGAGCTTTCAACGTTATTTCGCCCTGATTTTGATCTTGAACACCGATCACTGCACTCGCTAAATGCTCCGCGTGCTTTAGTGGCACGTCCAGAGGCATTTTAAGTCGAAACAGCTGAGTATTGTAGGGGATCCTTACCAATTTCCTTGGCACCGTAAGGTAGACATGGGAAGAAGGCAAGAACGTATGATGACCAGATATTCCAAGCTTAAGTTCCCCAATTCTTAAAATAAAATCAAATTACAATAAAAATTGAGTATTCTTTTTTCGAAGCAGAAAGTCAATCAGAATTCATTTTGAAAATTTGTGTAAAGAATGTGCAGAAATACAGACCCTAAGACGTTACCAAGATGTTATCATTGCTATCAAAAAAGTTAACTGTGCAGGTAAACGATTTATTGCAACTAAATATCTTATCATAACTATAATAAGCTGTACAATAAAATTAATTGTATCCTAATGTACAAATAGAAAAAAAATACGGTAATTTTCTTACTTGAAACCGATGTTATAGAAATAGTTGCAATGGACCAAGTGTGGCAGAAATGAAGTAGAAAAGGAAAGTTGGGAGGATGATTCAGCCTAGTGAGCAGGAATAAGAGTGACGGAGAAAATGCGATTCTCGCTGGGTAGAACTTCGCTTTGGAAAAATCGCATCTTGGTTGTTTCAAATTCGCTACATAACCATATGAAAATCCTAGTTTTTGATATTTTTGGACGAGGGCTTATTCGAGGGGGGGGGGCTTATACGAGGGTATGTAAGGGAATTAATCGATAGGAAATGAATCGAAATTTAGAACTGTTGCTATCTAAATTTGTCGAAATTCGTCACATGTCTCTTCTCAAGATCGGAACAGAAAATCTTAAAAAGGGTGGCACTAAGTAGCAATATCCAGGGCGTAGCTAGCGGGGGGTGTAGGGGAGTGTTACACCCCCCCCCCCCAATACATCATGAATACGTCGGTAAATCGTCAGTTTGTCTAAAAAATCCTTAGTTAAATAATTTATCAGTAGGTTAAATCGCACCTAAATTCTTCTCCATCTATGTCTTCGTCGGTAAATGTTTCTATTGATGACCCTCCACCCCCTAGACTGGAAGGTCAAGCGACGCCACTAACAATAACTACCTTACAAAATTTGAATTATTACCCAGGCAACGTCAGAGAAGCTAATTTTTCGTTTAATTCAACAGAGGTCCCAGAACTTATATTTGGGCTTAAGGAACCCAAACACAACCCGACTGGTACAGCAGCACCATAGTTTGTTTCCATTTGTGGTTGTTAATTGTTATTTAATAGATAATTTATTTAGTTGCAATACTTAATATCTTTAGATAGTTGAAAGGGTTAAAATTGATTAAATGGAAAACACATTCTTGCCGCTGTGATGTCATATTACGTTTCAGCTACCTGCAGCTCAATGCCAGTTTTGGAAATTACAATAAACTACTGATATTAAGAACCTCCAAAGGACCCGTGAAATGGTTCGACTTAGCGAATGTTCGAGTTATCGGGGATTAGAGTTATCGGGGATTCGAGTTTCGGGAGTTTACTGTACAAATCAATTTTTGGTATTTTCAATGTTTTCTCTTTATATTTACTTCACTAGATCATGCCGAAATTTTTGAATTTTCGATCAACCTCAAAGTATATTGAACACCTACGGGCATAAGGAAAGACTTTGAATGTGTACAGGAAAGTGGACAAATCAAATGAATGTAGATAAATTTTGGTTGTAAAAACGTTCTTAAAAGCAATGATCAGTGACATATTTATCAATAAAATTCCAAAGTAGTATCAGCTTCCGTCGATAAAGCATCGTTTCCACAACCCGAATAAGACGGCCACGAAACATCATTCCGTCGTTTCCGCAACGTGTCAACCACGGATACACTCTCTTTTAATAAGAATATTCTTTTTATTTTACGAATATCTAGGCTCAATATCATCAAATTTTTTAGGAATAATATATAAATATTGTTCAGCTTCAGCTCGAATATTTGCGTCTCATTTTTCAGCAGCTGGCCTGTTTTTCGATATTTATAACAGAGAATCGCACGACTGACATAATTCGTTTTTTCAAAAATCGTGGTTTTTTGTTCAAGGGTGGGCGATGTTGCCCTGAAAACTTACCAGATTTTACGAAAGTAAGGATACTTTAAGAATACAAGTTTCTTAAAAACATCACAGCCGGAGAAGATTTATAGTATTCTTTCAAAAAAAGGGTAGCTCGTTTCCTGTATTTCTCTAATGCCGAAAATTCAAGGCCCGGTTAAATGAAAATTGCTTACTCGTCATGCGGAGGAACCGCAAATTCACTTTCCATGGGCGATTCACTGCTTTTTGGATCACTAGAACTTTTCGCAGAATCCACATCTTTTCCTAAAAGGATAAATGAGCGAATTCTACGTATGACCTCTAATAAATTTGCTATTATAATTTATTATAAGTCCAATACATTTGGAAAAATTTGAGCTCCTGGCTAAACAATTCAGAACGAAGATTAAAACCTTAGTATGGTAAGGAAAGGAAGAATCTTTCATGAAAATGTTAAACTGTTTTGCAGAAAACCGCACAGCCTCTTATTCATACAACCACTTTCATGGCCTCTCCTCGCTGGAGATACAATCATTTAAAATCATAAATATCATATATTTAAAATTTGGATACAGATATGCACAAATATTAAACTAAGAACCAATAATACTTTGTAATCTTTAAACAGCATACGAAAAGTCTTTCTGGGTTAGTAAGAAAAACACTGAAATTTAAAAAACAAACATTTTATTAAAGGTGGATAAACCTCGTTGCCTATACTTCCCGATATGGATAAAGCATGTCATTCGTCGAAATTTTAGCGAATTTGGAAACTTTAAGCCAGAGCTGAGGAGATTATTCGCTACTCAACAACGGTAACATAGGCCAAGGATTTGGCATGAAGTGTTCTTATGCGTTTTGCTAACCGTGATACTGTACAGAGCCAGCCAGTTCAGTGTGAAAGGGTAGTAAACTTTTCTTGTTCTGTCAACGTACATTTCATAGCCATATTTCTTCTTACGAGTATTATCCTCAGTAAAAAATGAGTTCAGATCAAAAATTTGTAGCCTCCGTAAGCAACGAGCCTCTAATCATTATATAAAAAGCTTAAGAAAGTTCTAAGATGGAATGAAATAGAGTTTAGATGGTAACCAACCACATTCCTGTATTCCTGTGAGTTACTCCTGTATTTTCTAGAAATTTCTATACTGCGTAATGCAGTGCAAGGTGTTTGAAATAGTTTTACAACTTCCCGTTATATAGTTTACAATTTGCATGATAATTTGCGACTTTCACGACGCACACTGCAACTTTCCATGATTCACAAACACAAAACAGAATCAAACAGACAGCTTTTCAACATCAACTATACTTGTCCTTCTGTTCGCGACCAGAATTCGCCACCATTTACCGTAGTAAAAACTTAGAATACACTCTTTTTTTAAGAACAATTTTATGAGAACACGAGCCCCGAAATTGGTCAGAAGTTAAGAACAAATTAAGAACAAGCTGTGGCTCACACTGCTTACACCCTATCAAATTAAGAACAAATTGAGAGCAATCCAGCCTCGGATTTTCGAAAAAATTAAGAACAGTCAGTCTGATTTTATAAGAAATTTACTGGTTCTTATAAAAAAAGAGTGTAATCCGTCTGGAATGTTTAAGAGATCGAGCTTTTCAAGTTGACTCAAAGGATTTATGACGCAGCAGTATCGTTTCGGAAAAATCCTGGTGAAAATAATATCTACATTCAGAATCGTATAACACTTACCAAGCTCCTTTTGCTTTTCGTCTTTCTCCTTGTACAAAAAAATGTCAAAATTATGAGACGTTGCATATAATTTTAAATAAAAAAAAATTTTTAAGATGGCTCTAAAAACGCATTTCTCCAAAAATATGGAACCACATTACAGAAAAGTACCAACTATACATATGATTGTAAAAGATCATATTTCAGAGCGTTTAAACGGGTTCTCCAACCAGCATCCAATAATAATATGAAGGCAATTGTTGATTAAAAAATAAACATGTGTACTGGATCATTATTGTCACCAACCATAATTCTGAAACATGGATAAGTATCCAACATTTTTTGCTCAATCAAAATCGACGTTTGAATGACCGACTGTCCAATAAATTTATCATGCTTAGAATTCTGGAAACGGTAAACTTTAAAAAGTTCCTGCAGAACCCCCTTTAGAATAATCTTACCAATATGGCCCCAGAGTTAATAATTGAAAGACTTGAACCCAAGTTACACTACAGAAGAAAGAACGGAACTCGTTAGTTCCGTGCCCGAAAAAGAGACGACGGGCCTTGCGCTTATACTAGTATCTTGGTTCCGTGCTAGTTTGGAAACGTTTCCGTTTTTCTTTGGTTTCGCTGAAAAGCGAAACTCTTCGGCTCCGTTCCCAAATCGTGCTTGTTTTCTCTGCTGTAAACGGTTAGGACGGATATCTTTGGTTATAATTGAAAACACAGTTTAATCTAACATTGGAGCGAGGCTTTCTGGAAATGTCAGACGCCCTGCCACTACGCTTGGTTTACATCAAAGTTCCGGTCAAATTTGATTCTGTTCCTATTTGCTTCGGTTTAAAAGCCATAAAAAATAGGAATCGTGCCCAAACAAGAACCACCAAAGAATTCCGTTCTTTTCCCTGTAGTGTAAACGGAGTCTTAAACTTACAGACGTAAACTTGCAATTTGTAACATTTCACGTAGCAGTTTATCCCAGGAGGTCCTATTAATTATCGTTCGTTGTTCAAAGAATTAAACGTACAGTACTTACCAGCTGCAATATCCTTTCCTTCGTTTCTTCAAATTCTCTTCCAATTCTTATTTTTTCGGCTTCATTAGACTCTAAAGCCTGCCAACGCTCGTAGGCTGTCATTAGATATTTCCTGATATCCATCCTGATAGCTGAATGTAAATCCTCAGGTAGACTCTCTTCCATTTCAAAAGCCTCCTTGTAGTAACGAACAGCCTCCGCGTACTCTTTCATTGTATGTTTTGTTATTGCTAGTCTGTATATCACAAGAACAGTGTCCTTGTGTTTACCTTTCATAGAACGCCTAATTTCCAATGCTTCTAATAAAAACTCAAATGACTTATCGTGTTTCCCTTCTAGCTTGTACAAATCGCCCAAATTAACAAGTTTAGATGAGGTTCTATACAACCCATACAGATCTAGATCTTTTTCCATTTGAAGAGCTTGCTTTAAATATTCTTCTGCCATCCTTGAAGATGTGGTAAAATCTTCACCATACATTTTCTCTATTCGTGCGCGCTCATACCAAACTGATCCAATGTTCTGAATTATCTGCGGAGTATCAATGTGTAATCGTCCCTCGGACAGATGCTCTCTCATTTTCAGTGCTTTATTGTAGCAGTCTAAAGCTTTATCTAATGCTTCGTCGATATCATCGAACATTTCCTTTTTGCGGAAGATATCCTCCAGTATATTGTAAATATTTCCTAAATTTACATATGCTCGAACGATGTCTATATGTCCTTGAGATGCTGGAAATACTTGCTTCAAAATATTCAGACTTGACTCCAATGACTCGATAGCTAGTTGACAGTCCTCCAATGACATGTTTGAATGAATTACCCTATACAGAATATCACCCAAAGTATAAAGAAACAGCGCCTCTAACTGGGAGTACTGTCGATGCTTCTCTGAATGAAAAAGGATGTATTCTCTTTTCAGTTTCATTAAGTTGTGTTCAGCTCTGAGAACCGTATACTTTAGAGCCTTGACTGGATCAAGAAAACCCTCTTCCATTGCTTGCCAGCATAAGTATTGTGTGCCCATTAAAGCATTACCTTGAATGAAAATTAGACATATTTAAAGATGAAACAAAATAGCGTCAACACAGCATGCTGAAATACTTTTAGCCCTACACTCTTCAGAGTATAAACGTCGTATAATAACCGAAAGGAAGCTCGAAAATTAATATTCTTGCGGCAACAAAAATCAATTTTTTTCAAGCCTGAATGAAAAGATCGGAAATGTTCCTGAAACACTTGCTATCAAACTGCAATCATTGTGAAAAGTTGGGTTCATTAAAAAAATTACAGGAATGATGGCTGGTGGAGCTAATAAGGCCCCAGAAGGTTCATGGACACCAGGAGGAGCCATTGAGATACCCTTTATTTAAAATGTTGGAGGTAGCAAGCATTGCAAACTAAAATAAATAAATGTACTACAGAAGAATTGGAGAATAGAATCCTTTCTTTTTTACTTTGTTTCGATAATGGCGTGTATTTGCGTTGAAGAGAGGAAATTGTGTTTTCATTTTAAATTCCAAATACAGTATACTCTTGACAAGTGGGACCCCGGATAAGTAGGACGCCAGCTGTGTAGTACAGAATTTCCCTGTCTCTTGAACTTGCTTACCCTTTTCAAGCATTCGGATAAGTAGGTTGCCCGCCGAGTAATACACTTTTGCTCGGTCCCATGAGTGTCCCCCTTAACGAGAGAAAACTATAAAAGCCTGCGCTTTTATTCAGGAGGCTTACATTCGGAAGCAAGTTTATGTCCCAGGAATGGAGGGCTTATAATCAAGGGGGACTATATTCAAGGTGGACAATATTCGGAATTTTGCAGTATTTAATTACACAATGTATAATAAAGCTACATTCTATACCTTATGTTTCCACTGGAATCAAAATCTAAACAAATTTTCTTTTTATTAAAAGAATTCATGAGAAATTATTCCCCCCACATGAGTGTAAAAATTTTGTTAACTCACGATGCTTGAATGCAGCCTCCGCAAGACTTCTAAAGTATTCAAGCCTCCTTTCAGGTAACAGCATTCCATTAAGAAGAAGCTGGACCTGCTGACTGTCATCATAGTCACCTAGCAATAACAGGTCACTTCCTCTTTGCTTGAAAATGAAATCAAAATTAGACTGGTCTTCTTGGTATAATTCACATGCCTTCATATAGTCTTTATCGATATACTTGCTTATTCTAAGCAAATTATTGTTGAAAAAAGTGATGAATCTTTTTCTAGCTCTGCTATAAAAACTGGAAATTTCTCTTGAATATTCAATATTGCTGGAAAGAAATTCCTTCACCTTTGGATGAATATCAAATATTCGTTCACTTTTCCTCAAATTGTCTGACTCTAGACTAATAAAATTTGTTCCCTTTAAGTGCTCTAAAATCAAATGTACTTTGGATTCTTCAAAATCCTTCAATATCTCTGCAGCTGCTTGGAATGAGAATGATCTTGCGAATAGCGACAAAGCTACTGCACTTAACTGTGTGGTATCGCTTAGGTTTTCAAACCTTGAGGCCAAGACTCCATAAGTGCAAGATTCTTCTTCTAGTAGAGAGACATCTGGTTTTTCATTACTCTTCTTCCATTCTCTAGCTTTCTGAATAATTTTTGGTAAAATATCTGTCAAGCTTACCCCTTTTTCTTGTAGAGCAGCACTTAGGATCCTCAGGTTTAACGGTAAGTTGCGGCATTGCCTGATGGCTTCTGAAACAAGCTCATCGGTTTCTTTAACAGGAGTTGGCCCCTCATGAATCATTTTTGATTTCAGGATGCAGCTAGCATCATCATCATTCATTGAATGAAGTTGTTCTTGATGCAAAAACTCATCTGACTGAGGATGATCACTTTTACTCCTTGATGTTATCAACATCTTCAATTTATCATATGAAAATATTAAGGCTCCTTTTACAAGTTCAGCAAACTCTTCTGTTTTGTCATCACCAATACCAGAGTAATGCACAAAGTCATCAGCATTGTCAAACAAAAGCAGCATATTTTGAGCTGAAACCTGTTCTCCAAGCACAGATTGCACCATACTGACTGTTGCATCATCTATACTCACAATTTTTCCTAGTGCTCTTAGTGTCTCCACACATACATTTTCAATGCTTTTTAAACCTCTTAAGTCAACTGTAACCTGCTGCTCCTCTTTTCTTGACAGCATAAATTCTTTTGCTAGCTTTGTTTTACCAACACCAGACACACCTAAATAAGAAGAGTCTTGTCATCAAAGTCCTTCATGGTTCAACAAAATGTAATAGTTATTTGAACAATTTGAACAAATGTTCAATTCAATAAGCATTCTAGAGAAAAGAAAAAACAAGATGATTTTACCCATTGTTTTTTACAGCAAAACATCAATTTTAAATACATATATGACTCTGATATATTGGATCAAATTTTGAATAGTAATCTTGAATAGTCAAAGGGTTGGTCTGATGATCTGAAGGTTGTGGCTCTGAGTCCAATCAGGATCACTTTAACAAGCCTCCAGCCAACCCAGCTGTCCATCCTTTAGAGGTTGGTAAATGAGTACCCAGGGTTTTAGAATATCAACCTGGGGGTACAAACTGCAGGTCCACAGCAAGTACTAGCTACCACAACCCTAACATATGTTAACAAATAGTCTGCTTGCTTGCTTGTTTGCTTGCTTGTTTACTTCCTTACTTGCTTGCTTGCTTGTTTGCTTGCTTGCTACTGAGTTTTCAAAATTCTTAACACAGCCTTTTTACTGATATTTCAAATTTGTTTTCTGTAGTCTTTTAAAAGAGTAATTTTCAATATATTTCTTGATACTTAACAAATCTTATTTTCTCCTATTCAAGCTTTATTGGAGGACTTCAATTTCAATAAATCAAAATCACCCTTAAAATAACCTCACTAAATGGCTTGCAGAGTCAATCTTTGAAAGACTTAAACTCAAAAATTTGCTTCAAACTGGGGGTACCAAAGGACTATTTGGGAGAAATAAGATCATTTTTTTGAGGCTTATACCTTTTTTCATCTGATTTAGATGTTTTCTATTCTCAGATTTGGATTCAGCACCCAAAAATTGTTTTTAAAATTATTTTACGACAAACATGATTTGAATGGAATTTTACAAGAAGGCAGAAGTATTGTTAGGTTCCCAAACATAATGACCATGCCCTTTTTTTCAGATTATGGATTATGGGAGAAAATATCCATAACTTTTGATCAGTAAGAGATATCAAGCTGAAATTCTGGATATTTTCAAATTGTATTGATATATTGTCGTGGGGATAATTTAAGATTCAAATTTATCTGAGATAGTGTGTTACATGGTCTGGATGAAGTCATTTATTGACAGCTTGCAGCTGATGTGTACCTGCTAAAATAAACTCGACTAGGTTCAAATTAGTTTAAAAACAATTGGTTAAAAAATTAAATGAAAAGTTTGCCTTGTCCATTAGTCAATGTTTAGATTCTTTACTGTAAAGAAATTCAGACTGAAAATGAGAAGTCACAGAACACTGTGTCCCAAACTATTCTGTTTGAAAGCCAACTCTGACAATGACACAAGCCAGAAAGGCCCCAGCACTCCAAAACTCCGAATCCCCTCCATTTGAATCCCCCACAGTTTTTGTGTGCCTTATCTGAAAAAGTTTAGATTACTACTAAGATATATAATTGTTATTTTGTTAAGTAACTGATAAGTTTCTTTTGCAAAATTAAGACAATTATATGCTGATCTATGTTGAGAGAACAATATAAAGTCACACCCTTTTTTATTGAGTTGCTTTTGTAAAATTTAACTAGACTATGTAAACAAGTTGAGCAAAATTGACCTTGGATTAAATGAAACCTAGCAAATTGGCATGACTTACTTTTCTTTGCCACCTACCTTAAAGGTGTCGTTTCTAAAAGACTGAACACCCCAAGAACACCCTAAGAACAAGCCATAAAATCCCCATTAAGTGGCAGAACACCCTTTAAAACATTTAAAAATTGTCATATCATGCAACAAATAATTTGGTTAATCAATCAAAATTAACAACCAACTGATGTTTTGCATGCCAAAGGTGTTTTGCGTGCCAAAAAATTTCCCCACTTTCCACGCAAAATAAAAACACAACAACGGGCAAAAACTGACTGCAGACTATGAAAAAACAGTGTAGCAGGTGTGGAAAAATGAATAAACATCTGTTTGGGTAAAAAACACCAAGATTTAAAAAAGTTATTAAAGGAAAACTGAAGAGCAGTTTTGGGAAAAGTTCGTTTTTGCCAACATTCAGGCCAGTCTGCAGAGTATGGCATGTGCACACCGGAGGTATTTTTGTGCAAAACCTGTTGCACACCGGGTATTTTTGGGTGTGGCAACTAAGATGAGTGTGGCTTGGTGTGGTCCCATAAAAAAATGTCAGCTGATAAAAACAAGCACAGTTGTGTATGAACAATTTGAGATCTCATGAATCTTACTTGACAAATATACAAATAAAAACTTGCGCTATCTTCAACAGTATACTTCACACGCATTTTTACGGTGAAATGCAAATTCATAAATCTCAACCACAACAGGGGAAAATAGTTGGTGCACACCAGCACACCAGACATTTTTGGTTGTGCACACCGGCACACCAGGCTTTTTGCTCGTGCACACCGGAGATCTCGTCGAAAAGTGCCATACTCTGCAGACCGGCATTCAGGGGGCTGAAAGGTTCTTGAAACAAGTTTAACTTCTTGCAAACTGTAAAAAAACAGTGTAGCAAACTTTGTTCTATCGATTAAACTTTAAATGGTATTTTTACCATTTTTCTGCAAAAAGTTATTAAAGGAAAACCGGAGGGCTGTTTTCACAAGTTTCGCGAGACTTTCATATTAACCGGAATTTTTATTTAACTATGAAAATATGAAAAAACAGTAAAACTATGGTATTTGTGATGTTTAAAATTTAAATCAGTCCTACAGATTTAGTTAGTCAAAAGTTATTAAAGGAAAACTGGAGGGTAGTTTGCGTGCGAATCGTCAGAGCGAATCGTCCGAATCGTCAGGCCTATATAAATCAATTACCCCGCGAACAAACGAGTTAAATGTCGAACTCACCCCAAATTATTACACCTCTTTTTTTCTCTAATGCCGCCTCGAGCCACCCAGACTCCCGTTTTATAAATTCTGCGGGCTGCTTTTGATCCCATTCCTTGATTTCTTGTCCATGCTTGCTATGAAAATCTTCTAAAATGCTCTTGAATTTTTCTTTCGAAGTTAGGCTTTCAGACAGACACTGCTCCAATGTAAATGTATTCCTTGGAGTTATCTTATGCTCTTGAACTAATCGCTCCAGAAGTAGCAAGAGATTTCCTCTAGAAGAGTACCTTTCCCCATAAACTGAGACCATCCGTTGGTATGCTTCTTCCCGTCCCCGATCTTGCAACACGCCACTAATCTGATGCAAAAGCGGTAGCATCAGTTCCACAGCGGCCATTTTGAGAAGTGTGTTAGACTTACTCCATGAGCCTCTGTTTCGCTACTGCCTCACTTGACGGACGCTACAACCAGTGGCTACAACAGAGACTCATAATCCAAAGTACTCAAAAACTAACCTTGATATTTGGGAATTACTTTGGCAATTTTTTCGTTTTGTAGCAATAGCTAGATTTTTCTGTAGGTTACACTTTTTCTGGTGACAAATTATCCTTTTCACATTCCTTATCGATCACGAAGTCACATTCATGATAAACAAAAGGAACGGCCAGTTTCTTTCATTTTCCATGAAAAGGCAATACATTCACAACAAATGATAATTGCGAGCAAAAGCCTTGATGTTTGGCAATACCTTTGGCAATAGTTTCGTTTTGTAGCAATGGCTAGATTTTTCTGTAGGTTACCCTTTTTCTTGCGACAATTTAACCTTTTCACATACTTTTTCGATCACGAAGTTAAGTTTCTAATCAAAGGTTTAAGACTGGCTTAAAGGTTTGCATTTTAAACTGTGGGATTTTTGTCAATGATAAATATTTAGCTTTCATAATAGCTTGGCATTGAGTGGCTTCTTCTTTCGAGAAATTCAGGCTATGTTCACATTGCTCTGTATTTGTTTTTATCCGTTTTCATATCGATCCGTTTTGCCTGTTCACACTGCTCCGGATACATTTGATAACAACGTGAAAACGATGACGCGTTCACATTGCTCCGCTCTGGATAAAAAGGAAAACGCCACTAACTGGTCTACAGCACTCGCGACTGCTAAAAAACTTTTTAAACAACTCACTGCCACTAATATTCCTCCGAGTAGTGTACTAACTTGCTAACTAACGAGTGAATCAGCCGTGTTAAGAAAAGTTGTTCAAATTGGCGCGGTCTAAGCATCTTGCTGTATTGTTGTTGTTGTTAGCGTTTTCAAAAGTATCCGTTTTCGGTGTTCACACTGCGTTTTTGTGTTTTCAAAAGACTCCGTTTTCAAGGTGGAGCAGTGTGAACGCAAGGCACAAACGGATACTTTTTTATCCGTTTTCATTTGAATCCGGAGCAATGTGAAGTCAATTTCAAATTTTGAAGATTTTGTTCACTCATTGATGGAATGGTTTCAGAAAACTTGCTGTGTAGTGCACGAGTTTAGCACAAGTCGCATTTTTAGTTATTTTCGGCCAAGGGAGATGTCTTCGTTGATACGCACAGGTATTTTTTGTAGAAATGGGTGCCGTAAACAAAGCATTGTTTCTTCTTCGTATGTACTTATGTGGATAAATCGCGTTTCGCAGGTTTTCATTTTATAACCATTTGTGAATTCACACGTCAAAGAGCTTACTAGTCAGTCTCCGCGTACTTGACGCATGAATAATGACGTGAGAAGTTCCAACAAAAGGCAAACCATAATGTCTGTTCCATAATTTTCACATAAAAAAGCATATTTCAAACCTTCTAGAATTACACAATAGTCTTATGACAATTGTGGAAACTTTATGTTCTGTCATGATGGTGCTGAGCTGTGTTGAAATCTGTAACTCCTGTGATTCATCGCGCGCATGGCAAGTACATTTTTCCCCTATGCTTGTAGCATATGTACTGAAAACAACGCCCCCTGTTTTGAATCGCTCGCGAACAATGAAACGCTTTACTGTCATAGGTTTGGCAATGGTATCCCTATGGGGATGGAAAGTTCTGCTGGGAACAAAGTGGTAGAAAAGTGACATTTATCTAGTAGAAATTGACGGAGAACCGCATATTGCTACACATTGTCTGGGGATGGAAAATACGCATGCCTAGGCCCGCTACAAACATCAATAATAAATTGGCAAGAAAAAGCTTTTATCGAGTGGAAATAGAAAGGAAACTCCGGAAATAACATATTTTCTTACTAATCATTATCATTTCGACACATTTCGAGCAGTACAAGCAAATTTTCGAATCGGGGGATGAATCTGGGGATGAATCTGGGGATGAATCCAGGGCCGTCGCTAATCACTTTCACTTAGGGGGGTGCCAGTCACAAATTTGCCGACAAAATAGGGCGTGGCCTACGGTATTCCAATTTTTGGGTGTGGTATTTTGACGCAATTTATTTTGTTTATCAAAGAGTATGTTCTCGTTAGTCAATCATCGCTTCAATTTTCGAGTGACTGTGGGTACTTGGTTTGCATCAGTAGATCTTACTAATAGGACCGCCAAGAGGTTTCGAAGGCGGAGCGAGCAAAAATTATTTGCGACCACGCCTTTTTGATTGTCTTAAAATGCATTTCAGAATATTTCTTGCAGTCCTTTCTTGCAATCGTTTAAAACTTTTAACTATTTTTAGGCATACTTCTTCTACGTTTCATTGATTTTATTCTTAAAATGAAGTTCATTACTACTTGAGGCCCCCTCGACCTCAAGGCCCTGAGGCACTTTGCCCCCTTGCTCCCCTCAGCAGCCCTGCTTACAGTGGCTTCCAGTACCTCCAGGATCAACGTTCAGAGTTTTTCAATAAACTTTGTCCCCAAACTTTAGGTAGAAATTAGGTCGCCCTGGATATTGGACATTAGATTCTAGACTCCGGCTGCCGATAGGAAGCCATTTGAAATTTTTGGTGGACATTTGCTCCTCAGTGACACCCATAGCGTCATCTGTACCTATTTTGAATTGCTGAGGGTTTTTTGGTGATACTTTTTTGGTCCTATCCTCATCTTACCCAAACTTTTTGCTAAAGCTATCGCATTGAGAACTTCGAAAGTAAAACCCGACAAAACTCTACTTTTAGAAAATTTGCCGACAAGAATTTTCTAGGGGGGGGGGTATTTATAGCTATATGCTTTCAGGCCCTACCAACAGATTGCCGACAAAACAAATTCACAAGATGGAAGCAGTATCTGGGGATAAAAAGCGTTATGTTATAAATAGAGTCACGTCGCGCCTTATGGAACGATTAACGATTTCAGTAAAAATTGTTTCCTCAGCTTTTTTTAACTTCCTAACAAAATCAACTTACTACAAACGCACTCTTTGTTGTATAATCTACATGCTTGTGTAAAGACACTCTTGTCAGCTTTTCTCTCTTTCTACACGAGCAACATTGCTACAAGCCACTTTTGTTAGTGAAAACTTAGGCCATCGCCCCTTATGGAGCAACTCAAAGAGCGGCTATTGTTTGGGTTTCAACGAATATTCGTTCTTGAGAGGCTAAAAAACAAGTTGAAGGGTTTATTTTTTTAGCTAAAAAGCCGACCGAGGGAATTGCCAAGAAAGTTGAGGTGCAGGAAAAAAAGAAAGTCAAAGGTCTACTGACAACTTCATTTACATTCCGCTTACTTTTTAAAGATTTTCCTAACTTTTATGAACAAAATGAAACAAAAAGTACAAGTAAGGTCGTCAGCACAATAATTTCGCGCGTTTTTTGAAAATAAACAAACCCAAACTCCTTCATATTAATATTTAACATTGCACAGTCATAATTCATGAAAAAATCGAATCGTTCCATAAGGGACAACGTGAGCATAGGTTCCAAATCTTTGATTGGCTGAGCGACCAAAATTCTCCTTACCCCATTAGCCAATCACAATTCAAGAAAATGACAACAAATGTGCCTCGCAGGTAGATTCAGCCCTATTTTGGACGTTTTTACCACTACCCACAAAAAACAAACGTGTGAAATGTGCTGAAAGATAACCTGAATTTTTTTGAAAATTGAATCTTCAATAAATTTATGGAAAAACTGCAGTTGTAATCAGTAAAAATTTTCCCGCAATCGTTAGTTAAGAAGCCTTGAAACTGTCCCTTTCAAACCCTTATAATAATTAGGGGGGAGGGAGCACAGAAACAGTTTTTACAGTTTTTGAACCTTGAAAGTTGTTCCATCCACGTAGTAAACAAATATGAACTTACCTTTACAAGCCAATATTAAAATATTTTCTTGTCGGCATTGATGCTTGTGTTACTGACGGAAAAAACGCTAAATTCCTAATAAATGACTTAACAAATGCAGCAATAATATTGAAATTCTCAACAATCTCTTTGCAAAAGATAGCAAGATATATTATGATACTGGGACTTTGCATTTGTATTTGGTGTTACCTTGCTTAAAATAAAAAGGTTTTACTTTATCCCGTTTTCAATTTTATTCACGTTCTTTGTTAATTGTAGTTCATTTTTAATTGTATTTGTAATAGTTGCTTACGTAAAGTTGATATTCTTTAGGGCCTTGTCGAACAATCGTTATTTAAACAAATACACGTTTAAAAACTTTAGAGGACTGTTTTTATATTTCAGTAAAGGACAAAGAAATTATTATAGGCATTTAAAGTTGTTACTTCGTTGAAGTTGTATAAATGTAGAGCATGTTTTTTAGTTATTTAGTTAGTTTTTGCCTTCGGGCATTATAGGCAAGACCTGTTTGGTCTTACAAACAATGCCGATGTTAGCATTATTGAAGGATCTTGAGCAGCAGCTGTCTTGAGAAATTGATTGTGTTTTGTATTTTCATGCAGTACGATATTAGGCCGGTTTTGAAAATATAGTCGCAAAGCATGCCGGTTGCACAAGAGTCTTTAATAAGGATGTCATTACACATTTACCGTAAAGAAAATCACTTGCTTTTTATGAATGTTGCCAGTTTCAGGCAGCTTTAGCTGTAAAGAAACATGTGAATGGTGATGCAACGATATTAGAATAAACTGGCATCCCATATGTACAATATCCTAAGCTAGGAATAACAAGCAGTTGTCAATTGCGCGCGCACTAACACGCAACCGTTGTGATGTGATGACTCTTTGTTGTGTATGCGCGAGTGGCTAACGATTAAATTATTTTAGCACAGAATATTATGCTTCCTCCTTTGTCTTGCGCAACAATAACTCGTACTTCATTTGGAGATGGCAAATTTTCCCTCATATTTAGAATAAAAACCTTTCACCTTTCTCTTTCTAATCTCTAATAATGAGAAGAAACCATCATGCCAAGTATGTTTTGCACTGCGTTCTAAAACGTGGTAAAAAAAGAGGGCAGAAAAATTTTCGAAAGCAATAATAGATATAAATAAAGGTCTCTTGCTAAAGTAATTAAAACATGACGCTTTGCAAAGCAAGATATCTTGGACGAATTTAATGATATCTTCGTATATAGTGTTTTCTTGAAGTTTGTTATTTTGTTAGTTTGTACGTGCTGTTTTCCCACATACTAGTTTATGGGGTGTTTTAGACTTTGCATTTTCACAAAGAAAACCATGCCATTTTGCAATTGTCTTTTGAAAGCACCTGCCTTGCTGACAGTGGAAGAATTTCATTCATGTTCAAAGATTGTCTGAATGATAATAAGATTTTGCCTTCTACAAGCATAAACCTCTTTTCCACCGGCGCGCGAAGATACAGGGCCTAGCACAAAAAGTATCCAGTCAATAACGGCAAAGAAGAGCTTCATCCAAGAGTTAAACTGTTCTTGCTTCTTACCTTAAAGGTACATACTATCATTTCACAGGGCCGAAGGTTGTTATTTCGATAAGCATACCTCTTGCATTTTGGAGAGAATAGAGCCAAAATGTCTCATACAAGGTTACTCGAATTCAAATAATACAGAAAGTCGCTTAGAACTAAAAGATAAAGATTTTTGTGAAAGGAGGAGATGATTTACTGTAACCGTTTGTCTCTTAGGTAGCAAATACTCTGGAATATAACAACTTGTCTTTCTTTATACAGGAAAAAACTTCAGATAGACCAGGACAAGAAGTGAGAAATTACACCTTTTTCTCGACAATTTTTAGGCAGAAAATAGTTATTTTATTGCTTTTCCTGACTCTAGAGGCTGGCCTTAACCGAAAACCTACTCCGGAAAATGCTCCGCGGATCGGATCAGATTTTGTATTGCGCACGCGCATTGGATGCAAAAATGGTCACATGATTGATCTACGACAGATCGAAACGGATCGAAAAAAGTTGAAACTGTTTCAACTTTTTTTAAACCGTCCCGGTACAGTAGTTTTCTTTTGATCAAAATCGGATTAGAACTTTTTAAACAATAGAGCACTTGCATCATGGCATTCCAATCTGAAACGATCCGTGGATCGAACGGATCTGATCAGAACAACACGATCTGATCCGATCCGCAGATCGTTTTCCAGAGAGGGTTTTCGGCTTAAGGCCTTTTTTGTGTAACTGTGCGAGATGATGACTTCATATTTAAGCCTGCTTTTTGCTCTCCTTATTGCTTTGATAGCTCCAAATATATTGTGAAACGATTCGTGATCTTTGTCATTTGATTTGTCATTCAAATTTCCAACCATTCAAGTTATGACCGAGCAAATAAAACACGTCTTCACTACGTCAGTGCGTCAGTCAGAAATTTTTCAGTTTCTTATGAAGAAGACTAACCACCTTCTCGAACGGAGTCCTCTTCCGAAAAAAACGTTTCTAAAATACATAGAAGATGAAAGAAAAAAACACCAATTTTCTTGGTAGCGTTTTTTTTGTCACTTGTTCAACGGTTTATGTGCTTATAATTGCCTTCACATTTTAATCTTAAAGGGTCTTCTGACTCAGGTTAAGTTCTATAGCGTCATCAACTCCGACCATGCTAATCCCTTTTGGTATAATAGAAGAAGTGACAGTGACTATTTGATAGACGATAAGAACGATTAATTTTATTTGTTTGGACTGGTATTTCTATCAACTTGGAAAAACCGCTGTTTTCAAACATTTTCCAAACAGCCTCATGCTTAAAGGTAATGTATCCAGCTAAAGCAAGCAACTCTGCGGGGGTTTCCAGAAACATATGATTTTTCATGCGATCGCCCCAACAATTAAGGTCGTTCTGTTCACCACTCTGCTGCGAGGTTATCTTTTTATGTGAGCAGTTTTGCTGACCAATCGCAAGCCGTTATTTTGATGGATGGCTTGACAAGTTGGGTATACGCAGTTCTTTTATATGGATGGACACATTACCTTTAAAAACCGTAACTTTTCCTTTCGTTTTAATTTGTTATGGGAATGCAGATTCAAAGATAAAAAAAATCACATTGCGCATGTGCAGCTTATGCAAAAATTTCCGTCGTGACAAACTTTCGGACAACTGTAGATTTTGTACAAATAAATTTTCTGACAAGTCTTTGTCCGAAAGTTTGTCACGACGAATATTTTTGCATTTAATTTACTTGAATCCAAGCATCCCTTACATTGAGAAGAACGCATTCATTGAAATTCGAGGCGAAACACATTCAAATTACGAAAGATTCGCAACAATCTATTTGTTTTAAAATTGAACATCTATTTTGACATATCGCACTTCGATCGTAAGCTGAACATCGATCGTACTAGAGAACATCTGCGAAGCTTCTTTCAAATGACGATCTTGCTGTGAAATTGGCCCTATGGCGTGCATTAGATTATTTGTATTGTTCTAAGAATGAATTATGAAGGGAATGATGTGCTGCATTAGTAAAAATAATATCAAAAGACCTTACTTAAAGTGTATTAAAGATGATCATCATAATAGCTAAGTAGTTAGTCACAACAGAGACTATGAAGGTAATTCTGACAGATAGGGCTTTTTACCTTTGGGCATCCGATAATATGCAAGGAACAAGGGTCCACTTGACTAATTACAAATGTTGATAACAAAAATCCGACAAAACACTTCATTCACTATCAGATATCTTTAGGCATTCCTTTCCTTTCAGATTCATGCATTTGGTTAGTCCTTCGCAGGGGCTTTGTTACTAAACCTGCATTTCTCGCATCAACCACCTGTAAAATAAATTGTAACGAATGAGCTATTGTTGAAAAAAGTTAGAACCGTTAACACCGCTAAGAGTGGAGTTGGTGAGGGAAGAAAATTACCAGAACAAACAATAACTAACTTCTGGAAAGCGAACATTTCAAGGATCGCGGAACAGCTGACAAACAGAGGGAGGGGTCTAACGTAATAGTAGTGGTAAATAAACAGCTGTATGTGTAGGTTTGTCACCAGCTTCAAATCAGCGAAAAGATACGAATAATAGTCAAGAACAAAGCAACACGACAACTAGAATCCTATGTAGTCACATGAATTGAATTTAATAAACACCAATATTTCATCAGAATAAATGTAACGAACGAGTAGATAAATTTAAAATGTGCGATGGTGATGCCGGATTGGTTGATGTGGAATGGTGTGAATACAGCGCAGCGGAGAAAAAATAATGGGATGATAGAACTGGAGGAGGAAAGATTGATGGGTGATGTGAGGGAATGTGGGTGGTGCTTTTATCATTATTATCATTATTCATTTAAAGTAGGCGTATAAAAATAGCTACAAAATAAAAGCTAATCCAAGCCTACTAAAAAGTAAAATTGTTAAAAAATAAAAAAATAAAAATACATATATATCTAACATCAGAAATAATTAAGTATATATACATAAATACATATTTTACAATGTTTTACAGCATTTTTGGCATTCACAATACAATACATTTATCCATTCAAGACCCCAACCTGAGCCACGAAAGGTTCACAAAGTCTACAGTTGCATTCCTCTCTTTTCCCAGATTTTATTCTCCTTTTAGAGCTGGAGAGGGTATCTGATTATTTCATGTCATTGGGAAGTGCCTGCCACAATCCACTCCCTAGAAAAGATATTGTCTCTAAACCATAGCACGTAGTGCGCGCTTGTGGCAGTAGTAGATTGTGGCAGCTTCTCAACCCATACGTACTGTGTTTTTCAATAAAGATGTCATTCATGAAAGTAGGATTGAGCTCACATTTTGTTTTATAAATTTCAATCATCAACAGTTGTAAATTCCTGCTGTGGATTGGGATCGCATTGTCTCTGAGTAACATTGTGTCAAAATCTGATTTCATATCTTTGTAAGTTATCCGCAATGCCCGTTTCGTGAATACGATTAACTTTACTATTAAGTGTTCTATCGCAGAACATCCAAACAAGAGGACAGTAGTTGAACTGGGATTAGATAAATGCCTTCATTATTCTCTTTAGTTGTTCAGTATCAAGAAAGTTAGAGATTCTCGAAAGAGCATGTAACTTTCGCCAGCCTTTTTGCAAATGTAACTCAATTGCTTTTTAAAGCATAATGTTTTGTCTAGAATCACTCCAAGCAGCTTTTATTTCGTGCTCTCTTTTATCCTGACACTTCCGATATTTAAAGAAATATCATTACTTTAAATCCCAAAGACCATCCGAAGTTTCCTGCTGATAGCTAAAATGTTTTAGGAAAAATTCATGTATGTAAATCTTGATTGTTTGTGAAATTCAGTTCACTAAATTCAATGGGCTTCATCCAGCATCCTTTGTCAGAACCACAGCTATCATCATTAATGTGACCAGAGTTCAAAGCAGAGGGCACAAAAATTAGAGAACTTCATTAAGAGTGTTTGATACAATAAAAGGTCAGTTAAAACCATGCAAAACAACAGCATGTACTAACCTCATTGAGAAATTTGTTTATAACCTCAGAATACCCATAGCACTGCCAGGTGTCATTATGTGTCCCAGTGACAAACGTTTCAAGTCGTTTCATCGGGGCTGTTGAAGCCTAGAAAACAAAAAAAATCTTCCCTTTCATCAAAAAGTTACATGTCAACTTACTAGTTATCAAAAATGTTTTTACAATAAAAACTTTCTCTGAATGTTTCTTTCTTCCTTTTTGTAACAAGAGCTTTTAAGAAAAGATTTAACCTCAAAAATGAAAAATGCAAATTGCTTTAGATAGCTTGAGTTAAAAGACTGAACTTTTCAAAAACAGCAATATAAGAAAACAGAACAGTACCAAATGTTTATCCGCAAAGGCAAGCCCAAAAATTGCTGTATTTGAAAAAAACAATGTGGGCAACTTACATTGTACAAATCCAGCATCATTGCAGGGGGCACAAGCTGATCTGCAAGGCCAGAAATGAAGAGCGTTGGGACCAGCAACATTTTGATTTTCTCCATTGATAAAAACTACAAAGGAAATCAAAATTTGCATAATATACAAAACTAAAAAGTTGTCTACCTATATTTGGTGCTTTTACATACAGATGTACCGATAAGCAAGCTGAATAAAAAGACTCAATGATACTAAAATTTTTCTCATGACACTCCTTACATGATCTAATTATGAACTGTTAAAAACTTGCAAAGGTGACCAGAAACGTGGGATAGGGGGGATATATTTCCATTCACCCTTTGTCATTTCCCAGCATTTCATACTCTAAGGAGCATCATTTAAGCTTAAATTACAAATTGAAGAGTAAAAATACAAAAAAGTAAAGAAAAAGACTTCACCCTGTTCACTTGAGAAAAATTTAATTTACTCTTATATCTGTCATATCTTATTATCTATGTACATAATATATTATGTTTTTCCTCAATCTTCATTGTTTTTGCTGACTGACTATCTTTACTATGATTATGAAATTCTATCAACAAAACTGAAAGACAGAATAGTTTGTGTATTAAAATGATACAAAACAATAAAATAAAAGAGCTAAATAGCCCTACTTCATGAAAGCTGTGGGAACCATAAAAACTGAAACAAGATTAACATATGAAATAAAGTGTGCCAAACAATATGTAAAACATTAAAACTTGTCTTAAAGATCTTACATTGATTTTAAAGAGGAGATACTAAACCAGACATACTTGATTCCTGTAGCAGACTATTGGTAGCTTTTGAATCCATGGAAACATATGACAGGCTATATCTGGAATGCTTGTAAATGTGTTTTCAATAATCAGTGCAAAAATGTGCTCTGAATAATCTTGATTAGTTGCAAGGTCTATTGCCACAGCACCACCAAGAGATCTTCCATAAAGTATAATTCTCTCATGATCAATATCGTCTCTTTTTAAAAGAAATTCTAAGGCTGCTTCTGCATCTGAATAAAGTCCTAAAAAATAATGAATCATAAGTAAACTGAGCAAATGAGGAAAATGTTGAATAAAAACTTTCTTGGAGTAGCTTTTCAAAACTTTGCATCTCAAAGAGAAAAAAAAATAATCATTTATAATAGCAAAAGATTGATCATCTCTCGTTCTATTTTGCAAAAAATATAATTTTTCTATTACTTATTTTATAGGGAAGAGACTTAGGAAGTTTAATTGGAGCCAACCATGTAATGAAAGAGCAGAATCAAAGTTCAAAATAAAGCATTCCTTGTGCAGAGCCAGAATATAAATAAAAAACTTATGTAACATATAAAAATATATATTAAGATGAATTTTTTATACCTTTTTCACTTGGTGATCCCTCACTTCGACCATACCCTCTGTATTCTACTAACAATACATTACAACCACTGTAGGTATAAACAAGGTGAGCATTCAGAAGCCTGTGTCCAATATTGCCGGCATTTCCATGAAAATAAATCAGAGTTGGGGCAACTGAAAGTCTCCGCTCTGCCTGTTTTAGCAACAATATATTTATCTGTATGCCATCTTTGCTTTTTATGTATGAATTTTCAAATGGTATTCCCAATTTGTGAGGCGACTGAACAAAAAACCTAGATGATTCTGGCTGATCAGGAAAATACAACAGTCCATCTTGAAAATGATAAAATGCACCAACAAGTGCACTTGCAAGGAGCAAAAAGATTACAACACCACCATACATCCAATATAATAAGATTAAGGACAAGATTCCAGCACTGCATCCTCTCCAGCATCTGTAGATCAGAATCAAAACAAACTTTGCTACTTTTTCTATGGTTCGGAAACCAGAGTTTGCAGGAATATAATTATCATCTGGAAGCATTTTGCACTGTTTCTTGGTTTTCACTGCAAATTATTGTCTAAAGTGGAATATCTAAAAATAAATAAATTTATTATCACCAAATTTATTCTTATCATTTTATGTGTGTTTTATATAACAGGGTGGCAGTGCAATTTGACAAATATTGAATGTTGACATGTTTGAAAGTTTGTTCTACATACAGTGTCTTTGCTATCTTTCAAATTTTATTCATATTTTTTGCTATTATAAAGATTCTACCATTATTCCAAACACTCATCTGAATGTGCACACTTTGCTGCTAGCCTCTAGATAACATAAGGCATCCATATTAACTAACAATAAAATTTCCATAAAAAATTTCAACAAAAGTGTGAAGAAATTCCACAAATACTGCCATTGATTGGGTATTTCTGGTCTCTGCCTGTGATATCCTTCTGGATAACTGCTCCAAAACTGTAATTTGGCACCAGCTATTATAATTGTTATCATTACTGGGCTTTCAACCTAAGCAGCCAAGGCATGTAACAAAGTTGACGTGAATCAGACTGCTGTGCAAGTATCAAGCAGTGCCATAAAATGATTAGTCCCATTTACTAACTTAGTGATCCTAGCGGACATCATTAACAAGTTTGTCTTTGCTTAATTGTTATTTTTGGTTAAAAAACAAAATTCCAAATGTGCAAATTTGCAATTCATTTGGTACAAACTGTCCAGTTCAAGCTTACACTACTTAGAGAAATAAGTTCCAGCATTGCAATGTTCATCTCTAGCTTTCTTAGTTCCTTTGATGAACCTATTTGAACATATTGCTTTTATTGAAGTTGAACCTTTTCTGAAAACAGAAAAAATTTTATATTTGTCTTCCCCATTGTTTAGATTCCCAGAGAAACTTCATTCTGCACTCCATATTCAAATACTTAAGATTTTATTAGGGTTTACAGGGCAGAACTTGAAATGAAAAATATTAAAGCACTTATAATTTCTTACAAATCTATTGGTAACACATCTTTGTACACATTTGCACAAACAATTTTAATTTCATGCATTTTAACTAAATAAACAAAAGATAAAGGCATATCGTCCACTGTACTACAAAACGTCAGTGCCTAATGTCTGTCTTACATTTTGGCTTTAAATATCAAAATACCTTCAAGACAAAGTGATTTCAACACTATTATTCAAACATACTGTAACATGTCATTTGGCCATACCTTTTAAATGCATCAAATAAATGTCTTAGAAAATCTTTTGGTCTTACAAGACTGATGTGAGAAAAATCTAATTCCATAACTAGCATCGCACTTCAATCTGCAGAGATGGGTGTAGCAGATGCTCAACATTTAGGGGGCCTCAATTCTGTTCTTGCCTAAATATCATTGCTTCATTGAAATAGAATTCCCTGAAAGGGGCTTGAAATGTGATCAGTTTTGGCAGTATAAAAAACATGCAAAAGCTCCAAGCAGCAGCTAAGGAAATTTCCTTGCACATGCCCTAAACTTCCTTGTCACTGTCTGACTCCATGACAGACTCATTTGAAGGGAGCAGCTGATGTGAATAATATGCTGAAGAATGCCGTAGTAGGAGCAAAAGCAAATTTGACAGTTTATGTGTCCTCATGGTGCGATGATGACAGTCAACTGTGATCAACTATTGTCTTATCGGGGTGAAGATCCTTCTGGTGTTAAGGGTCCTTTTTAATGTTAGTACTTAAGGGTCCTGGGTCTCAGGGTCTTAGGGTCTGGTTTTTTCGGTATGCCCCCGGTGAAAAATCTTGCAGGATCCTACAGGATCCTGTGGGATCCTAGGAGGATCCTAGATTTTTAGGATCCTGGGCAAGATCCTACCACAAATCCTGCAAGATCCTGTGTGCATAGGATCTGATGCAAGATCCCACATAAGGATCCTGTAAGACAAACACAACTTAAGATCTTACACAGGATCCTACCAAAAATCTTACAGGATTTTAAAACAGGATCTTGAATGGGATCTTGCTAGGATCCAGAATGACATTGTAGGATCTTACAAGAACTAGATTAGGATCTTACACAAAACAATTCCAAGATCCTATTGAATTGTGACATGGATCCTGTCAGGATCTTGAATATAAAGATAGGATCCTGTACAAATTCAAACAGGATCCTGTTACATTCTGACCAGGATCCTTCCAGCATCTTGAATCCTAAATGTATAGGATCCTATACAAGACCTTACATAAGGATCCTGTAGGAGATAAACAACTGAAGATCTTACACAGGATTCTACCAAAAATCTTACAGAATTCTAAAACAGGATCTTGAATAGGATCTTGCTAGGATCCATAGTGACATTGCAGGATCTTACAAGAACTAGATTAGGATCTTACACATGACGATTCCAAGATCCTATTTGATTGTGACATGGATCCTGCCAGGATCTTGAATATAACGATAGGATCCTGTAGAATCTTAAAGAGGATCCTGTTACATTCTGACCAGGATCCTACCAACATCTTGAATCCTAAGCGGTGGTGTAGTGCTATCAAAAAAACAAGGGGGGGGTCTTGCACAAAAAGTTGCAAAAAACAATAGAAAAATATAAATTTGCCAAGTTTTGGCATTAACAAGGGGGGCTCAGCCCCTAGCACTACACCCCTGATCCTAAGTGTATATCAATCGATTTCGTGGACTTTTGATGCAGCAAAGCGCAAGAAAAACAAAACATATGATCATATCAATCTCTGATGTATATAAATACCACACCCTTTAGTTTAGCTTTTTCAAATACATTTCAGAATTAGTTCTTCATGTCACTTTCATGTATTGGCTTAAATCGATTTACTATTTTTAGGCATACTCTTTTTAAGTTGAATTAATTCCATTTTTAAAATGGAACTCATTACTTTATGTGGCCCCTTAGATGCTAGACGTTGATTCTCTGTTGCAGTTTGCCCCCTCTTCCCAGAGGCGTCGGCATAGGGGGGTACGGTGGGGGTGTGGTATCCCAACAATTTGTTGGTCGGCACAGTAAGGATTTTTTCTGGGCACTCGCTCTGCAACCTTTTTGCAACATTTCTGTGTAGTTGAACTATCAAAGTATGGCACTAGAGTATAAACTTTGAAACAGAAAGGAATAAAAGCAGCATGCAAGAGTATTTATCTTTTTTAGAGTATTTATAGTTTTTGACCACACCCTTAAAGAATGAAACGCGCCCTTTTTTGTCGGCAAAAATCGCCTCTTCATCCCTCTAAACAATTTTCTTGGCTACACTCCTGCCTCTTCCCCAACTCTTGGGGGCCCTGGGCATGTTCAGGCTATCAATTTTCTTTTTAAGGTTCAAAAAGTTTGAAGTTTATCTAAAAGGCATAAAATTCGTCCGCCATAATTAAAGCATCAGTTTTATAACGGAGCAGCTTTCCATTTTAGCACTGCACAAAACCGTTTTGTCATTGCACAAATTGGTTATCATTGCACCCCAAATTAGATATGCTGTCGGGTAAATATGGTTATAGAAAACGATGTTGAACTGGAAAGAATATTTTTCAAATAACTTGTTTTCGACTTATTCAAAATCAGGGACTTTCAAGGGGTGGTCGTGCTGTAACCGGTGTTCTGGTAGGTACGGGGATTCATAAACTGCGATAACCATCGCTAATGAAGTGAATTGTCGCATGCCTTTTTTACCAACCAATCAGAGGACACTTGGCAGTCCAGCGGGTCACATTTTGAACGAGACAATCTGTTGGTGGAAAACAGAAGAAAGACTTGCAAAATGCGACCCGCTGTAAAACGCGACCAGAGATGCAAAATGCTGAACATCTGTCAGGCGCTTTTTCCAAAAAGTCAAGATTGAAAGCAAAAGAATCGAGAAGAATGGATCCAGCCCAGCAGGTAAATGAATATTCTTCTTTGGTACTGTGCTAGACCAGAGATTATTTTAAAAAAATTAGAGTCTGACCTAAAACTGCTGCTAGAACATGTAAAGGCCAAGAAGGCTAATTTCAGGAAACACTTTAAATGAGTAGATTTTGTGTGAACCTTGAAAATTGCACTTTAAAATTTCAAATTGCTCAAAAACTGTTTCAAACCGCCAACAGCCAATTTGCTACAAAGTTTAGAAATCTTTGTATCGTTTTAAATGTTATTAGTGGGCCAAGTTTTTACATCACAAAAGCTAACATGCGCATTTTTCATAAGAAACTAAGCAAACTACCAGTTAAAATTTTCTTAACTTTATTAATGAATTTATTATTGAAAGTTTGCTTCAATACCAAGAACTAAAAAGCTACTTTATGGGAAAAAACACAAACAAACGCAACAGAATATCAAACGTAACAAACACCTAATCAGTTGTAAGGAGTTATATTCTTTCTATTATCTATGAAAATTTAACCACAAATAGGTTTCTTATCGACTAAAAGAACTAAATTTCGAGCAGCTTCTTAAAGTTGGGGGTGATGAATACTATTTTTTAATTTTTTGGCCATTTTGGGCTCGTTCTTATGGAAAATCTGTAAAAAACTACTAAAAAAATGCTATTCAGAGAATCATTTTCTGGCGCCTCATTAGTTTCATGACGCACATCAAAGAGGCTTTCTCTTTTAAAATAAAGAGCTGGCACACATCTTTCAACCCACTGCCAAAATTGGGGCTGTTCCAAATGCCGACAAGCTAAATTCCACTCAATTATCTAGATGACACCCCATTACTAGAAATCACATTGAATTCCAATTTGTTTTGTTTCTGTCAAACAATCGGTTGCAAGGAAATGGTTGCAGTCTTCTTGAAAGGCTTGATAGCGCAGACCCAGGTCATAAATACTTATAAGCAAATGCCACCATGCTACTTTTAATATGATCGTGCATTTCATAAATAATTCAGGCGCAGTGAGAGTCTAAATTCGTATAAGGAGGTTGTCGATAGACAATATTTCCTAAAAATCTCGACAGAGTAGCAAATTTCGTACACATTTTCCAACAATGAGATGCTTTAGGGGGGCTGTAGCTTCCCTGACTTCAAGGAAAATGCTTTACACAAATGTCATAACGTTTTCAGCTTATCTCAAACAAATATTAGCTCTCTTCTATATGAAAAAAGCGTTTAGAACATCTACTTCATAAAAAACTATAACTGAAAGTCTCAGTCCTCCAGGTTATGATAATTTTGTTGATAAAAAGGGGATTCTGACTTTTTTGTCTGTAAAAACGATTTTTTGTAGGTTACAAAAGAAAACAAACAAGTAATGTTCTGTGGAGATTTCAACCTAGGATTGTCAAGGTACGAAGATATACCTCCTGGTCCCGGCAAGATATACAATTATAGCGATTTTAAAATATTTTTGGTTATGGCATGATTTGTCTTTAATCTACTATTTCCTTTGGCTAAAAGATTTTACGATTTTTCCAAGAAAGTCACATCTTTGGCCATAATACCAAGAGGTTGCGAAAAGCAACATTTGTTGATGTTAAGAATCAGTTGATGATGTTGATAAACTGAAATCGGTTCATAAAGTGTTCTACCATACTATGATTGAAGACAAAATAGTAGATTGAAGACAAATCATGCCATAACCGAAAATATTTTAAAATCGCTATAATTGTATATCTTGACGGGACCAGGTATAGCGGTACATTATTATATTCAAAATATATAGGATTATAGTAGGGATAATACTGTAATGAAGTTCATAAATGCAAATAAAAGTTTGTCTGCCATGTAAACATGCAAAAACAAGAGTTCAGTGGCCCCCTTTGGTCCGTTGCACCATCCTTTCTTGTACTTGATGGAAAGAGGGCATGGCTATGCAAAACAGTCACCCTTCTGCGAGATATTCATTGTAAGACATTTCAAGACTTAATTTTACAATGTAAAATTAAAACCAATTTCAAATCCTTATGATTCATCTGGAACCTTCTATTTTTTGAAATTTTAAATCTTTTCTCATTCTAGGTGCTTTCAATGCAGTTTAAAGAGAGTAAAATACAGCAAAGCAGAGTGAGGTTATAAACAGAACAATTAAACAGAAATGTCTTGACAAACTAGTAAATTAAGCATAGTTGATGAAGATGTAGTATACAAAGATTGTGACTTTATCAAATGTGAATCACATGAAACTTGATTTGCTCTCTACAGATCTACTTCTTGAACTCTTATTTGGTAGAAGGTCCTACAATATCCTTTATTAGGATCCTGAACAGATCATATACAGGATCCTGATTAGATCATATACAGGATCCTGATTAGATCCTATACAGGATCCTGATAAGATCATATATAGGATCCTGAACAGATCATATGCAGGATCCTGACAAGATCATATATAGGATCCTGAACAGATCATATACAGGATCCTGATTAGATCATATACAGGATCCTGATTAGATCCTATACAGGATCTTAAAAATATCCTGTCCAAGACCCGAATCATTTCCTACAGGATCTTGATGAGATCCTATTCAGGACCCTGCACATATCCTATATAGGATCCTTTACAGGATCCTGCAAGATTTTTCACTAAGGTTCAAGAAATACATAGGATCCTATTAAGATCTTTTAAGGAATACTTTTATTCTTATCAGGATCCTGTAAGATCTTATTAAGATCCTATAGGATCCTATAAGATCCTATAGGATCTTGTACAGAATCTTGCACAAGATCCTGTAGGATCCTTTACCAATATCCTGTGAGGATCCTTATAGTGGTTTGGATTAAAGTTAATTCTCCTGCAAATAAATTTCTGACAACCAGTGTGTGCACAGTGTGCACAGTTTTGATACAATGTATGCAGCAAGCTTCTAATGAGCAAAGTATTTGTCAATTTGTCTCACAATGTGTGCACAGCAATAATTGGTGTATGATTAAATTTCAATTATTTCCACCTTCCTCCCTTGTAGTTAGTCAAACTTCTAAGTGGGAGTGTGAGATTGAAATGTAACCCTCTAAAAGTTCACTCATTCAGTTGGTTTCAACATAATTCAGTCCACAGAATGGTCTCTACAGAGTACATTCTTACCATCCCTGGCTTAGGAAATTGAGAATAAACTTTCTTTGGGTCTTACAAGACTGTAGTTTCTCAGAAAACTGAAATATATGCTAAACAGTAGATTTTTAATTCTGGGCATCAAAGGATTTATGGCAAGCATAGGTCATTTTCAATATATCAGATCAAAATACTGAGATATGAGATGACTCCAGGGCCATTATGCAATAATCTATAGGGTGCGGCCCTTAAAAAAGTTTCCTTGGGGAATACCCCCCAGACCCCCTTCTTCTCACTTGACAAAACTTTCAGATTTCATTGAGCAACCCTGAAAAGCTGTGCCTCATATTTCATTTAATGTATTTGCATACCAGAGCTTTTCAAATCAGAAGGAGAGGATCATCTAGAGAAATTTAATCTGCTCACAAAATGCACATAGTAAACGTGGTAAATGTTCTCTAATTAAGTTACAGACAGCAAGTTTTTCAACTTGTGACAATCAGATGGTTCTGATACTGACCAACATAAGTTCAAGTTGTTTTATGAATACTAAAGTCCCCATTCATCAGCATTTCAAAATTTCAAAGAAAATGTTGTTTAGACCAAGAAAGGACATTTTCCAGGGTGGTCCTTAAAAATTTTCCAGTACCCAGAAAAATGTGTGTGCAGCCCTATTTTTGTGTGTGCATTAGACAAGCCTCTGAAAAAATATTGTTTGTGCACATCCCACACTCGCCAGACTGGTCTGACAAATGTTGTGATCCACTGATTTTACTTATTGCTTTTAAGAAAATTTTTAATCAAGGACATGAATATTATAGCAGTGTTATGTTACAGAAGCTGCATCTATAGCTCTCTTGAATTCAAAGAACAAGAAGATGATAATACAATAATGGCGGTGATTTAATGTAACACAATAGGCTACAATGCTAAAAAATAGACAGTGACACAAGAGGCTGGAAATCCAAAAAAAGATCTTCTACAAACGAAATTTGACTTTCATAGGTAAGACAGAATGAGGAAATAGAATATTTTTAGGTAAATTGTATTTACCACAGTGGTTCACATGTCTTCAACTGCACTGTTAAGTAAAAACAGTCCTTTCTCCACTTCGAGTGGTTCACTTCTCTGTATCGTTGATGCCAAAGTTACAATCTCGCTATCAGTCAACCAAAATAAGCGCACCAACGCGTTGAATTGGATGATATAGCGCCTCCTGAGTGTTCGCAGAAACCAGAAACTGACAGAAGCATTTTGTTACACGAGAACACTGCTGAAATTATTTATCGATAATGTGTATTTGATCTAGTGACGTAAAACTTATTAACTTGTAATCAGGGTCTCCGACGAAGGGGGGGCCAGGGGGCCATGCCACATTTTCTATTCTGTGGCCATGCCCCCATATTTCTGCAAAAAAATGAGTTTTTTCAAAATCTTTCGTTACGATTTGTTGAATTTTCCTTTGCCCACCTCCCCACTTTCCAACCTGCGTCGGAGTCCATGGTAATGATTCATTCCATCCATCATCACCATTTACAATTCATCCATAAAGAACGAAAAAATTGATGACGTCATAAAATCTTTTGGGGATATTTCGATTTTGACAAAACAAGCAGGAGGTACACCTTTGAAGATTCAAAAATAGTTAAATCCTTTGCATGTTTTCTGAGATATTCATTATTAATTATTCGAAGTTTGCTAATAGATTACTGTTATTTTGGCTTGGTAATCATGAGTATTTTGCACATACAATGGTCTTCTTTCGCGATATGCTGAAAATCCAAATATTCTGAAAAAAAGACTTTCGTGACGTCATTTCTTTGCCATTCTATTCGTGAAAAATTGCTCTAAATGAATTTTAAATCTCTTATGGATGGAAGTTTCAATCTCGAGGAAGATATTTATCTATCTTATCAAAGTACCTGAAAGCACCAGAGAAAGTTACAAAAATCTCCAGCATCACGTTCGCCATCTGCTCAACATCTCATTCGTATTGATCATTTTATCCCGTCTACCAAGATGAGTATGCAAGCGAGAGGGTATCCAGTTTGTGTTTATACTGTTTGTAAATTTCATCCGGTTTGCCAAGAAGGATTCAGCACGAGATCAGATTTTGCGCATTTGCAGCAACGAAATTTGAACCAGTGTTTGAGGAATGAAGTTTTCCCACGTGCAAAAGCCCTGGATACATCCAAAAACGTTTTTTATCTTCGTGAAGCAATAAAGAAAGAAAAAAGAATGTGGAATATCAAATATTTCAAGAAATGATGAAAATAGAAGTTTAGCCAGGTTAGCATTTATGAATTTATGGATATCAGTTTTGTTGGAAAATCTATTGTCTTTGTGCAACCCCTTTCGACTTTATTTTGCGATTTATTGAAAAACTTGGGGTGGGGAAATATTTTGGCAAAATATGCTTTGTAATGTTATGATTTTAAAACTGCCTGTAAGTAACTAGAGGTTTTCAATGGGTGTTTCTTGTTGATAAAAATTGTCATTCCCTTGTTGGTGAAAGGGCAATTTTTCACAGTTTAAAGGCGTAGTCTAACAAGCTCTATTTTTGCATAGGCCCTCAAAGCCTAGTGGCTGGCGCCGCTTCTATATGCTGTAATCAAGCGAACAATTGCGATTCGTGTTTGCTCATCATTGTCAAATGTTCACAAATATTAGGAAACGAAGCTCACGAGATTCAATGAAAATAAATGCAAATATTTAATAGCAGGCATCCCTCTTGCTTTTATCAAAAATAACTCTGCTTTTTAACTACAGTAAACAAACATTAACATGAGGACGTGTTGATGTAAAGGAGGTCATGTTCAACTTACACTCTTTTTTATAAGAACAATTTTATAAGAACACGAGCCTCAAAATTGGTCAAGAGTTAAGAACAAATTAAGAACAAGCTGAGGCTGAGCTACTGTAAAATGAAATTTTGAACAACGTTTTATCTCAGAAACGAGGATTTTTAGCCATATGTGGGTGCTTTTTCAGTGAATATTCAATCATGGCGGCAAATGAAGGTTGTCTCGCGCATTTTATTGGCAAAAGAGGCCTGAACACCTCTTATACCATAAAATCGCACTGCTTATACCATATAAATTTAAGAACAAATTAAGAACAATCCAGCCTGAACTCAAGTTTACTGGTTCTTATAAAAAGAAAGAGTTTGTAAAAAATGCAGCATTGTGGAAGTGTCCTAAACACAACTGGGAGGATCTAGAAATTGCAGTCCTCTTTGTAAAGATAGGCTGATCCGATTCGACTTCTTCGAAGTTCAGAATTCATATTTGTCATTGGCCATCTTTAAGAAACAGATAATGTGAGATTCAACCTTGGAAGATTTCATAAATGTTATCCGAAGAATGCGTTAACTTCCACGCCTTTTTCATGGCATCTTTCCTAAAGTATTGCGAAAATCATACCCTCTTAGACTCATTGTTGAAATATGTTTGCTTTTAAAAAAAACAAGTAAGGGCAAAGGTGTTATTGAATACCTGTCTGATCGTTTATCCAACCTCTTTATACAATTTTACATCTTTGACAGAGGATAAGGTAAAGGAGAGCGAGGGGGCCTTTGGTCCTGTAGTTATCATTAAGCCACGTCCTTATAAATAATTGCAAAACTTTTCAAATCCCTGATCACTGGGATGTTGTCATTACAATTCAAATAATGACAAGGGCTACGAAGAAGGGGTGTTCAATGCGAAGTGAAGAAAGAAGATTCTCAATTGACAATTAGAAATACTTGGTGAGAGATGATGTACTTTGACTTTAGAGCAAATAATTGACAAAACCTAGAAGCAACCCTAAAGCTCGAGACTTCTGAATTGTTCTGAACAGTAGAGTGGAAAGTTCAAAATATGTCTTGAGAAGATGAGGGTGTAGAGATAAAAAATATAATATTTTATATACAAAATATTATATCACAAATATAAAATTTTCAGTTAACATGGAAAAGTGGAAACATAGCATATTCAAGAACTTTTCGGCTGACAGAGAAAAAAGTATGTCGAATTTTTTCCGACAGAGTAAAATAGTTTGTCGAACTTTTTGTCTGACAGAGATAATGACTAAAGGTAAGCATATGTTTATATCTAGGCAAAGATCGTAAGTAACGCGTGAGGATAAATGACGCGTTTTATTGGGTCCTTCTTTTTGACCAATCGGCAACTGGTATCCTCTCGCCAAAGAAAATTTTCTGAAGTACGTACTTCTTCTGTTTTTTGTCAGAAATTAGCCCAAGATCGTCAAGTATATATTCCACTAAAATTTTGACCATCGGCACTAAAGTAAAGGTTAGCACAAAGCGCCAGTTAGAGATTTTAATGTTAAAACAGCGCGAAGCTAATAAAAAAGTATTTTGGAGCACTATTCTCTTTTTCAGAAATCCTGTAGTTCTATCTCGATGTTTGAAAATGAGCCTCTCATTGCTAGACAGTTAGTTTGCTTTGATTCAACAGCGTTTTGCCTTTGCAACGTGAGAACTAATTTGGGCATGCAAAAGTTTGCTAACGTAATAAGATTAAAAAAAAGTCATAAACCCCAAACTTTGGCCGGTTACAATTTTTTCACTTTCTGGCGAAAGGTGCTCTTTCTGCATATAATACAAACTGATAAAACATTTTTGTCGGAGCCCACTGTTCAACACATTGCTACGTCCCTGCATAACGTTTCAAAAGCAATAAGCTAGTCATTCCTGTTTACTATCCTGCAAGCAAGAAAAAGCTTCTGTTCTCTGTGTTGCAAAATTTCTGGCTTTTGTTCTATACGACTTTCTTTCGGATGCAAGAAAAACCCCATGTTTGAAAGAGATAAAAAAGAGGCTGACCTCAAAAGTACGTTTAGTCGCTTTTGAGTACAACAGTTAGAATCAGTAGTATCATTTTAAAATTACTCTGCTTGGTAAAAATAACAAAATCGTATTCCGTTCGAGGAAAATCTCCCCTTGAACTAATCTTTGAACCAATCTACCCTTACTCTTTGAGGGAATGGAAGGCCTCTAATCGCTTATTTTCGATTTGCCTGCAATTTCTAATTCAGGTTTTTCTTAGCATCTTGGCAGAAACCATCAAACGTCTCTACTGTCGCTAAACCTGATGCATAATGCTAAGTACGAAAAGAAGCCGGTCTAACAAGGTTATTATTGAGCCCCCCGTCCAAAGCTGCACGGTAAATATTGGAAGTGTTTTGCCATAGGCTGGTCATCATGTGTTGTTGTTGCCATAGCAAATGCCAATGGGAGCCAAGCAGCAAGTACTTATAGCGTTACCTATAGTTTAAACGCAGAGGATCAAGTTATTGCACCGTGCTTCGAGCAATTTACACAGAATGTGCCAAACAGTTGTCAAAATGACTCTTGTCACTTTTTGACGTTGATGTTTACTGGGATTTCATCTCTGCTTAACCTTGAGTAACCTCGCAGAAATTCAATAGCCGAAACAAACTGTATCAGTTACAAAGAAGACACATAGAGATCAAGGCTCTTTTAAAAGCATTTATTACCGTGAGTCCAACGATAGTAAGGCTTCGATAAGGACAGAGGGTTTGCTAATCCAACACCTCGTTTGTGTCTTTTTTATTCCACAAGAGACAACCACTGCTTATAAGCAGAGCCAGAGCCGTTGGATAGAGATAGTGGTTTGCAAAATAAATAGCAACTGGGTATCGGCGTGGCTAAATATTTTCAAAGACGAAAGTATACTTCAATAGGTATGTTTTATTCTGTAGCTTAAAGAAAAGTATAAATTAATATGCAACAGTAGCATGATGTCTTTATTTTTAAACTATTTCCCTTAAGAAGGGCACATGAAACGTCAGCTTTACTGCAGATTAAACAGATGTGCTCTTCACTATCCTCAAATTTCTCGAGGTAAAAAAGCTTGTACCACTGACTCCATTTAATCTTTTTTATCCAAACAGGTTTGATGTCACTCCTTTCAGTTTTTATTTAGTTTCCTTGTTTAAGACTATGATAGCGCTCCAAAGAGAATGAGGTGGCATAGCATTGACATATAAACCTCGTGCAGTTGAAAATACAAAATAGGTCGGTCTCATTTAAAAGTGGACCGCAGCAATTACTCATTTAGGACCTTCTAGTCCTAAGTAAATGCGGAAAAGGCTATGACGGCATGTCTTTAACTTGAACAAGGTGCTTAGCAAATTTAATAACTTGGGAAAAACGTTCAATAAGTCGATCAACCAATGCCCGAATGTTCGCTTAAAATTCGTATAGGTATTGTCACCAACACCCTTGCCTTCTCAGAGACTTTTCTATAGCTTCCTATGTTAAAACATTCGTTACAGTCTCTATCAACAAACGATGGCATGGCAGCATTCAATGGAGTGGGGGCGAAGGGTGTGTCTATTCTATGGTAAATATGAACATTGGAAAATGAGCAGGAATTAGCAAACAGCATGTCCGAACACACATAAATTAAGATATGAAAAAATTAAAATGGTCGATTGTAATAGTGAGTATTTATCAAGGTTTAAGGTAATAATTAAACGGAGCTCTCTGGCAATGTATCTACCGGGCAAATTACTAGAGTATTTAAGAGGATTTACTTCAGGGGTTGCCCCCTATTTCCTTGCATGTTACCTCTGATTAAGCAAAAATCCTCTCTGTCACAGATTATATATAACGTGGCGCGCTTATATATTATATATAACGAGATACGAATGATAATAAGTATAGCCTCTAATAATCTAGCAGCAGAGGTCCTCTTTGGAACCTCAGTTGAAAACGTCGGGCTGTCTGTTCGTATCAAGCGAGAATTGCGCGAATGGACCCCTGACAAACAGAAGTATCCATCATCTATTTAACTTCCAAGTGCACGTTGCAACATGAAAAAGGAATTCTCAAAATTGCTTTCCGTATAAGAAATCTATTGTTCTCACATATCTAATTTGAAAAATTTTGTAACAGCATGTAATATGACCTCGTTTTATGACGAAAAGTAAGAAGTTTGAAATCTCGTAAAGCTAACCGTATTGGCGATCTGCTTGCATAAAGATGCCTTTATTCAATAAGGCTAGATGCGTCTAGACAGTAAAGTAGTTAGAGGAAAACAGGCGGGGCCAAAACTCTCCCTGTGAAGCAACATATCATTGAAAAAAGGCATAGACAAAGTTCTTCTCCTTTTTGAAACTTTTCAATTGATAGTACAAGATTTTCTTATGAAAAGCTTCACGCAAAAGAAGATGAAAACTTTTCAATTGATAGTACAAGATTTTCTTATGAAAAGCTTCACGCAAAAGAAGATGAAAACCTCTCTTTTTCAATATGAAAGTAGAGTTTATTTTCAATAGTTTTTTTCGCCTTTAAAGAAAGAGTCCACTGCAAGAATCTTTGGAGGAACCCCAGCACTTTTTTGCAAGACAACAGAGCTTTTCAAAACAATGGAGTTTTGCAAAACAGAAATAATTTGTTATGATTCTTAAAATCTCCTTTGGCCCCCCCCCCCCCAAACTTTCCAACCTGCGTCGGAGCCCATGGTTCAAATAGATATTCGTGAGGAGATGAAGTACACTCTTTTTTTATAAGAACCAGTAAATTTAAGTTCAGGCTGACTGTTCTTAATTTCTTCGAAAATCTGAGGCTGGATTGTTCTTAATTTGTTCTTAAATTAAGAGGGTGTTAGCAGTGCTATTGCTAGCTTTTTCGCTCTAAGGAGGTGTTCAGGCCTCATTTGCCAACAAAGTGAGTGAGACAGCCTTAATTTGCTGACAAATATGAATATTCACCGAAAAAGCACCCGCACATCGCTAAAAATCCTTTGAGAAAATCGTTGTTCAAAATTGCATTTTGCAGAAGCTCAGCATCAGCTTGTTCTTATTTTGTTCTTAACTTTTGACCAGTTTTGAGGCTCATGTTCTTATAAAATTGTTCTTATAAAAAAGAGTGTAATAAGATAGCCAGAACCCACGTTGAAAAGAGGGGCATCCCCCACGAACCAAGAACAACAAACGTAGGCACGTAAAATGTCTGATGTATTTAACTGACCAAACCATGCCCAAAAGCCCAACACGCTTTGTATGCGCGTTTAATGTCAATATTTAGTTGGCATTGAGGAAGGTTTCTGCTTTTTGACCATATGATATGTACATTATAGATAAAAACTTGCATAACATTTACTCTATCGTAAATAAAACACCCGTCTATAAAAGTTTTTTTACGTGATAAGTAAGATGTCAGTGAAAAATGAAGGAGGGTTGACACGGTAACAGTCAAATGATCAGGGCATGGGTCAACAGTCCAGTTCAGTTCTGAATTCTAACTCCTTGAAAGAACATTGCTTTCAATTTTCTACTTGAAAGTGCAAGGAAAAACAAAAAGAATGTAATATGCACCAAAGAACTCTTAGCAGCACGTTTGAAGAAGCAGATCGATTTAAATTCACTACAGTTATTGATGTAACTATTATGCACGCATTAATCGCCAGAATCGTGCTATGGAATCCTACCATTAGGCGATTAGTATAGTGTTTGTTTGATTATTTTTTTTTCTGCAGAAGCAAGCATTTACGCTTAGAGTAAATTCAAATTTATCAGCATTTGTACGATGAAGGTCAATTATGACCGGAAACAGGGGCTGGGGTCAGGGGGAGGGGGAGGGGTAGGTCATATATTTTTCTGAGTTTTCTGTAGTTTTCTGAGTTTATTTGCATCGGACTAAGCACTGATGCAGAGAAAAGACGCATATATAAGCCAGACAAAATAACAAGCGCAAGGAAATGAAAGGCATTCAGATCTTTGTGTGTTTACATGACAATGACGCAAGCAAAACTGTAAAAGCATTCGCCGTAGAATTTTCCCGCGAAGTTCATTACCCCGCTTTGATGTAGTGCAAGAGAATCAAACAGGGTCAGAGATTTACATTTACGATGAGTCAAAAGCAGTTACGTTCATAAATTTGCACATACATAAAACGACAACGACGTAGCAAGCAGTAATGGTTTTAAAAACAATTTTCAACAAAAGGGACCTTGCTAGTGGGGAATCATGGGCCAACTAGTGGGGAAATTTGAGGGCCTGGTGGGAAAATTCCCCACTTATTTGCATGTTGAAAGTTCCCCTGACCCAGCTTTATTAACGAAAAAAGAAAAACGAGAAAAAATTTAATATATGGGCTAAAATTTTTCATTTCATGCTACTTAGATTTCTTTCTGAATATATTTTAAAAGTTTTATTAAAATCAAGAAATTGTAAAATAAATGAAATAGACGGATCTGATTATTTTCCATTTAAAGACAAAATGAAGTGCGTCTTCTAAAACCCAAAGGAGCTTGTAACACAGCTTTTATACTTAAAATATATTTCATGCTTTTACAATCAATTTTCATTAATCAGAAGAGAGTTTTTACTTTTACAAAGATCAAGCAAATTACTTTATTTATAATTTAGCCAGCGATGGATTGGAAATCCGAGGGCCTCATTCCAGGATTTGGCAGTAGGTAAAGGAAGGGGGCGCAAGGGTTGAGACAACGCATCCTTAGGGATTATAGCATATATTAAATCCTCATTTTGGATAAATTTCCTATTGCCATTTTGGGTACCCTCGGACATACAAAGTTACGTATTCACATTATCACTCAAGCTCTTTCAGTCTGTGACGGACAAGCTGCCGCTGAGTAAAAGTTAATGGACGTAGCCTTAGGCAAATTTTAATGGACATATAGCTCGTTTTTGCATCAGTAGAATACCACATACTCCTATTACTTCTAATTTCCATCGGTAGATATTAGAAAGAGAGAATTATGGCCTTCCCCTAAAAAAATTGCCTTCCCCTATCAAATTATTTCTATCAATTTCTAGAAGAATAAAGTAGAAATGTCAACAGGTCTTGGTTAGGAAGCGGATACAAATCTGGGTTAGGAAGCAAAAACTGGGTTAGGAAGCGGATACAAATCATAATCTATAGAAGAAAAAAGAGTAAAATTTTAGCTGGATGAAAGTTGAGGTATTTTCTGCACCCGGTGTTTAGGATTGTAGAACTCCAGGATAAGAAAGTTCGCTAAATGATATATTCTGACGATGATATGCATTGAAAATCAAGGGTTGGAATAAGGTAGGGTTACGGTAGGGTCAGCGAAAGGGTTATCGATGGGCCTAGGATTAGTGTAAAAGAATCGCAATGATTTGGCCTGAAAAGAGGAGAATGTAAAAAATGTTAGGCAATTTTACATTGTACCGAAACGGTAAATAAGCTTAGAGCACCTGAACAAATCTAAAAATAGAAATCATACCGCATGTTCAACTATCATAATTATTTAAAGTATTATTGGATGAATACGTGATACCCTCCCCAAATTGCACATATCTAAAGAAAGGCTTAAATGGGAAACTTGGGGATCTGGATTACACGTCCTCTGTGGCGGCGGAGTCGCAAAAGTTGAGGGTACCTATGAGCTGTACCACTTTTCCCGTCGGCATATAAAGGATCTTTTGTTACTGCATTGAAATAGGTGCATGCTTAGTTATATACTACAAATATTTACTATACATGGTCCTATACAAGTTGAAACCATTGCCACAAATGTTAACCTGTTATTCTTTCAATATTTTTTTACCACTGGATGCCTTGATACGGTTATACTTGTTGATCATATTAGAACTTTTTAGAATGATGCGGTTTTATTGATGAGTATTGGGTTTATAGGAGAAAGTGGTAAATAAGAGGGTTGCCGGGCACAGGCAGGATTGCCGCCCACTGGTAACTGATACAGCAATTGCGTATGTCATAGTTCAAATATTTTTCGTTTCAGGTCCCTGAAAACGCTTGACAGACCACTCAAAAAAGGCTACCACCTCGTACAGGAAATGTTTCGTGGAATCATTTCGGCATGGTCGCATGTTATTTTACACACGTCAGCCAGAGTTATATAGCTGGAGTCGTATAGCTAGAGTCGTATAGCTGGAGTCATATAGCTGGAGTCGTATAGCTGAATTGCTATAGCTAGAGAGGTATAGCTGGAGTCATCTCGCTGGAGTCATCTCGCTGGAGTCATCTCGCTGGAGTCATCTCGCTGGAGTCATCTCGCTGGAGTCATCTCGCTGGAGTCATCTCGCTGGAGTCATCTCGCTGGAGTCATCTCGCTGGAGTCATCTCGCTGGAGTCATCTCGCTGGAGTCATCTCGCTGGAGTCATCTCGCTGGAGTCATCTCGCTGGAGTCATCTCGCTGGAGTCATGCACCACGAGTCATACAGCTGGAGTAATATGGATAGAGTCACAGTCTTATTTCAGTGGACACAGAGTTTTGATAGATCACTGCAGAATGTCATGGCTTAACAAAAGTTTACTTAGGTTAAATCAATTGAAAGTGGAGACAAATAATTAAAGAAGAGTTGATTCTAGCTCAAACTTGCTTGAATTAACAAAATCTGAGGCGATTAGAAAAATCTATTGCAGTGAGTGCATCATAAGCCAAGCCTGTTTTAAGCGAGAAGTGGTTGCAAAAAGGACAAATGTGAGATGATGACGACTGAAGTTTTTATAATCTGGGACCAAAAACTACAATGATTTTGTCGAATTTGTTTATGGGCATCTTAAAAAAGCTCATGTCCGAGGTTATATGCAGTTCCATGCATTTACAACGTCAAAAATCGAAGACAAGAACAAGCCTCGTTATGTTCCATGGATCTTAGAGCACCAAAGTTTGACAGAGACAAATGACGGACCGGAGACGAACCTTGTTTCTTATATTATGAGAAATCTGATAAAAGCTTCGGGAGAAAAAAATCAAAGGGCAGAGAAACAGCTGCAGCAACGACGAAAGATTATACTGGTTCAAACAAAGCAGGGCCAACATGAAGAGCTTCTACTAATTTTGTCAAGAATAGACGAGTTTACGAAAGGAAATGAAGTGAGAATATATCGAATGGAGAAGAATTTTCAGCCAAGCGCAGATGTGAATAAGAGTAGTAGTGGCACTTTTGGCGCTGACATGACAGCAAGCAAGTCAGGAAGTAGAGCAAGGGAAGATCACTTTGATGCTACAGCAAGCGCAACACCACTAAGCGACCTAGATAGCGACATTCCCAAAAGACACAGCCCACTATGCTTCAAATGCCTTGCCCAGTTAAAGAATTTTATTCTTGAATACGATGAAGCAGAGAGGGCCCGCAGAAGCTGGCCAAGCTCGAAACAAGGAAATGAGTTAGAAAAAGGTATGTGTCCATTGTGTGCGAGATCATTTTACGAAGAAATAACACACGGGGAAGGTACAAACCACTCTATGAGAATTAGCAGGTCGTTGAGAAATCCTAGGGAGAAGGACAGGCTTATATGGAGCGGCAATCAAGCAAAGGAGGCTTCAAAAAACTGCTTATTTTGCTCAGGGGATACCCATTTAAAAGACAAAGCCAGCCAGAGATGTGCAAGAAATTTGACCCTACACGGTAAGAAACCGAAATCAAGTTGTAGCTGTGAAGCAAAGCCATTTATGTGTACTAAATGCTTTCTTAATTCTCTCATCGCAAATGGTGAGAATAACTACATTGGGTTGGAACAAGGAGCAGACCATACAAATGTAATATCGTCTGAGAGAGAAGATTTCAGGCCAGGATCAGCACCGGCTAGATTACAATATTACAAACCAAAAATGGAAAGAAAAAACCCTAAATACTTAGCTGGGTCTACAATTGGCTCAATAACTAAAACAATAGAAAATGCACAAGAGCGGAAAGTTGTGGCAGAGCCTAAAAGTGAAAAGTATAGTAGATCTGAACATAGGTCTAATAGAAGATCCACAGACAATTCTGGAATTTTTGATATGCAAATAGAAAATTCATTACATGATAATGCTGAGAACATCCAAGACAAGGAAAGCAGAACATTAACGGAAGAGGGTGACCGCAGAGACGACACAGAAGCAAGTAAGGTCTCATTTGAAGACTCCCTTGAAGAGCTTTTAACACGTTTAGCTAAAAGGTCTTCTAGGGTGTCTGAACGGGCAGAAAATGAAGAAATCGATTATCCACTTATTGGTAAAGTCGGTGACGGATCAGAGCTGCAAATAGAAACTGAGCCCAATATAAAGTCATTCGTCTCGGACGGAATCAGAAATGAACGATTGAATAGGATTGATGATAGCAAATCGGAATTGAAATCTCTGGAGACCATTGAACCTTCTCCAAAAATTCATCCTCAGTCTTATGATGGTGTTCTGATCAAGACGCCATCTCGTAGAGAACGCAAGGATGTCGAGGCGCCTTCGCAGGAAGACAAAGCATCAAAACCTTTGACGAATGGACATTCAGACGAAAATCATTACAACTACGAAATTTTTGATCAGCTTGGAAAAGAAGCAGATCTTCACAAAGTTCGTAGTCCAAGAAACAAAGGAATAGATTCGCTAAAAAAGGGGGAAAATGATAAAAATGGACAACATTTTTGCAAATTCTGCCCAGAAAAAATGTTTACTTCAGGGCATGTCTGGAAAATACACATGAAAAACAAACATAAGAAGTGTAACTGTCCTTGCGGGCAATATTTTGAAACGAGAGAAGACTACCTGAAACATTTTTATGGAATATTTCCTCTTGCATGCTTCGTGGAACGAAAGTGCCCTGAACGGTTCCGGAGTCTCTATTTCCAGGCGGTACATCATCGAGACAAGCATTTATGTGACCGGCCTTTCTTTTGCGTACTTTGCTTTGGGAACGACGAGGACCCTGAAATAAAGAGGCGAGCCTCGTTTAAGGACATGAAATCACTAAGGATTCACGCTGAGAGCATAGGACATGATCCAAATGAAATGTTCCTGATAAGCAGCAAGAGCGAAATCGATCATAGTTCTCTGCCTTGGAGTATGAAATGCTCAGGAATTGATTTTTGTTAATACAAAATATCCTCGCATATAATAACCATCAGACGCTTCTTAGGTCTTGCTTAAAAGTGCATATGGGAGTTGTAGAGTCAACAATTTTTAAAGAACTTTTGTTTAAAGTATTCGTTTTGATTACGAGCTTATTCAGTGATTTCTAGCAGCAGGGTTGTCTTGTGTTGTGATTTGCTGTGACCAGAGCAAAATACTTTTTTAAAGAAATCCAAATTCAAATTCTTAGGCTCGTTTTTAGCGGAAATATTCTGTAAATAAAGTGCAATTAGTATTCTTTAAGGCCGGCTTCAAAATCAGCCTCAATCGTATCCAGTTTAGGCCAGTAAACGTTCATATCGTACAACATCCGTACTTTCATGCCAACTTTACTGCTTTGTTGTGTGAAAATATTGATGCAAAATAAAATTCGCCTAACGGTTATGAATTGTACGAATTAATGAATTCCATGTTTATATGAATTCAGCAGCATTCATTGGAGCGTCTGGGTATCGTGATGTCCTATCCTACCAGATATTGTTTGTCACCAAATTACAGAAGATACTGTGGCCAAATTGCATTATAAACTGCGCAGTACAGATCTCTTGTCGTTATTTCTTTTAAAATGAGAAAGATACAATGCTTTATAGCAAGACCAAATTTGCATAAATACAAGGGCATTCTCGATTTGATCTTCATTGTTCCCCTTACATTCTCAAATTGATCTTCTTCCGCACTTCTTCAGAAACTCTTTTTGCAGCAGGTCTAGGAATATTAATTGACTTTTACGTCTTCCAAATGTTGGATCTTTTACAAGGTCTCCTGTGGAAAATGTCCACTGACTCAAGAAAAGCTATTGCCACAAGATTTGGCAAAAAACGCGAGAAGAAAGGTTTCAGTGTAAGAACGAGTTACTGTACGGTTTTGTATTCCTTACTGCTAACAGTGATATTTTAATTCATCGGGTACATGGATAAAGAGCAAGCAGATATGGGTCATGCAATTAACTTGCAGCAAACTATTAATACAAACATTTTTCTTAAATGTATGAAACCCTTATACTGGGTCTATAACAAAATTTCTTGTAAGAATGAGCGTTTTCATGGGACATAATTAGCCCCCGCCCCCCCCCCCCCTCAGCTTGCGAATGAGATCATTTTGCCTTTTTATGTTCAATGAACATCGCAAAAATTTATTACAAAAATACCCGAGAAGTCCTCAAATGTCACAAATAAGGCAGCAAATGACGTCCAATCGTCGTTATACTTTTCATAACACCTTGCTCTGACAGAAACAAGCCAGTAGGCACTGCCTCCGCTCTATAAATAAGTTTACTTAACTACTTACAAAAAATTATCTAGCAAACCAAAGGTTAACTTAAAAATATGACACTTAATATAACACAAATTATTCTGCACTAGCTTTATCTGTAAAAGTGTTTAAAAACACAAAAATAGAAAACAATATTTATTGAAAATGGAAATGCTGGTCAAGGGAGGAAATTCTGACTTAGCAAGTACGGCTGCGTCTTTTATGAATTCTGTCTTTCAGATAAAATCTTGATGAAAACAGCACAATACCAGCAAGTGGGAAGGGCAAAAACGATGACCAAAACATGAAGCTATACTTATTTAATACAAAACTGAATCTGGTTGAAATAAGGGAGATATATGAATATTTGTTCGATAAGAAACCGTCTTCAAAAGACCTGTTCTGCCTTAAGATGTCCGGGAATTATGCACTGAAACAGCAGTATTAGCAACCCTCAACCTTAAGGAACTGCTCGAAATTTTTTTATTAGGGGTGAGGTGGAAACGATTCTTTACGACAATTAAACACATTTCCTGTTGAACTGTCATAGATAAATAGAAAGAAGAGATCTTTATGAGTTATTAGGTGTTTCATTTCATGTAATCTCGTGTTTCGTTTTTGTCTTTCTAAAAAGAAGCTCTTAAGTCCCTGAGCTATAAAAAGAAGCTCTTAAGTCCTTGAGCTCTTAAAAGAAGCTCTTATGACCTTGGCATCAAGAAATCTTTAAAAAACTTAAATCACTAAAATCAAACAAAAAACTTGAAAAGCTAAGTTTTAATCTAGAACTTAGTTTCTTATAGATTAAATTATACCTATATCTGGTGGGTGTCAAATCCATGGGTTTGGCAAAAGAGGCTCCGAGCGGGTGACTTCGAGATACAAGTGTTAACCCTTTAGAATGTCATAAGTCGTTAGATACTCTATTAACAATGTTTTCTCCTTCACCGAATGGAGTATTATACACCTTAGTGATAAATAAAACCAAAATAATCTACTTAAATTCATTTAATGTTTCATGTAATTTCAAACATCGACCCACAAGGCCTTGCTTTGTTCTTCTTGGACCCTGTCGTTGATTTGCGAACATATGCTGTGGAGGGTGTTGCCATGTATCACAGCTGAAAGACAAAGTTGAATTCAAAATGAGAATCTGGTAAAGGCGGGAATGGTTACGAAGGTCGAATTAGTCGGAAGGAATGTTATAATAAAGCTGGCAAGGTAAAGCAACAATGATTCAGGCTTTTTTCGACCAAAATTCGTTATTTTTTGAAGCTTTGGAAACCGACGGACACGTAGAAAAAATATTTTCTCAAAAACGATAAGGTCATACCTGTAATTTGATGTTTATAATCTCTCTCTAATTTCGTGCCTTGGTCAAAAAGGTCTTTTGCCTCTCTCGAAGTTAATTTTTCTCGAATATAATGTCCATCACGCAGCTCCCTAGAAGCGACAAAAGATTTTTTATATCTGAGCAAAAAAAGGGAAATTCAAAGATTACAAGCGATTCTTATTTACAAACTGTGGACAAAATGTTTCGTAGTTGGACCACTAGATGCTTAAAGACCGTGGAATATTTCGTGTGACACTATCACATGTTTCACAATGACGGTTTGGCACGGTGTCATCAGGTAATTAAATTCAATGCTGGAGAGATACATTGGGAGAGACAGACGGTTTAATGCACAAAGATTGATAACAACATAAGCAACAATAACAAATCATCAGACAGACAATGTTAGACAGGTTCGGCCACGCATATTATCATGTTCACATAACCAACGAAAAAATATCTTTTGGTCGTGTACAAGAGTGTTCCATAGTTCAGTTCCGTTTTCTCAGTGCCATACTTGAGAGATCTATGAAAGATCTTAGGTTTAAAAAGCTATTTTTCCCTTTTTTCTTTTTGCTAATGTTTTTGCTACTTTCTTACATATTTATCAAACTTGGAGTGAGCGAGCAAAGATTTTTTAGGTGATGTAAATTTGAGAAATAGCAACGAGCTCAAATTCATGCCTATCCCTCTATTTTAAAGACTAGTAAATCCGTTTAAATTTCAAATGAATGAATAATATAGGTACCAAGGCCAATGTGGTCCTTTCATATTTTTTAACGATACCAACATTTTCTCTTATTGGAATCAAAAAGCCAAATATCATGTCAGGTATACAAAATGTTAACCTGCTCCTAGAAACTATTAACGGATCATCAATGGCTCTCTGCATACTGTACATTTGATTTAAACTGATAATGTACTGAAGATTGTTAAGATCATATCTTTATCGATCGAGCATGGGAAATCTAAGCTTGATCGAGCATGGGAAAAAACATGAATGGGTATACAATTCCAAGCATTGAATAGACATGTTTCTAGACATGCAGCCTGGATCTTATTGGCGTCTAGTTCCCTAACATAGTCAAAAAAGTTTGAGTAAAGTTGCGAATAAATTCAGTGAATCTATGGTTGAGAGTTAAGCTTTTTGTAAATACAGGAAATGAGTTTCAGCATGAATAGGTCCCCAGCTTCTTATTAATAACTCAAAGTTTACATTCCCAAATTTAATTGCTACTAGAAACCACAGTAGGAATTTCAGAAACCTTGATGATAAATCGTGGTATCTTTGTAATGATGAGAAGAGCAATCATTGACCAATCCTTTTCATCCTTTCATAAACGTCATCGTAAGGCTAGCTATTACAAAGAATAGGACTTTGAGCGATTCCATTCATTGAAAAGCCAGTGGAATTTTCATTTCAGTGCAGAAAACAACGATCACCTAAGATTGCGATTTCAAGCAGAAATATTTACTAGAAGATGGCTTTATGATATATATCAAGAAATTACGAAACCCCTTTTTCTAAAGAAGTGAGGTTGGTACAGATTTACGCAACAGCCATCCTGATTTCTTTTGTAATAAATTTATATATTCTCTTCATTTTCTCTTTGTCAAGTGGACTGACCCCCCCCCCCCTCTTTAAACAATGAGAATTTTCAGTGTTAAACAATGGTAAGTTAATTGAAAGATGGGTTCGAAAAATATGTAAAGTTTGTGAAGTTTTGGGTCCATGTGTCTTTGGATTGGTGTAAACTGTAAAGTGTTCTCAGGGTGATAGTTTCGGTTTGTCTCAAAATGACTATCCACAATGTTTCAATTCCCACCAGTAGAGTTGGAACAGTTTTTCCACTTTTCTACTGAATATCTCCCCTCCTCCTCTTAAACAATGCTGGAAAGAAAGGCGATTTTCTAGTTCAGCATTGTTAAGGGATCGAAAAACACCAATCGAAAAACACACTGAAAATTAGTTGCGATTTCAAGGGAAAAAAGAGGATAAATTGATAGCTTGGATGGCAAACATTGAACGAAGACTTATATCGAAGCAATAATGATCCCCCAGCTTAAAACAAATATATTCTGTTTACTTGACTGCAAATATAGTTTCCATTTCTGCAATAATAAATCTTTTGAAAATGGCTTTGAAAAAAGCAAACATTTTACAACATACTAAAAGCTTTTTCGTCTGACACTCCTCAGAGCATAAAACGTCAGAATAGGTTCCGAAAAAACACGATGGAAAAATATATACCCAGTTGTGGTTCGAAATAGGCCAATCAGAAAAACGCAAGCACAAGACCGGTATAGTTGACCAATCAGTGCTGCGAGCCTAAAGAAAAATTACCAATGGAGTCCAAGAGAGAAAACGAACTCCTTTTGTCTACACAATGGCGGCTTTTTCGTTTTTATGTAGATAAAATAAATCTTTTGTAAAGTTCGTAATATTATAAGTGTTGTCCTCCTCTGTGAGATTGCCTCTTTTGCATTAAACTACTTGCTTTTTCGTGAATGTGCATGTTTCTAAGTGCTTAAAGTTTTTGTTTTGAACTTTAGATCTACGTTCTGAAAGGCTGAATCATATACTCGAATGTAACACAACTGTAACATATGTCTATCTTTTTCATGTTGCGATCCTTAGAGGTTTCCATCTTGTCGTTGCCGAAGTATGAATTCTTGGTTCATATGCGATAGCATATGCGATAGCAAGGATGAGGTCCAGTCTACATTACAGATAATCAAAAATAGAAATTTATTTCCTAGTTATTCGAATTAATCATCAAAGAGATTGTAGAACTATATAAAATACTCGAAAACAACTAAGAAATTGATGATCAACAGGGTCCTTTCTATTAGATTAGCTAATAAAAGATGATTGCAAGTTTTGGCAAGAGAGATTCTATAACAAATAGAGACAACAAAATAAAACTCACTTTATCTGTTTATGTGATTTGAATTTGAGTAACATGACAACAGCATGTAGGTTGAGTGACGTCAGCCGTTCCAGAGAAGAAGGGTTTACATCAAGTAGGCAATGCTTGTTCTGGAGGGGATAATAATTTATTACAACAAGCCATACGAAAGATTAATTAGAGCAGACTTTCTTGGCATCAAACTATAAGCTGGAGTAATGCAACACAAAGAGGAGTAATCAAACATAAAAATGTATAATTTGAAATCTAAAATCTTAAAACTAAATAAAATAGACTAATAGAAAATATGTTTTTCGAATCGCTCATCAAGCCGCCAAAAGTTTCGTAACAAGCATGTCAATATTCCTATTGTCTCTTTTCTCTCTCTGAAACCGAAACATTTGTCTTAGGAAATGATCTTGTTTCCCACCATAACGAATAAACAGAGAGGGACTTTTGCTGAGTTTGAAATAGACTAATAATTCACTCCGGCATAACTGGTTCCATCAGATCAAAGAAGAGCAAACAATTTCTTGGCTAAACCTTTACGTAATTCTTACCTTTAGGAAATTCATTTCTCATTGGTAAAACTATATTAACCTTTTTATGTTCTGCCTAATAAATCTTTCTTTTTACACTTGAACATTCAAACGATTCAAATCAAGTAATTCGCCATGAAATTAAAAAATCATCAATACAATTCTCAGTAAGTGAGATTCACGTGTCAATTTATAGCGTCGCCTTTATTTTTAACTAATAATCAATACGAACTTTGCAAAACGTTTGATCGGGCAAAAGGACAGAAAACGGCGAATATGAAAATGGAAAATTCTCAAAATTCTCTTGTGTATACCTTGTCGATTACGTCTTTTATTCCAGCTTGCGTTATACATGCGAAACTCGTGCCTCGTCTTGATAACGTATAGTCAAGATACATTCCTGATTCAACGTCCTTTTCAACGGAGTCCTTTGTTGTGCGAACCATTTCTAAAAGTTACAAAAAGAATAGGCGTAATTAAAACAAAGAATTCAGCACGGTTGATGCTACAATATCCTGAAAATATAACTAAAAAACTGCAGTCCATGGTAAAATAATTTATGAAAGATTGCATACTAAAGAAAGCTACAAATTTGTCGATTGGTTTGGATTTTAAGTTACCTGGCAATGAGCGGGCAAATTTGTAGGGCCATTCCATCACGAGTTTGTCACAGACTGGCTCTGACAAAGGACCAATCACCACAATTGGACGCAGGAAATGACCTGATAAGAATAAAAAAATTTTCAAATGATTTGACTTAAAAAGAGGTTCATTTCAAGTCAAGCAAACTACATAAATGACAGTTATATGCTTGAATAAAAAAAATCGATGATTGCCACAATATGCATTAGAGAGCTATTATTTGATATAGAACTTACAGTTCAGGTGAGGAGATAACTCATGGATACAAAACCCTCTGTATATATGTTTGAATGGGACGGGGGGGGGGGGGTTAGAGATTGATTGGTAGGGGTTGACTCACAGGCTGTATGTATGAATTTTTTTACTTAAAGGCTATTTATCCATTCTTTAATAAAGGCTTAATGGCATTAGAAGGATAAAAAGCGATTTCCATCCAGCTATAACAAGGTATACGAATGCATTTGAATTACTCACGGTTTGTAGATAAACAAACACTAAACTTACTGTCGCGTCGCATGACCAACTGATACGCAGGCAGTTCGGAGTCTACGAGCAAATGGATAACTTACTTGATAATTGCAGTTACAAATAAGACACATTTAAGATGCTCAATAAACATTATTCCCATCTCTCAGTCCATTCGAAATCAGGTACGTGAACTTTGGCTTTATAGGTACGTGAACTTTGGTAGTTCTGGTAAAATAGAAGTTAGTTATGATAAAATCTACCGTTGGTATTAAAGAATCATACAATCTCCTTGAATCTACGACTAATACGAAGAAATGGAAAGGAGAATAGTGAAACTGTAAGCTAATTAAAAGCTATGTGATCTAGGTAAGGTCCCGTTTAAAACCGCTGCTAATCTAAAGTTAACAGCATGAAGGGAAAATGAAGTTTCTTGTCTTGTTGCTTCTAGCTTCTCCTCAGTTTTTCTCACAATCACTCAAATACATAACTTCATTAAAATCAAATTCAATAATTCATCAGATTTAGACTGGATATTCGAAAAACATCTTCAAGACGGAGTACCTGAAGCGAAAGCTGCTGAATTACTTCCAATACTGCTGCCAGCCTCATCTCCGCGAGAATCACTGCTCTCACGCGAGTGGCTTATCGAGTAACCATGGGAACCTTTTTTGCTTCGCCTGAAGAAGCTATGTCGAATTTTCATTTTGTCGTCACTGTAAACTGAACATCGCCGCAGTAGTACTTCTTGTTCAGCCCTTAAAATAAAATACAAGAAGAATCAATATCTTGCGTCATCTAAAGACATTTTGATTGGCAATACGATGCAAATATTCCAACAAGTAGGCCAGAAAACCACTTTGCCCACTGAAGAAAGGATGAAAAGTGAAGAGAATCGAAATCGGAAAAATGGTTTCAAATCATAAGAAACCGAAGAAGGTAGAAGTAGAAGGAAAATGATGAAATAGGAAATAACAACTAGGCCATGATCAAGATAGTGATTTCAAAAGCAGGTGAAGCTGTAGTTTTCTTGCTGATAAAAAGAAAAACATTTACTATAGATGTATATGCTTCTAAAAGCAAGAGCAAGGAACATAATAAAGACGTACTTGGTTTTGCTTGGAATAGTTCCACACTCCTTTTTCTGATCTTCAGTGTCGGTGACAAGCCAGGCCTTCCAAAGCCCAAGTTTTCCCTGATACAAAGTGCTCGTCACAAACAAAATGTCGCCTCGCTTGAAGTTAAGTTCTTCTTTGTTGTGTGCAGCTCGATCAAACAGTGCCCTGTGAATGAAAAAAAAACTTTGAAACAACACTCCAATTTGTATTAAGGTACGGCAGGTCAAATCATATTGCCACAAATGATTCACGCAGAACAAGCTATTGCAGTCTATTCTAGCTTAGAAGTTTAACTATCATTATAAATGATGACTTTTTCGCTCTGAAGATAGTAAGTTAAGGAACTGTAAAGGACCGTGTCCTACTATCATGCTGTTTGTGTAGAACTGGCCTTCTCAAAGTGAATATGTCTTCATGTACCGACTGTATACCGGCCCTGACTTTGATTTGAACGAATAGTACAACACGAATACCATTAACGTCACGTTTAGGTTTATTCAAATGTATTTCTAGCAATGCTGATTGCTTAAATAAAAGCACAAGGTCTACAAAAGCCTCCAAGGTCTACCAAAAATTTTTCAAGGTTCACAAAGGTCTACCAAAACCTTTAAAAGTCCATGACGATCTACCAAGGTGTACCACAAAGTCAGAGAGGTCAGCTATACCGTATTTCCTCCAAATTTGGATGCGGCGTTTAAAAGAGGACGGCGCCTTTTTACAAACGGTTGGCTGAAGGTGCGGCGTTCAATAGAGGGCGGCGTTTATCAGAGAAAATACGGTATTTAAAAAAGTTTTAATGATACAAACATTTTAAAACATACTAAAGCTTTTAGTCTGACATTCTTCACAGTATAGAAAGATCAAAAACTTTGATCTATGCTTTTGATCATAGATCAACAAACAAAATTTTGTTGACTTGAATGCATGTCAGAGCATAGATCAAAAACTCTAGTAATATCCTATTTAAATGTTTTAACACCTTTTTTAGGATTGCATTGCATTCAAGTCAACAATTTTTTTCGACTGTTCCTACTTTTTAAAAATGTAGATTATTAAATTTTGCTTATCTACCTTCCAAGAAGTCATGCTAAATTATATAAAAAGTATACATACAATTTAATGTCATATAGAAGTTTTAGAATTTAATGCGGCAATCAAAAACACGTGTCCGCGTACTTTGTGTCGAAACAAGCTCAAAATCTCTGCCCAAAGATCTGTTAAAAATCATTGGAACATTTACACGTTAGGAAGGTATCTTTACCACTCATGTTATTTCCCTTCCCCCTTCTGATGACGTTGTTAAATTTCAATATTGCATGATTGAATTTAGAATTTAGATGAACTGAGAATTTAGCTACAACGACGAAAACTTGGGATAGTAGTTAAATCCAGGAGTTTGCCATGTTTGAACTTGGATATTATGGTGTTCAAACCGCTTTTGGCACGGGATCATCAATGTATCTGAAAGGGTTCAATTAGAGTCATGCTTCTTAAGAAATAGCAGATAATACGCGATAATAACAGAAATTAAATATCGAATAGATATCTTTAACATACCGAACATAAAATGAATCTCCGGGAAGTTCCTTTGACTTTCTAAAAGCTGGAATCATAAATTAGATAGGTTTGAAAAGGCAAGAAATTTTTTTCTTCAAAAGCAAGAAATTAGTATAAACAAAAAAGAATTAACAGGTACTATGATATTTCAAACTTGTATTCGCATGTGAATAGGTCCAATTAAAAACCTATCATTAAAGAAATAATAATCTTAATAAATATGATAAAAATTTATTTTAAAAAGCTTAATTTTATAGCTATTTCTACGAAAAAAAGCCCCAATTGAAAAAGGCATCTTAGAAAATAGACTCACGTGATACAAGCGACTAGATGAAAAACATAAAATTGGGAAGTGTTGAAGAGAAAGATGCTCAAACATAAGCAACCATAAAAACAGGGGGTAAATGTCAGGAGTATCAGTTACAAAAACTTGACAAAAAATGACATCAATACATTTGACAACACATCAAATATAAAACACCAAACAAACAGGCTATACACACCTGCGGCGTCATATTGGACAATCAACTGCACCGTTTCTGTTGGTTTTGCTAGTTCTAACATTGCTTGTTCAGCTGTCTTGTTGACAAACGAGACTCCATTAACCTTAACAAAAGGATACATCCCTTATAAAATCTTCTCTGGAAATTGAATCAATAACGGAAAAACAGACCTAAGGCGTCATGATAAATTTCCTCTGATTTTCTGCACAGTTAAGCACCTGTAGATCAGATTTGTGGTTTATAAACAGTCTCCTCTAGAAATAAAGTTTTAGGCTCTCTGCACTTACCTCAAGAATTCTATCACCACTTCTTAGTAAGCCTTGAGTGAATGCAAACCCATCTTTCTCCAAATCTGACACAAATATTCCAGTAGCGTTACCCCCTGACAGGTTGATACCAAGCAATGTAGTCGGTGTTGGTTTTTTCAAAGTGACAGGGCGAGCCTCCTCACTTGTATTGTCTCCGTGGGCCGCTGCATCATCGCTGCAATAAACCAAAATATTGAGCTTCATATCAGGAACATAAAGTTCATGCATCCACAAACAAACCAAACTTAATAAAGTATACATGGGAAGAAAATCCAGAAATAGCGAAGATACTATGGCCGAAAATGATGAGGAAGGTCGTTCAAAAATAGACATCAAGAAGCAACATGTCCTGTGAAAATCTTGTGATTAGTTACACCTCTTGCTTAATTTTAGGAGCAATTATGCTCGGTGATGTTCAGATGATCAATAAAGGCACCGTAGGCCTAAAGTCAGATGAGAATTACATCATTTCGACTAAATTTCATTCAAATGGATATAAAAGCGAATTCCAATAAAGCCTAGAAAATTCACCGTATTTATCAATTTATATTAACATTGAGAAATCTGAACGTGAGTTCAGAATTGACGATTTGTTGACAATGAAATATCACATGGCATTAAAACTACAACAAGCAGCGCAAGTCTTTAGGATAGCTACTGAATGCTGCGAAGGAGCTTACCACTGCTGTTCATAGTTGGGAATAGTGGTGGCCGTTGAGACGAGAGAATTCTGCTTTGTGTGGGATGAGACCATTGACGCGTTGTTCGATTTTCGCTTCTGCTTTGGTGTGCTCTGTGTACTTTCTTCTTGCGAGCTGTAATTATAATCTCAATTATAATCTCAAATATAATCTCAATTATAATCTCAAATATAATCTCAAATATAATCTCAATTATAACATTGCTAACGAAAAAAGGGATGACTGGGAACAAATACCAGGGATGCTAGAAGCAGAAAATAGATTGAAAAATGAAGTCATTATATTTTGTGAACAGACTCGGTGTATTTCAAGAATAAGCACCCTTGATCGTCGCAAATTTTTTATTTAGGTGGGTTTCAACACAAATTGCACGTGAAACTTGGCAAAATTAAGCCAGAGTTCAGTTCAGTACATCTGAAGAGAAATACTCTAAGAACTGCGCAATCAAAGCGAAAGAGGAAGCTAAACTTTGGAAAAACTCTTCAATGCATTGACACAACCACGCGATAAGGATAAATAAGGAAAAAACCCATACGGAAGGAAGGAAGGTATTTTTATAAGACTTACTTTGCGGAGGCTTCTTCAGTCTCTGTAAGTTCTAAAATCAAAATTCTTGATAATTAAACAAAAAGAAAATGATACAAATTATCGATCATCAATTAGATATCACAATTAGATTAAGTCAAAGAGCCAAAAGATTGAATTTTTTTTCCTATTGTTTTATGATCAGCAACAAAGGCAGCCATCATACCACCAAAGATAAAGAATTCACGGTATCAGCTAAAGGGAAGGGCTTGGAAAAATATCGGGCCACGAGCATCTTTTGATTTTTATGATTAAGTAATATTTTCCGCGTGAAGACAAATCGTGGTTTGTTTAAACTTGATAAACTACGCGACAAATATGAAGACATTGGGCTCCATTCAAATATATTATGTCCCTAAAAAAGTTTAACGCAAAAAGTTCCAGTGGCTCCAATAAGAGAAGACGAGTGGTTACTAAAAATTAGAGGCAAGTGACAGTTTATGTTTCAGTGCTCTTAATGATACAGTTTATGACTACTTACAGCGATTGATCAGCAATGATATTTGATCAATGATTAGTGGTTTTCTACATCAGCTGATTTATGATTACTTTAAATAATGGGAAAACAGCTGCAAACGGGTTATTGCAAAATACAAATGAATGAAAGAAGTAACTGTTTATATCGTTGATTAATAGAGCGATTGATCACTGATTAGACATGATTTCTGTCTGGTAATAACTCAACGAGAAAGGAATCAAAAGAAATGATTCAAAAGACATGACTCAAGAGAAGTCAATAGAAATGTCTTACTATGTGGGTTGTATTGCGCAAGGACGGTGACAGTTGCGGCATCGGCTGATTGCTTGAGAATCAATGCAGCTTGATTGAAGGTCGCCGATCGTAAATTAATTCCATTAAACTGAAAATATAAAAACATCCCATGTTAGAAAATCTATTACCTTATCAGCCGGAACAACATTTCTTTGTACATGTTTCATCCACGTTAAAGGCAAAGGAAAAACACTGAAGTTCCTTATAATACCTCTCAATCAACAATTGGCCAATCAGTGACCGTGATACCACTTACACGCTTAATGATTGGCTAATATTGATTGACAGTTGGCTCAAATCACTTCAGTATCTGTCAGTTGTCTTTAAGTAAATTTCTTATCCACGGTAAGTCAATTTCAAAGCATATTATCTCACTTTGTCAGCTCCAAGAAAACGTCAAAAAACCTTAAGACAAACAAATGAAGTCATATGTCCTAATCAGATTTACCTCTCTTTTCTCCATAAACCTATCATCAAACATTGCAAGATTCAACAGATGCCTAATTACAAGAGTGTTCACAATGTTAAGAATAATATCATTCAAGGATTATCCTTAAATGTAGTTGAATGTGGTGCTCCAGTAGCTCACAAAATATGTCAAATCATGCAACACAAAATGTTTCCCAAGTCTTAATTTACTTCCTGGAAATTTTTTCCATCCATGAGTTATGAACCCAGCTTTGTCAGAACAACAAAAATTTAAACGAAAACTGGTTGATAATGCTATGAAAAGCTAAAAATGGAAACATTAAGTAAAAAAGAATCTGCAAAGCAGCCTTAAAAGTTGCAAACCTCAAGTAGCTGATCTCCAAACTGCAACCCAGCAGCCCCTGCGACACTATTTTCGTTCACCATGGTAACAAATACTCCCCCTTTTGTTCCTTCGCCAATTGAAATCCCAAGCGGGTAGATTCCTTTTTGGATGACAACAACACGGGGCTCACCCTCTCTGAAATTTGAAAGGAATTAAAGAATGCATACAACAAAAGTTGCAAACATACTACAGGTATAGTAAAGGTATTAGGATTTTTCCTTCTTTCAAAGCCACTATACGTTTCCTTTTAACAAAAGTTCCACTAATAAGCGTCGGTTACTCTCTCCTGAATTGGAACGAACTCTCTTCGGTAAGTCTTTCAAGTTGAGAGAGCTCCTTCTTTACGAAAATCTATGCATACAGATCCTCATAGCTGCTTAAATATTGTTTTACCTTTAATTTACTGTATTAGTTTATAATTCCTCAATAGAGTCAATTAATGCAATTCAGTATTTGTGGTGACATTTGTAGGTAGATGATTTTAAATGAAACAAACTGAAATAAAGATAAACAAGTGATCCGGTTTAAAGTACTTTGCTTTAACCCTCATAGGCACAATGACCATCAACGACATCATTATCTTAACCGCAAGGAGCATCTTTCAAAAGAGGTCACTTACGAAAACTTTAAGGACAATGTAAGATGCAGTTGGCTATAACGCTTCTATACAAGCACTTGATGAAACCGGACAAACGATTAGAAAAAAATAAATAAATCTTTTACCTGCTGTCTTCCTCATACACTGGCCGGATAAATGTGTGCGAGGCATTAAAACCTGACGACATTGAAGACGTCGACGAAGCATGGGAACTGGTCGATCGATGATGGCTGCGTGCCATAACTGCACCAATCTTCAAACCACTGCTTGAAAATTGATCCGGAATTCTGCGGTCGCTATCTGCATGCATCCTGCCATTAGAAACTGGCAAAGTTGCACTAGGCATTACATGAGTGATATTCGGGCGTGTTCGGCGATTTTGCCGCCCAACACTTTTAGGTAAGCTATAACCGTGCGAAAGCGAATCGGGCCAGTTCGTGAAACCGATTGGCGAAGCGCCATTTTGAAGAAGTATTTCGTGTCTCCGAGCACCATTGTTCACACTGTATACAAAAGAACGAGAACCTGGAGCTGATTGCGGTCGGACACTCCTTGAACCTGAGTGTGAGTCAGAGTTTATGCTTGCGTCATTGCTCGTCGAGTTATTAGTAAATCTTTGTGATACAATAGCAGTCATATACGAATTAGATCGAGCCGGTTGTGGAGGCGGACTTGGTTGCCAATGACTCCCCTGGCCCTTCATTTTATCCTCCTTCTCAATGTCACTCAACTGTCCTTCAGAAAACTTGCCACTAAACGAAGCACGTTCTGAATTTTGCCGCAAAATCTCATCCAGGTCTCTTATTTCCCGCAAAGTTCTTTTCTCGTTTTCTGATATGGTGTTCCTTCTAAATCGGTCAGGTGATAGCCTGCCGTGCGAGCCTAAAGATGAGCCACTCATAACAGAGCTCCTTCGTGAATGCAACGATGCGGGGTACTCAGTCATCCTGTTAGTCATTGAAATTGGCACTGACGGGCAGCGGTGCTGCCTAGAAGCAACAAATGGACTTGATTGGCTCTTTTCAGCATCACATGACTGCGTCTCCGATAATTCTTTGTCCTGCTCTACGTGGGGAATTGTCAAGCTCCTATGACTCGAAGCAGTGCTAGCATTTCCCTTCAGAATAGTTAAGCTGACAATACTTCTTTTCAGCATTATTCTTGCATCGCGATATGGGATGTTCTCAATTTGACTTCCATTTATCTGATGAAGATAATACATATTTCTATAAATGTTTTGAATGACGGTGGTTTGATCCTTTCAGAGTTTAGGAAGTTTAAAAGGTCACATTGTAACAATTATTAATTATATAAATAGTGAGCTTATATCAAATTAACTTTAATCTTATTTGTAAACTTTTAGTTTTTCAAAATTGGGTACAACCTTGCGGTCCTAATGTCAAACCTCGCCCAATAGGATAGAATCTTGCGTTAAAATGTCAAACCTTATAACGCAAGATTCACAGAATTTATTAGTTCTGGCTTACTCAAAATTAGACCGTCAAAAAAATACAGAATGGGTCGACCCTTCTATCTTATGTGTCTCTAATTCAGAGGACCCGCTTTTAAGGTGCTTAGTGACGCGCTTATTAAAGAATACAAGATTAAAACATTTATCTGCTACGGCAATGAACTAGTATTGTAATATCTTTCAAAGTTTAAGGTAAAGTGCTAAAATCCCATTAATGTCATCCCTAAAGTGAATAAACACTTAATCAAATCGTTCCTCCTTGAGAAGTGCTAAAAATATTTTATGCTTAGTCAGCAGAGAAAGCAGCAGCTAGTGCGTCGGAAAAAACATGGCTCCAACTTCAATACATTACAGTTTCATAATGGGAACGATCAGTCCAACGTAGCTCATACCCTTGGTGAGACGGTGATTGGAGAAGGTATATTGAAAACCTAGAGTGTGCGATTTATATTGACGAAAGCATCGTGTCAGGTGCGAGGATGGCTCAGATGTTAGAGGTGCTGACTACAGACCCAAGGGTCTGTGGTTCGAGTCCCTGGCATGACCAAACTTTCTCCCAGAGTGAAGAGAGTCGCCAGTTTTCTGTAATTCCAGGCATTGGAATCACGAGGTGTGGTCACATCGAGAGGAAGGACCAGGACACTGCTCGATAAGCATAGGTTTCTCAGTGTCCTAAAAACTACCTTTGGATGCTAGGTAGAAACAAATATAAATACAAAATCGTTTAAGGATACTGACCGTTAAGATTTTGTCACCTATCGATAAGGTCTCGTCTTCCGATGCTATACTGCCGGGCTCGATTCGTTTGATGTGCAACCCACTATCAATACTTAGGCCAAGCTCTACAAAAAAACAGTTAATGGGAAATAAAATTTGAAAATAGCACAGAAAAGCGGAAACATGTCATACTAAAATACTTTACCATGTTTCCGCTTCTCCCTTCTATTTTCGGTACCAAAGGCTTATTTGGAAAATAAAATAATATGCAGGAAATAGCAAAATTGCTGTAAACTCTTTAAATCGGTGATTGAAAAATAACATTACGTGCAAGGTATAGCGTAACTGCTTCGCAAAAAAATAGAAGGACTCCGCTCTCAAATCTCAAATCAGGATTCATTAGTTTGATATTGTCACCGAGAACAGGTAGCTTATTGCCGAACAATTATTGTAAGGCATAGTAAAAGTAAAAGAACGAGAATTAAGAACGCTAATCAGTGCTAGCTACAAAACATTTGCTAAATTTCTGAGCGATGCATGAAAACAACATTAACTTTCAATTTTTTTATAAAAAACTCCACTTATAATTTTACAAAAGTAAAAGCAACATGAATGATCCTGGCAGTGAATGTTGATAAGGATTAAGGCAGTAATCAAGGGGCATTAAAAGAAAAAGGATAGTGAAGGAATGAAAGAACAATATATTATGTAAGGATATTCGAAAAAAGGACACAGCTCTGAAAACTATATTTTAAATACTGTCCCAAAAAATCAAATTTGAAGAAAATGTTTTTCAAAAATATATACTGTTGGCGAGCTGTAGTTAATTCTAAGCGAATCAAGTTATAACATCAAAAATTGAAATTTCATATTGAGAATGAAGAAGCCATTTCATATCTCAAAAATATCAACAAATTATCAAGACTTTTGCTGGCCACATATCAGGATAGCCTGGACAACATTTTCTAGCCTGGACAGAGCTTTTGCACGCTTGCTGCTGACATTCAGATAAAGGGAAGGTATAATGGTAGGTGGATATATCAATGACATTCGAATGATCAGATGGTTGCGATTGGAGTCAGCTAGGAACAGACCGTGGGTGCTTTTCAGAACAGACTGTAAGTTTGAAAGCTCTGTTTTGACAACACCAGGCTCCTCTATGCTTTCCATTGCTCCAGCTACTGAAATCAAGCCTCTTTGAAACGTAAAAAGGGGGTCTAGGTCCTTTTCAAAAAGTTATAAGAGTAAAAGTACCTCTGTCTTCTGTGCGAATCAGTTTGACACTTTGTACAGATGTCCTTGGTCGACCCTGCCTCTTTCGGAGCACACTCTGAAACAAAAACGTATTTTAAGTTCTAAATATCAAAATTTGAATTATGATATTTCTTTAAGGTCATAGCACTCTTCCGTTTTCACACTTCGCTTGGAATGTAATACAGGAATCTTTGGCATTGCGGAATAATAAAAAACAAAACTTGTTTTATCATGTCTAAAGCTTTATGGAAATAACAAATACAGGTCAGAGAGATCTGAATATAGTCATATTTGAAACCATCTTGAAAGTCAAACAAATAGTCCAAAAACAGTCTTATTAGCATCACTGAAAATTCATCTGAATTACTGACAATTGAGGTTATACAAAATGTTTTGGAAATATATCGAAGGCAAATAAACCGCAAAATGGGAGTTGAGAAAAGTTTTCAAAGTTTAAAATTGCAACATACCAAACTAATAAAATTCGACCCTTGTATTGCTTGATTTGCCAGTTCCGAGCTCACATTTGTAAGATCAATTTCATTGACTTTTAATATGCAGTCATTCACTCTATACAAAACAAACGACAAAACAAAAATAATTCAAACCTAATGTCAAAACATTGGCATGTTAAAATGGAAGCAGAACAAAACAAAACACAGAATAAAGCAAAAAAGGTTTTTGTTTCCATATCGCAGAAGATTTCGGATTCCCAAAAAGGAATAACTTTTCATTTACTGCCAATTCATCTTCTGAAATTTTTCTCTGTTTAAAAATGTTTCGAGGATATTTAAGAGTCTTGTTAAAGACAGTAAACTTTGAAGCTTAAATATCTTTAAGCTACCTAGCTTTTAACAATTTGTTAAAAAAAAGATTAAAAGGAAAGAGCAAAAATTCCTGCTAAGCGAAAACATTGGTGAATAGAAGCGGCCTTGAGTTAAAGCTTTAAAATGGCTTTAAAAAAAAGCGAACATTGTTGCAACATATTAGCTAAAAGCTTTTTCGTCTAACACTCCTCAGAGCATAAAACGTCAGAATAAGGGTCCGAAAGGACACGATGAAAAACATATACCCAGTTGTGGATCGAAATAGGCCAATCAGAAAAACGCAAGCACAAGACCGAGCATTGGCCTACTGTGATCCGGAACTGGGTCTATATTTTCCATCTTTTCATTCGGACCCTTACTATGACGTTCTATACTCTGAGGAGTGTTAGACGAAAAAGCTTTTAGCCAATATGTTGTAAAATGTTTGCTTTTTTCAAAGCTATTTTTAAGTTCTATACCGCAAAAAAGCTTTGCATTTAGTTTTAACGTTTGTTGTCGCCAATTGGCATTCGTATACAACCAACAAGTACTCAGTAAAAGATAAATCTTACGATTTTGAAAAGTGTTAAAATGATAATAAAACATAACGAAATTAAATGCTAGATCGTGCTAAGAAAAATATTAAAATTCCCTCTATTCTTCATATTTACAAATTCGAATAAATTCTATTGATAACTGCCCAGCCCCTTCAAAGATCTTCTAAGAAAGGCAATATCGATAACACAATTGAATCTTATTTATCTTCCTGAAGATAAAAAGGTAGAACCGAAAACGATGCCTTTATATCCTAGGAAACAAGCCGTGAAACAATAATGATCTGAATGCGTAACAATAAACATCATAATGATTTAAAACCACTTCACAAAGTCATGGAACACTAACGTCAAATTTTAAGAATGAATCAGTGACCCCCCCCCCCCCCTTATGCTGTTTCATAAATCAACGTAGGGGATTGGGAAGTAACATTTTTGTGCATAGGGTATGGTATTTCCATAAACTATTAACATTATTCTTGGGGAAGGGGAGAGAAAGTTGTAGTATTTTAGAGAAGGAATGGAAGATAGAAAACAAGACATAAACTGTTCGATGTTCCATGTATTATTAGCGGGAATTGTAGCTTATGGAAATGACTTTTTCTGGAAATAGACTAATAAATAGATAAAGAAATCATGCTACCAAAGCCCTTATAGATGTCATTTGTCAATCTTTATTTTTAAGTTTCAGGTCTAAAAATGAATAGGATAGCATTTTGCTGTCTTGAAATGCGCGTGAGAAATGCACTTTCTTCGACCCACGCGTACCCTCCCTGACCACCTTATATCCGGGATAAGATTGCCACCTTTAGATTTAATACAAAAAATGATCGAACAATTGCAAGTGCTCTTTTTCCATTACCTCAGTTTTCCATAGGCAACACCGTCTGGTGATACCCCAGTAACAAAAATGGAGCAGTCTGTTGGATGGAGGGGTGCATCAACACCGCCGCCGATTGTAAAACCAAAGTCTCCATCTTTCGATGTCTAAAGAAAATCAAACGTTTTTATGTGTGAATAAGAAAATAGTATTGCGAATCCCTACTGGCAAACGATGACATACTGTTACTTGTGCAAAAACCTTTCCATACATGATTTGAAAAAATCTCTAAAGAATCGGTGTCATTAAATGCAAGATCGAGGAGAGATGAGAAGACAATGAAAAGAAAAATATGACGCGAAGTCACTAGAGAGAAACTATGGATCAAAAACTATGGATCGAAAACCATGAAAAACGTATAAGATTTAGAAGAAGAGAAAAAACGACAATAAACAGGATCTGATAACAGTTTTACAAATGTAAGTGATAAATAGGCCTAGGCAGAAACGACTGAATAGCTTACCATACCTTTTCTAAGTCCAAGGTCTCTAGCTCGCATTCCTGTGAAAATAAATACATGAACATGGGTAGAATGCATGTGCGTCAAAATGGTTGTTAGCTATACGGAAAGAACCAGTTGCTAATATGGATGCTGAAATAACTATAACAAACAAAACAAAAGCTGGCAAATGCGATTTGGATCAATCTGCCTCGTGCTTATGGATCGTTTAATGTTTAGCCTACAACCCTTCACAAAATGTGTCTCCTGGCTGAGACCTGTCTCCATTGAAGTTTTATATTGGAATAAAACGACATTAATTGTCATGCCCCTCCACCACGACATTAATTGTAATGCCTCTCCCCCACATAAAGCAATATTGCTTCGCAACCAAGATTTACCAACTGCATTCTCTTCAAATCAAACAAACAACATTGTTTTGCTGAGAAAGATGGTGAAAACTCAATGCACATTCACAACTTTTGTGAAGGATTTTAGGTCGGTTAATCATTCAAAAAACTGGAAATTGCGTGAGGTAGGAAAAGAATAATTATTTGCCAAAGTCAACATTTTCATTTTGAAAAACAATTCCGTCAACATTTTCAGTCAAAAACAAACAATAGATGACTTTAGCAGGCCTGGCCACAAGCCTTTTAGAAGGGGAGCAGCAAACAGCTCTCTTAGTTAACTCCAGGTGAGCTCTTTCTAGATAAATAATAATAGAAACAAGGAAATTGATTTTACAGAGATCAATTTGCTTTTTAGAGCAAATTATAAGAACAATCTGTAGCTCCCCCTCCCCCCAGCATCTGAGGAGAGCCTGGAGGGGAGCAAGAGTTATGGCTCTTCCGAAATGGCCAGACCTGTTTTAGGCTTGCAAAATTTGTGATGAACACGAAAACTTTAGAAAACATAACATTATGCATGATTTCATTGGTCAAACACAAAATTTCTCCTGTTTACTAATTTGGCTCCAAATCTGGATACGAATTCTTTTGGCACAATAAGAGTACTGTGCTCTATCTAATACAATCAGAGTCTTATCTAATGGTTGACATCTTGTGGAGAGGCAGAGGATGAGAGCCTCAAAATGTGCATTCAGTATTTTTGGTCCCTTCAGCTAACTTAGACAACAAAATTGAAATAAAGACATAATTATAAACATTCTGAAATTTTATAGAAAAAACTTTCCGTACACATGGTATTTCCGGGAGCAGATTTTTGCTGCAACTTAGATACATCTTCGAAATTAAATCAGTAAAATTGGGGGGTTTCTATAATTCTGACTTGAATTCTTTAATTCTAAAGATATTTAAACACAAAGACCGGGGATTTCAAACATTTCCTTCACTTTCCAAAGCTAACCTTTTAAACTTCGTATACAAATTATTAAATCAGAGTCAAACATATACACAAAGAAGGTTCTAAAAATAAATAATGGGCTGTCAGTCTTGAACACGCCTAAATAAGGCCTAAAATAAACCAAGATTGTCAGGTATCGTAAGCATAGAAGCTTCGTGTAATTAAATATAAATCGCGTTAATGTTTACTTACATTGGATTCTGTGTCGATTGCCGAGTCTGTGCTGACACAGATTTCAAGTCCTTCGGCTAAATTCACATCTTGGCATTTCTTTATGCTGATCAGCTCCTTAAGCACTTTTGTGTGCTGAGTCTAGCGGGATTGGGTAAATTTTGAGACATAATGATCATTAAAAAGAAAGCAACAGCTTTTGGAAAGATGGCAAAAGTACAAACTTAAATACAACATAATTCATATTTATCTCAAGCCATTGACGACTCACAAACAGGGATAAAGCTTTTCACCCATTTCAAAATCGCGAATTCCGTTCAAGCATTCCGGAAATTTCCAAACGCCTCCTATTTCTAATTCATTCAACTGACTTTGATCATTATCATTGAGGTACTTCATAGTGCTCTTTCATATTATAACAAGCTTGCTTACTCAAAAGGCTGAGACGACAAATGTGGGCTTAAATAAGGGGATGTGATGCTGGTGGGATTATGGGAGGACAAACTCACCCTTAGGAAATAAGGGTATGTAATACTGGTTGGATTATGGGAGGGCAAACTCATCCTTAGGAAATAAGGGTATGTAATACTGGTTGGATTATGGGAGGGCAAACTCACCCCTAGGAAATGAGGGGATGTGATACTGGTGGGATTATGGGAGGGCAAACTCACCCCTAGGAAATGAGGGGATGTGATACTGGTGGGATTATGGAAAGACAAACTCACCCTTAGGAAATAAGGGGATGTAATACTGGTGGGATTATGGTAGGGCAAACTCACCCCTAGGAAATAAGGGGGTGTGATACTGGTAGGATTATGGGAGGATAAACTCACCCTTAGGACGTCATGCTTGTTTTGTAGTGTCACCAGTTCATCAGCAATCCGATCTCTTTCTGATACCAAAACATTGCACCAGTCACTTAGTTTCTGCGATTCTCTTACGATTTTGTTTCTTTCGCCGAATGCCCAATCTCTTCTTAACTTCGCTACTTCGGCTACTGTCCATGCCTTTGTCAACTCCTTCGATAATGCATCTAGACGTGACTTCAGTAGTTGGCTGTGTTTTTCGATATTCTCAGCAGGCGACTCAAACAATTGTTTTACTTCAAAACACTCCTTCAATATTTTATCTCTGTGCGAAATAGCTTCGCTCCGCTCTTTTCTTGCAGCATCTCTTTCTTGCTTCTTCATCTCAAGCTCTTGTCGTAACTCTTCGAACTTCTTTAAAATATTGTCTCGATCCCTCAAAGTCTCCTCCAGCCTCTCTTTCAGACTATATGACTCCTTCACTGCCTGGTCTCTATCCACAAGAACGGTGTTTATTTCTTGCCTCAAACACTCAGCTTCATGTTGTATTTTCTCCTTATCCTCGAGATGGCTAGCCACCATCTTTTGAGAATTTGATAAATCATCCTGCAATTTTTCTATCTCTCTATGTACGCTGTCTCTCTCGCTCATAACCAGCTTGTACTCCTGCAGAGCGGCATTTCGCTCTTCTTGCAGCTTCCCAGTTTCCTTACTCAAGCGCACACGGTAGCTCATCTCACTCTCCTTCAGCGCTGCCTTGAGTTGTTGCTCTGATTTCATAGATGTCTGTATCGCTTCTTCGCGGTCTCGAAACGCTTTTTCGTATTCCCGAATCGTGACAGTGCATTGTTGCTGCAATGCATCTCTTTCCATCAAAATGGCATCTCTTTCTTGCAATAAAAGTTCGTACTTCTCGTTAGCCTTCACTGACTCTTCGTCTAATTGATTCAGTTTGCTCGTAACAATCGCGTAATCTGTTTGTATATCGTCCAACTTTTCTCGTAACGCTTCCTCGCGTAAATCGCTCTTTTCATCCTTACCAATGCGAATGTCGTCAAGAATAGCCTCGCAACTTTTACGGCGATTTTTACCATACAAAAGGCTCTCTTTCTCCATCTTCTCGCGTTCTCGAAGAAGCACAATTTCTTCATAATCCTGCTGTAATTTTGCCTTTCCAGTGATCGCATTGTCGTATTGTGCTGAAAAGGACAAACAAAGAAGCATCTGTGAGCTAATCGGGGCCACAATACGACATATAACTAAAAAAATCATTTTGAAGGAGATCACGTTTACTAATAGATACCGGAACAGGGCAGTACCTAGAAGCAATGGTGGAGTCATTCTGCATGCTTGGCCTAATAAAAGAGAAAATACGATGTGACTACTTTTTTGGCTTCCACCTGATTACCAATTCCTCCTTCAGTAACGCCACCCTACGAAAAGACTGTTACAGCCAGCACCATAAGGAGGATGGGGGGGGGGGATTTCAAAACTGCATAATTGCCCCGCGAAATAGAGATTTTCTTGCCTTTCACCATACTAGACAGGTATTACAGAAGGCATATCAGCTTCAAGCATTAAAGATTTATTTTCATTTACGATTCCACGTACATTTACATTTAGATATTTTTCTGGAAATTAATTCAAGAGGAAGATTATAGATATGCTTTTTAGCACCCGGAGCTACCAAGCTCTCCAGTTCTGGAGGCTGACCAGAGCTCCTAAAAATCTAGCTGCATTATCAGTAATATCCTACCTACAAAATATAGAGCATACCTCGAAGTGCCTGGGCTTCACGCACCAATTGATCGCATTTATTAAGAACTGCTTTGTGCTGCTTTCTGTAATAATCTGCTTCCTGTACTGCCAAATCACATCGATTGACAATCTCCTGGTGCTTACGCCGCAATGCCTCTAGTTCTTTCATGGCATGCATACATTGATCCCGTAACCTGTAAAGTTCGTTTTCGCAGAATTAAACATCAGGAAAACATTGGCAATGCTATACCAAAATATAAACCACACAATGAATCTTTACACTGAACAAAAGATGCATGATGAAACATACAGGATATCATTTTGACGTAAGTAAGCAGAGCCTGGAAATTTTCTTCGAGGCCCGTGCCAAATGAGAACATATCATTCAATGTTAAAAAGAATTTTGAACAGAAAAGTCCCTTTCCCTTCTTCAGTCAACGATTCAGTACTTCGTCAACCTTCCTCAGAACGCAATAAAAACATTTTTGAATATGGTGCTAAAGATTGCTATCTTGTATTAACTGTCGTCAAAAGTGACTTTCACTCTTCCTGGACTATGCACACAAAGGTTGCCACTGAAAAGATGCATGTATTTTAGAATACGAATATTGAACCATATTTAACGAGTCCCTAAGCAACAAGTGTCCATATCAGCTAAATAGAAAAGCGTTTTTATAAAGCATTAGGGTGTAACAGTAAACAAACAAGTCATTCTTACTCTTTAAAGTTCACTTTCTTGGCATTAACTGGCACACTTCATCCATCGTTTAATTGAAACGTAGTAGCACTTAACAAAATCTAGAGAACTTCATGGGTCAAGCTTTGGCTTCTATCTATGTACCATTCAGTTTTTGTGCAATAAAGCTGTTTTTATGTTAAGAATTGGGATATAAAAAATGCCCTGGACCAACCATGGTTTGAGTTCTCTTGCTTTCAGTGAACTTTCTTACAGATGTCAGTGATACTTCCCCTACATTTTCTAGGCTTCATAGGCTTGCATATTTAAAGAAAATAGGTGAAGCAACAGAGATCTACTTATTTTTTAAGAAAAAGTATCATTATATTCATTTTCAGGGTGCTGTGAGCTAGAAGCCTATACTGACGTACCTTACAAAAGAAGTTTGCAGTGATATATTCGTAAATTGCTTTGCTATTAGATTTTTTCAGGAATATTCGTTACTAGGGGCAACAGTTTCGGAATCGACAAACATCGGTGTGAACATCTTTCGCTAGCAGATCGTTAAAGCAGTTGGCACGATATTAACTTTCGAAACAAACTGCGAAAGGACATAATTGCCTTCAAGGCAGTCAGGAAAAGGTTCTGCGTCATCAATAAATCACGTTATAACAGAGTAATTTTGTGGGTTAGCACTTTTTATGCTTCTACAAAACATCCATTCAATTTGCGTAAATTAACATCAAATACGACAAGGATGGAAAAACAGTATCTTATCTTAATCCATGAATGGAAAATTAATTAATTTCACATCTTCGAAACAGTCTTAATTCTAATTCTTCAAACAAAGGGGATTCTACAAAACGGATTATCTTCTACAACACCTAAGATATATCCCCAGCTTATCACTGCTGAGCTCCAATGACTTGTATTGGTACTCTATTTTACAGCAAAATCAGCTCCTGCCCGCTCATTTTTGACAGTTCCAGGTACACAACCCCCAACCCCAACCTAGTGTTCGCCTAGTAAACCCCCTCAATTTATCCGATTAACAAAGTCTAAACTTGATTTTCTAACTTTTCGAAAACGATGAATATGTGATCTGCTTTTAAAGGAACAATTGATAGACCGACAACTAATAAACAGACAACTGATAACAGCAAAAAAAAGGCAACTGTGACTGAATCTAAAAAAGTGTAGTTCTTCATAGCAGATGTCTTGTCTTTAAAAAACAGCACATCTACGAACTAAAACAAGAACAGTACAGATCATACCTTTCGTATTCATGTTGGTGCTGGTCGTTAGGCCCTTTTCGGCTGTCCTGGTGTGAATTCTGGGCCATATTTTTCTGCTGTGGTACAGATTCTGGTACAGAGGGCACTTCTTCGGGTCTGAAAAAGAATCTGATGTCTTCCCGTTCTCTCGGGCTTTTCGAACGCAAGCTGGAAGGTCGTGAATCTTTACCGGGCACACTTCCGTAACCGGAATACCGAGAAACCGGAGCTCGGCGTGAACCTGTGTAAAAACATATATGAAAAAACAGCGATGTTGGCAAAAAGATACCTATCAATTTTAGGGAAGGTTACCTAATTCAGTTTTCCCATTTGAAGCAGAGTAGCAAATTCTGTACAAGCTATGAGGTAAAAGTAAATAAATTAGCCATTATTGATTTGCCTCCTATGAACATTTTACGTCAGTCTTTGCAGCCAGCTAATCATGTTTCAAAGACCTGCTTTTATAAGCAGCTCAAATTACCGGAATGCTAAGCAGCTGATATAGCAGGTAGCAGCACCCTACAAATCGGTCTTGACCACCACTTGACCCCCGGTGATTTCAAACTTAAGGTGATATCATGTAGAAGAGATTCTTCTGCCGTACATCAGCAAATCAGCCGATGTATTCAAAAATTACAACTAAACAAAATAACGATTCAATACTGAACATAGCAATAGTCAAATCCCAATAATTACATAAACTTAATTCTCAAAGTTGATGTCCTTGTTCAAGGTAGCGTTTACTGGAGGAAGGATATTAATAAAGGAATTTGTTTATTTCAATTTCTGTTAAAAATCGAGGTGTGTTAATTAAAAGCTAGATGTTTACAAGAAGAAATAAGAAATACACTACAGCTAGCAATGTTACGGACAGCAATAAATAGTACGAAGCCATTCTCAAGATGCCCTTTACCCATCCCCCTAAATGTTGTTAAAGTGCGAAGTGCATTAGACTGGAAGATTGAAAAAGAAAAAATGCATAAAGTGCAAGTTAAAACAAAAAATTACCTCAGAAAGGCGAAATAAACAGGGAAATCAAGAGAGCTACATCTTCGGCTCCAAAACACGAGGTAATTTTCAGTAAAATTTGACTGTAAACCAGACAATTCGTCACTGATTTTGGTTCATAATTTTCCTTGTGAAATTATAATTCCCTTTTCAATAAAGTCAGAACCCAGACAACAATAAAAATGATACTGTCTTAAAGAGACGTCATTGCAGGTCACCAGGGGGGTTGCTTAATCAAGACTGCCGAACATCACCAAGGGTAGGATAGAAATGACAGCGCAAGACAATGTAGCTGATATGCGCAGTTCTCAATCTGAAGTGAATCAAACGGGTTCAATGAAGTGGCACTCACTGCGTCTTAAGAACATTGTAGCGAAGTTCCCTTTGGTTAATAGACTAAGTATGCCCTGGTGTATATAAAGCAAACTGAATTGAATTTCTGATGATCACCACTTATATCTTCATATGATTTCATAAACTATGTACATTGTTTTTCTGCCTGTTCTCTTTACATATCATAGTGTTATACATGGTGTTATACAGATAAATTGTTGTAAATGATCAACTGCGCAGTATCCTTACAAATTGTCGACTTAGCCTAGTATAGAATAGAAACTGCACAAGTATCTTTAGACGACTATAGTTGGGCCAAGGGTTAGACACAATGGTACGAAAGATAGAAAATGATGTTACATAGAAAATACTAACTTACTCGATGTTATTAACCAAATTAAACAAGTTAATAAATTAGGCAAATTCACGAAGAATCATTAAAATCCAGGCAGTATCCACCAGGGAATTGGCAAAGCTTCTTGTATGGGAATAAAATTTTCCAACAAAGCTATCGAACAAGTGAAGCAAACGGCAAAGTTATATTCCAGCCCCCGTGTCGAACATAATCGTAACAAAATAGAACATAAACAAAGGATTGGCAAACTGACTCATCTGTGGCAACTAGACATTCAATTATGGCAAAAAAAGAAAAATGGCATGCAAAATTAAACTGATAAGTACAGTAAAACTGAGAAAAATTGCCTGATTCTACTCGAAACAGCAACGGCAAAAATCTGAACGAAGCAGCGTAATCATCTAAACACGATTCTGGTTCACTGGTTAAGGCCGCAGGCTTAAACAATCTGGTTTCTAGGAAACCTGGGGCGTAAAAGGTAAGCGTGTACAAGGCTGAACGGACGATCGAGCAGTACAGTCACTGGTTTTTGTCAGTGTGATTTCTGCCTTTTTTCGGTTTCAGCAAAACTAGCTGATAAAAAAACAAATAAAAATAACGATTTAAGTTGTTATGGCACTTCAGTGAATCAAAGAAACTTCTAAAGTAATTTCCCGGAAATATCTAGCAGCCTCTTTTCAAACCATTGCTGTGTAACTCTGTAGACAAACTTAGCTGTCAGTTATATCAAAAAATAAGCCGAGGCCAGACACACCTTTAGCCATTGACTACGGGACAAATCTCAATGGGGATTCTGGGAAAAGTAAATTAAAGGGACTTTGCCGAGAAACTGCACTTTCATATGAACGTCTTGAATTGTAACTTATACTATAATTTTTTGCCACTCATTATCATCCTTGACAATTCATGTACTGATATAAACATTGCCAGCCTTCTTATCACTCATCCAGGTCTTTTTTTGAATTTCTCCAGTGTTGTAAAAGCATTCTAGCACCATGACAAAGTTCAAATTGGCTTTGAAGTAAAATCTAGCAAACACAACACGATACTACCAATATTGCATGTAAACATACATAACGCCACAATCCACTTACATCACTTGATTTTCATCTAACTTCCAAGAACCCAGGCTAATCACATAGATGGAATAACTTCAAAAGCCTTCTCCATGAAAAAAGACAACATTACCAACGCCATATTTAATTCGCAATATTTGACCCAGTCGTTTTCGACAGTACACAGAATCAACCTCAACAGCACTAATTCAAAAAGTTATCTCTAAAAACATCTGGTTTATTGGCTTACAGAGTCTGAAACTATTTCACAGCAACTCACGCCGAGCAACCGAATCGCAATGAACTCGACTAGCCTTATAAGCAATGAGATAACTATGCAAATCCTCAAAGATATTCAGGCCTTGTGTTAAAGATGAATATCTAACTCCTGGATTTGCTCCTTTTAGGACAGCGCTCTACATGAAAAGTCTGAAAATGACTGACGATAAATCGCGAATTACACGCGGGAATCGACAGAAACAAATAAGTAGGCTTCCGAAGGTTAAGACAATAAATTAGGCTTTGCTCAAACATTGAAAGGTGACTGAGCACTCCCCTTTTTGGAAGTTTGTTGAATCACAGTTAACAGGCAGAGAAACTAATTGGAAACTAAAATCTTAGAAACCCTCATTTCTGCATAAATCGACGAACTAAGAACATCTATCCTAAAAGCAAATTTGATCCAATTTGTGTACAATGAATTAGGACAATAATAAATCATTCTTGGCTCTTCAAAGGTTTAAAATCTACGAAAATGCACCTCTAAAATATTGATGGTACAATAGCATCCTATTTGACCTTGCATATTAAGTCGACAGTCTGATGATGAAAACAAGAAAAATATTTGGGCTGCATGCAAGACCGACGCCAGCTGATAGATTGCCTTGGTAATGCTAACAGAAAGGGAGACAGGGCTATCTTTGGACTAGAGCGAGCCAACAACGTCCATTCAGTTCCCATATGTTGCTGAAAGGACTGGGGCAAGCACCAAATTCATAGGCCAAATACCATCAGGGCTATAGCTGTAATCCTTTACCGCATGTCTATTTTGTGGGCAGTTTCAGGTGGGAAGATGAAAATAAGCTTCAGGCTCCCCCCTTGTCAAATTGATTGCTGTGATGTACATTATTTGCTGTTATATATTTCATATACAGATCTTATGACCTCATATCGAAATCATCTGAAATCAATTTCAAATCTTCAAGCAACACCCAACATATAAATAATCGGTTTTTAATAAACTTTCGTCACAGTCTTCCTGAGGAGTTTGGGTAGGTAATTTAGGAATACGAGCAGAGAAATCACTTTTTCTCAATATCATGCAATTTGCTCACATTCAAGAAAACAAAATGATTACAAAACAATTGCTTAAGATTGTTGATACTGTGCAAAAATGCCTTTTCAACGAAGCTCCACTTGCACGTGAGCACAGCTCTATAATTCTAATTATTAACCTGATTCTGATTCTCTATTCATAAACTATCAGTCATGAACTAAATCTAGGGATAGTAGTTGCTTTTGTAATGAACAGAAGCAGTAATTGTGAGAAAATAATGATTCGTCAAAGAGAATAAAAACATCGATCTTTCAACCACCATGCAATCAGGACGCTGTATAATAAAAACTGTCTCACATATACACAGTGGCATGATAAACGAAAAAATGTAAATAAAAATGAACCTATAAACAAGAAGCAAATAAAGAAATAAATAAGTAAGCGATAAAATAATAAATCGTCAGGAAATCTAATCTAAATAAGAAACGATTTTCAAAATTACCTCAATCTTTATAATGCAATATATCAGAAAAGTAAGGAAAGTTTCGATGCTTGCTTCGACTATATTGCTTTGTGTAAAAAAATACTATGCTTAAATAGATGCTTCACTTAATGGTTTGAACAATTATTAGGCATATATAAAAAAGATTTGAAAATTTAAGCTGACTTTATGTTGGTCGAAGAGCTGTATGAATAAACAACTGCCCCGGTTTGAAAACTGCTGGCTTAGATTTGTGGTATCAGCAGCTGCAATATATTGCATAAAATATTGTTTATTGGGAGATGTCTTCTCAAGGTACCCGCTGTACTTTCCGTCGAATAGACTAGAAAGCAAAAGCGAGAAGGCAATGAAGAATGGTCCATCCAGTCGATGGTACGTTACCTTCATCGTGATCCACGTTCTCCTCCTCAGCATAGCCATTGCCAAGTATTTCCTTGCTTAAATATTCACTTACACTGAATCCAGTGCCCATTGCAACGATCAAGACGTCCTACCTAACGCCTGATCATTGACTTCTCAGATAATTAAAACGCATTTCACCTCGTAATAGTTTAATTAATACACTTAGAAATGTATTTGCATAAATTAAGAAATGTGAAGCGAAGTCGGCAATAAACAGCCGTTTTACTAATCCAAGTGCTTAACGCCAGATGCTAAACCTCCTCCACAGGGGAACGCAAACACAGCGTTAGAACTAGTCGATTCCTAAAGCACAAAGTACGTAAGGAAATTTCGAAAATTTGCCTTCATCGTCGAGAATTTTCTGAGACTGTGAGGGGGGCGAATTCGGTAAATAGAAGACAGCGCTTGTGATGGTCTGTTATAACATTATCAGAATGAGAGCGCATTGGACACAAAATAGGAATTAGGCAGAAAGGGAATTCCTACCCATCAGGTGAAGCCTGAAAATTCTAGCGTTAACTTGTACGAGGCTTAGCCTGTATCTGTCGGAGAAATTTGAAAAAAGAATGAAAGTAGACAACTTTATTGAGACGAAATGTCCTATGATAGTAAACAAATTCAATTACGTATCATAATTCGTTTACTATCTGATTAATGAATGATAATTTGTCGTGGCTAAGTCCGTCTAATGAAATCGAGGTTAAAGGGGAATTACGAAATTCTATTGTTGAGTCAGGCTTCAAAAACAACAAAGGAACCGACGAGAGTTACCTTTCTGCCTATTTCCTATTCTGTGGCTTGGAGGTACATTGTTGATAGTAAGACTGGCGATAGTGAGTTGAGAGGGAAGCATTCCAAAGACAGTTCACTGTTAAGCACAAGGATCACTCAGCATCCAGTACAGAACTTTGTATCCAGTTTGCGGAATAAAGCAATTTTTCGTTAGTATGATGTCCACTTTCCTTACAAGAATGAAAAATTAATTCAATCATATTGATGACAAGAAGCATTAATGTCACCCGGATTACTCAAAATGTCAAGAAATTGAACAGCAATGCCAGAACTGAAGTCACCCTTCCTGGATGGCTATATAATGTTCAATTTATTTAGACTGACAAAGACTGAAACATCCTGGGTCTTGAGGTTGGATCACAAAAAGGAATCCGGGGGTTTAGTTATCGCAAAAAGAAACTATTTGTGTCGAATGCTACATTGGCAACCATAACTATTGGTTAGTTGATAATATGCAAAATCTTTTCTTTTTTAAACTTTGAAGCAAACTCTTAAGGGATTGGGTCTTAAATGACTGTTTTTAATTGGACGCACAGATAGGAAATAAGCCTTTTCTATTACAAAATCCCGTGCTTCCTAGCAAGAAATTTAGGATCCGCACTTTGGTATATTTTCTGTTCACTTATTAGTGACTATTCAGTGGTTCGCGCTTGTGGACTGCCGAATACAAAAGCTTTTTCAGTATTTTGCGATATTATTCCGATAGCCATACAATCTTAATCAAAGTGCTTTGTTTTTAATAAAAAGTATACCGGAGTTTACAAAGCTATTTCTTTGCTAATTTTTCAAGTACTAGTGGGTTCAATGTGCAAATAAGAATACGCGGTAAGGTGATCTAGAGACAAGCATCAATAAGATGAAAAAACTTGAAGGTGTTAACGAAAGGATCATAAACGGAAACGATTTTCAAGACCTGCATTTTCAAAAGGGTAGTCAAAATATTTGAAGCCAGAGCCAAAGAAAAAAGAGCCGAATCTTTGGACCAGGAATGACTGAGTGCGACAAGTTGTGCATGGTGTTGATGAATATGACCTAATATTGGTTTTCAAGACAATTCAATAGAAGAAAACTGGAAGCTTAATACGCTAATGCCACGCCTTGTAATAGAAAGCAAAGGCTTATGAATTAAAGATGTCAAGAAAACAGCAGTATTGATGCTTTGGCTGCATCGGCATTACGATTCAATGAATTTTTAAAGAAGAAATGTCAACCACAGTTTTTAACTTGTTAAGCTTTGACAATGTGTGTGAATTTCTTCATATAGAATCGATGAAAACCGTTTTCAGGATCAAAGGCCAAAAACGCAAAATTAACAAAACAGCTATGTCTATGTTTTGGTTTTCAAAGAGCATATAAAAAGAGCTTAATTGGCTGGCTTCTATTCAAGGGTTGTTAAGAAATTACATAGCTTTGTATAAGACCACAGGACCTTATTAACCTCTAAAAATCAGCAGAAAGTAGAACTATTTGTTGGTGGTTTGCCTATAAACAAGGACATGTGAAAGAACTACTAATCCCTCACCTGTAAGATTAAGCTTTTATTTCTGGTGTAAAACTTCAAACTAGATTCACTTCTAGTTTTTACTTTCAATTTTTTTTAAAAATACGAGAGAAAAAATAAAGTCAACAGCTTTAATTTGATATCTTGTGCTCAACAGAACAGAAAGGAAAACAACAAGCCTTCTAGGAGAGGGTGAAACCGCTCGTCAGTTGACATCAATTTTAGACAAGTGGGGAAATGTAGTTCTTACCCTTTGCAAAAATAGTTTCAGTCAGCACTTTAAAAAAAACTACAGAAAAACATAGCCTTTTGCGAAGTTGCCATCTCTCGCATGTAGAGCAATTTCACCAGTGGGAGGTTATTGGAAGCACAAATAACAGGGTCATTTATTGGGAGTGCAGGGTCATTTTACTACAGAAACAGTAAACAGGTTGAAAAAGTGCCTTGGTCATTTTAGAAACTTGACAAAGACCTACTCTTAATTTTGGAAGGAGCATGACATTCATGATGTGAAGGTGTGAAGGTGTGAAGCGATGAAATGGGGTTTCGGGTGTTGTATGGTTTCTACAAAGATCCAGGTGTGCATAACCAGAAAAAAGGCCATGCTTTTTGTGCTAATCTGAGCATTCCGCTCAATAACACAGATTTAGTGCTTTGAGATGAGCTTTACCTTTCGGTCGGACAGCCGTGAATGTTATTTTGTTGATAACTCACATCTTTGCAAATAACATTAAAAAAGTTGTATTATCTAAGATCATAGGTCTCTTTTAGATAGCTTGATAACCTAATTGTTAACTGCTGGATGTAGCATGTTCATTTGTTAAAGACGAGAGATCTTATGTGTGAACTCCAACTGCAGTAGTAGCGTTTGAAAATACATGGGAAATGCCTGTTTCTTAAGCTCAAGTGTAAAGAGAGTATTCGTTTGAATAACGGTAAATGTACTAGAGAAGAGTAATGTTTGCATTGCAATCAGTGTTATGAAAACAGCTTTTTCTTCCAAAGACATTCAATGTGTTCTACAATATCTTGTCTGTACATTCATCTTATGGATGCTGTATTTCCCATAACTACTTTGGCATTCATGCATTTCAGGCATTTATGAACGCAATTTTACGGTCTTTTTTCTTGTTTATATTATGAATAGCAATCTGGCATCACCCAGTTACTTTAAAATAAGAAGGTGAATTTGAAAAATATCAATATTCCAGACTTACCGAATGTAGCATAGAGGCTTACAGGTCTTATCCTGTCATCTGTCAATTTAATTGCTTGGCTCAGTTCAGGAACTAAAACAAAATTATTTGATGTTACATTGAGTTGAATACTCTGGCAGAACTAGCTGCAACTTACAACATGTTTACAGTGTCTGACTATGTGCATCTAGCAAGTTTTACCTCGTAGCTATTTACAATGAAATTGAGACCTAACAAATTAAATATGAAGATACCATGGCAAAGCAGATACATGTCATATTGAAGTTTTCAAAGTACAAATGTTGGATAATGACCAAAAGTTTCTCGTGACAATTTATAGGCACAGCCTTATGAAATAGGAGCAAGTCGCATTTCTTCTTTATTCTTTTCTGCTACAAACTTGGAACTCTGGATAAAACCATCATTTGTTTCTAGTTAAACGAAATGAGTCATCAAAAACTCTTCAATATATAAGCTATTTTCAAAGATTCTCATCAAGAGTGTACAGTTTTGTTTCTATACGATCAGAATGATCAAGAACAATGTAGAAGAAGCTGTGCTATTGCTAAAGCAATGGTGGATGTGGTGAATCAAAATGAATTGGAATCATTTCTTCTTTCAATTAAAGCTTCCTTTGCCCTAGGAAATAATTTTTGAATTACAGTGTAATATTTTAACTCAATCATTTCGACAACAGCTGTTTATACACTGAAAAAATTATCTCATCCAGATCTGGTTGACATTCTAGAGGGTTGAATTAAATTTACCAAAATTTTCATAAAAATTCACGAGGGTTGAATTAACTTATACCAAAATGTTCATAAAATTTCACTTATTTAATTATTGTGAAATTTTCAGGAAGCTAGAATAATACAGAGATGTTGCCATGGGATTTGTCCACTACAGTTTTCCGAGGAATCCGAGGATTTTTAAATCTGTTTAAAAAATTAGAAAATTTTCATGGAACTTGAGTACATCATTCTGCAACTTTCGTTGAGTTTTGTTGTCATATTAAAAAATAAAAGCATCAACATTAAACTGGACAACCTCTTGAAAACATTCAAAACCAGTGAGAATAGTAAAACTGGCTCACAAATCAAATAAGTTTACACTGATCTTCAGAAATCACGTTGGGTGATACTTTTCAACACCAGTTCCAACTTCTTTGAAAGGGACATTAGTACAATATTAATTATTCTTTCATCTATTTGCTATAAACATATTCTTAATGCTACTTAGCTAAAATTCAATAAAGGCTTTTGATTAGGAGCCTTACATTTGTCTTTCGGATTGTTTGGCTGACAGATAAATGTTACCTTTTTTGTATCAATCAATCAATCAGTCAATCAGTCAATCAATCACTTCAATCAATCAAATCAAACACTTTATTAATGTGTCAAAAAATATTTAGCTTACAAGCTAATTTGGGACACAACGAAAAAAGTATATAAGGTTAAATTAGAGCATAAAATATGAAATTACAGCATAATTATTAAAACATAAAAATTCCTAAAAATCCTATGTACAACTAAACTACAGTCTACAGTCTAAAAGAGTTTCTATGTCCATTCTTCTTATACTTCTTTTGAATTGGTTGATTTTTGGCACCTCCTTGATGGCTCTCTTTAATTTGCTCCAAAGATATGGGCCAAAGTATCTTACTGAATGTTTTCCTTCTTTTACCGTGCGAAATTTCGGAATTACAAAGCTGCTGTTTCTTAATTCATAAGGAGTTTCTTTTATTGCAAACATATCCTTTATATAATGTGGGGCTATGCCGTTTTTAGCTTTATACATAAGTATGGCAATGTCCTGGCGTCGTCTATTCTGGAGAGATGGCAGGTTTGCTTTCATAAGGAGTTGTGCATATAGCGTGGACTTATCATTATAAACTCTAAGGGCTTTCTCTTGGAGTCTCTCTATCTTTCTTTTATCTGCTACTTTGCAGAAGTGCCAGACTGTACTGCAGTATGTTAAGTGAGAGAGAATGGCTGACTTGTAGATTGTTAGTTTCGCATTGGTAGGTACTATATTACGAAATCTAGATAAGACACCTATTCTCTCACTCACTTTTTTGCACAAACTGCTACTATGAGTGCCAAAAGTCAGCTAATCGTCAACCTCAACACCAAGCAGCTTGAGACATCTTGTTTGCTCTGCTTCATTGTTTTCATCAGCCATCACTTTTATCTTTATATTGCTTTTCCTGCTATTTTGAATTACCATCACTTGGTATTTGTTTCTGTTTGCTTTCAGATGATTGTCCTTGTATCATTGTGAGGCCGTCTTGATGTCTTTATTCAAACGCATCTCAACTTCATTACCGTTCTCTCCAGAATAATAGATCTGATGATCGTCCGGCATACATGCTTATCTGACAGTGCATTATTTTAAAGACCAAGTCATTTTGAAAAATATTCCACAACATGGGACCAAGTGCCGATCCTTGTGGGCATCCTCTTGTTGTTTCCTTTCACTCGCTTCTTATATTTTCTAGTTTGACCCTATTCTGTCTTTGCTCAAAGTAGGATGTTATTAATCTCGCAGAATCTTTGGCTAGGCCATAGGATTCAAGCTTTTTCAGTAGGAGACTTGGAACCATAGAATTGAAGGCTTTGCTCATGTCTGTTGAGAGGATGGCTGTTATCTGTTTATTGTCCAGGGCGAATTTCCAATCTTCAATCAGCCTCAGCAGCAAAGTGTCTGTGCTGTTTTGCTTCTTGTATGCTGTCAAGCACGGGCTTAGTTTGTTGCCAAATGAATGTGTAGCTTGCTCGCTGAGTGCCTTCTCAAAAACTTTGTCAACTGCATTGAGAACTGTTATTGGCCTGTAATTTTCATAGACGTCTTTATCTGCTTTCTTGTGAACTAGTGCCCATTCTCCCTTTTTCCACTCGACGGGCCACTTTTCTCGCGTGATGCATGAGTTATATAATGATGTTAGAGATGGAGCTAGTTGTTCAGCATTCATTTTAAGAAATTTAGGAGTTATTCCCTCGTATCTAGTGGCTTTTATTGGGTCTAGCGAGCTTCTTCGACGTTTTTTTGAGACAGGAAAGAGAATTTCAATTCACAATTGACATCAACGTTGCCTTTTATTGCAGTGACACTTGGATGCACATCAGGAGACTCTGTTTCTTCCTGCTGTACTTCATTTATGTGACCCATTTCTGCAAAATAAGTCACGAATTGCTTGGAGACTAGCTTCGGGTCACTTATAATTTCATTGTTCACTTTAAGTCTGATAGCACTTGCATTAGAAGCCTTTGTATTGGACTGTATAAATGGTCTAAATGCATTGAAGAATTCTCTTGGTTTGTTTTTCATCTTTTCTGATAATATTCCCCCAATATGCCTTTAAAGCTAACCGCCTTTCTCGTTGCATTATTCTCTCATTCATTTCTATGTTTTTTGTTTTCTTCATTTCTTTCCCTTCCATATTGTTTTGCATACCTTCTCTTTTTTCTGATTGCTTTTTCCCACTCAAGAGTCAGTAAGGTACATACTTCTCTCTTACTCTCATCCTTTTCAATGGTAGGGTGTTTATCAATGATTTGGCTAACTAATTCATGCCAAAAATGGGATTTATTTTCAACTGAATCGAATGTCTCTGTTAATTGCTAGGGCATGGTTTCAATATCTTTATTGAGTTCTTCATGTTTCAGATTCTTTTTACTAAGGAAGGTAATGATTTTCTTTTTATGCTGTTTGATACGTGTATTCATCAGGCCAAATGTCATAAGGTGATCATTTAAACCGGAGTCGAGCTCCCCACTTAGCTGGAAATGATCTGGGATATTTGTGAGAATTACATCAATTAATGTTTGTGTTTTATCAGTGACTCTGGTTGGCCTTTCGATCATGCATTGCAGATCGTGTACCTCTTCTAATCCAATCAGTATTTTTCACTCTGTACTCTCTGGTTGTAGCCTATCTAGATCTAAATCCCCCAGCAATCCGAGCTGTAGCCTATCTAGATCTAAATCCTCTCTCTCAACTTGAAGTAAGTGTTCCTTTCCAATAGCTTTTGGTGGTCTGCAAAGGCAAAGAACAATTAACTTGATTCCAGGTAGCTCTATGCTACATGCAAGAACTTCAAATTTTTCATAGCATTATTTTGGAGTTTACAATATCTTAGATATTACTTGCTCTGTTACATATGCCATTATGCATCCTCCACGCTTCTTTCCATCTTACCTAAAAATTCTGTAACCCTCTATTTTGAATTGTTCATCTGGGTAGCTGTTGTCAATTTTTGTCTCTGTTATAAATAAAATTTGGGCACTCAGGGATTTCTTCAGTTCTATTAGGTCTTCTATTTTATTTTGTATGCTGTTTGTATTTTGATGGCAGATAAGCACATTCCTATTGTCCTTGTTACGCAATTCTAAGAGCCTTTCTTCTGCTGTTTCTGTTGATGTCCTATCGATTGTTGAAAACTGTTGATCAATTGTTCCATTAAACATTGCATCCCAGACATCTCTACTGTCATTAGTTTTACCTGCACAATGGAAAAATGCTTGCAGTTTGCTGCAATCTGTAAAGGGTAATGAATCTTCACATTCCAAGATTTGCTTGTTAGTACAAGTAGGTCAGTACCAAGTTTTGACTTTCTCCAGCCATTTGTGTTCAGTTACTGATACATGGCCACAGCTTTTTGCTTATATGGCAAAGCTGGGCACATCCATTGCAGGTTAATGCTCAGTGTATTTTTGCAACTGCTCTATGGCAAACGGAGCAAGGACACTGAACAGCTCCCGGGTTTGGGTGTACATCACCAGCAATGAGTAAAAGGTATCCATTGCTCTCTAGTAACTGGAAAGTACAGTTTGAATTTCTATAATGTGAAATCCGTGATTTTGAAAATTTCTTAGGCCATTTCTATAACAATGAACTTCTGGGACGTTTGGGTGTAGTGGTTTGTTTAACGTCCTAATCCCCCAGCAACCCATGTCTGGTTTATGATCATTGCAGTGCCTGTAGTGCAGGAGGGCAAATAATGGTAAAAGC